ATCATTAAATATTTTAAAAATTGTTTACTGACTCGCATGAACTTTGACTCTATAATTTGGTTTTATCATTTTTTTATCGCCATTAATATTTAACATATAAAGTGATTTTTTTTATAAGAAGAGTCGTAACTGATTTCAGTGGTGCATTTATAACACGATGTGCTCTGAAATGCAAGGAAATATGTGGAATTTAATAAACATTCGAGTTCAACATAATATTAGTTGTGAAAAAAATTGAAATATTTAATTGTCAAAACTACCTAAAATTTTCATTTATATATAATTAAACAGAAGATAAGATACGAAGATGATGCATCACTGCAATCAGATGTACACATATTTTTCATGATATTAAACCGATAAAAATACACACATACATGTAAAAATCTAAATGAATCGCAAAACATTTCGATACTTTTTTAGTAGTTCAAAATTATCGCATCACCAAGTTTTTCTGCTACATTTTCATCGTTAATAAAATAAGACTTCTGTCATTATAGTTAAACTTTAACAATTGTTGTGCATTGCTGGCCGTAACCAACAGTGTGCAAGTGTAATCGTAAGTTTTACTATTATTGTCCAAAGTTTAATTTCCGTTATTTTTAACAAACGGATACGTTGCTGTAATTATCTTTAATTGTCTTGCACTGTCACCAAGATTCGCTGTTGAATACTAATTACAATAATTTATTCAGGTTGTTCACGAATTTTGGTAGTAGTGCGATCATTTTCAACAGAATTTGTATAAACAGGTTAGATTAGTTCATAAAATTTTAAATGAAGTTAAAATTTATAAAACGAGTTTAACGCCCGTTGCACGCGATGTTTATTATAAAATAACAAAATCAAAAAGTGATAGTGTTAAAGATATGTGCAATACCGGATCTTAAACTTTAAAAACTGTACACAAATTACATAACAGTTTATTTATATACAAAACTGTGTAAACATTACATACAAACAAAAGCATTATCAAAAAGCAGATTACTCAAACTATCCAAACACTTCCATCGGATATAAATTATTTACTAAAAAAAATATATTCAAAATGAATATGACTTCATAATAATTTTAAACACTTATCCAATCGTTTCGTTTCATATTTGCACAACAAACTAACAACGAAACTAATGAATAAATTGTAAATTATTATTCAACGACAAAGCTATTAATCAACCAATTGTTGCAGTGTAATGCATCTTAAATTGTTAAGCGATAAAATATCGTATATGCAACTTATTAAAGTAACAAATTCTAAAACAATTTAGTCGCTATTAAGAACATACAATTCTTGAATATTTGTGAATTTGTTTGTTTCAAACAACGATTAAAAACTAAAAAAAGACTTTTCTATAGTGTGATTAAAATAATAAGTACGGGTTATTATAACGCAATAATAAACAAAATGTGATGAATCGTATTTGCTGCTAGATTTAAAGTTATTACAATACACTCAAATAAAAAAGAAAAGATAGCATGGGAAGACAAAACAGATAAGTTGTTCTGTAGCTACGCAACTCATTGTGTAACAATTAACTAGATAACAAATAACAAACAAAGAGAAAATAGTAACTGAAATAGTATTCGTATTGTTATTAACTTTCAAATAAGTAATATGTTTATTGTTTAGTTCTTCGCTCTAACAACAATAAATTTCTAAAAATGACATTTTAATGTTTGTTTTAAAAAATGTTTCCCTTATCAATATGACATTAGTAAAAGATTACTAAAAATTAGACACTAACAAATTGTTTAAATAGATGGTAATAAGCACATTTAAGTGGATCATATATATACCCGAAAAGAAAATAAAAGATTGAAACAGATACGAAGTAATTCTTATCAGCAGCATTAAGAACAGGGATTTATTTTATTAATGTTTATTTCACGAGATAACAATCTTCCGATGATCCTTATCAGAACTGAGAATAAATAATTTCAGTCACCAATGAACAATATAAACTTTTTTTAAATGTACGGCAGTGTGGCTAAACATTTAATTACTTTACTTATATATAGTAATACTCTACGAATAGCAATGCACAAAGTTTTTCAGTGGAAATTCCTTTTATTCTTTTAAAGAATTGGTTAACTTTAATATGACAAAATCTGTAACAGGCTGTAAAATATTTCCAAAAAATTATAAAGAAAAAACTCCAAAGTTAGTTACACGTTAAAAAAAACAAATTTAAGAACTTTAGTTTTGTTATCCAGGCTCAAAATTATTATGTTATAAATAACCAAAAAATATTTTGCAAAACTTAGTTAACTTGTTTGGTTTGATTGTTTTTCGAATTGCTTCTACAACAAATACAACTAATGAGTTGCTCTTTTCACAGCACAAAAAGCAGAATTTGTTCAAGACTAGTGAAATTTAGCTTTTTAGGGTTTAGGTATTTCTTTGCGAAAGTACAAACTCAGGTGTTATATTTTTTCTAGAAAAATAAACTGCAATTATCCATTAACTTTAATTTGGTCTACTAGAAAGTTACCTTGACCCAAACATCTTGCACATCACACTCGTCATCACATTATTGAGCTTGACATATTTTATATAGCAAAACGATCAAAAGTAAACAAATTTCTTTCTTTCTTCCAAATACAGGTGATTTTTGAAAAATAGAAAAGACAATACAAAGTCCAATACGTTATCCAATATAATCCAATGTATTTTGTTGCGCTTTTTAATATTTGATCCATCAATTAACGAAAAATTATGTGTAAAGGAAATAACAAACCACATTATGACTCGGTCAAGTTACTTAACTACTGAATTTGTGATCTCCGGTCAATCAGTGACTTTAATTTGAAATGCGGCCGAAATTGCTCCACTATTTGGTAACAATGGTCGAAATATGAATTAATAATCTTGCGTTAATGTACTAAATTTATAAGCCAATAACAATAACACGAAGCCATAAACTTGAACACACAAAATACATACAACACCTGAACATTAATTCTATGTATCCTTTTAATAGATTTAACCCAATTATTTCAAAAATTCGTCCGTACATTTCAAAGACCACCGATGACACTCGCGAACCTGGCAAACTTCCAAGCAGCTACATTCAATTCTTTAAAGGGAACGGAGTTTTAAAAGACGGGACTTTAATATTCCCGTTCTAACAATCGTCGACAGTTGTGTTTTATTTACGGTAAAAGAAGTCGTTGTGATAATACCAGAATGCCCAATAGTTTCACGAAAATAATGGTTGTCCAAGAAAACGACTGCAGTGAAATTTTATGTTACCGATTATACTAAAACGCTGACCATACTTTATCTATTCGTCCCCTTGCAAAAAAATGATGACGTTATCTCAAAAAGCATTAAGAAAATGTCACTTAAAATGTAGTAAAATGTATAGCTTAAAACCGCATTCATAGTTCTCATTTTAAACAAAAAACAAATAACTGTTAAACGACAAATTGTTGATGGGATGACCTTTTCTAGGGATTATGAAACGTCGAGAAAATATTAAAGTAGCCGGTCACCGGATGGACCATACTTCAATATTATCTGCTCAAAAATTAAAAGACCGCTCAACCGACAAGATAATACGAAAACTCAACCCACAACAGTCGCCTTATTTAAGCAGATCGAAAAATGAGGATGCATTAATAAACCACAATCATAGACTCATATTTGACACGTGTTAGATAAAATTTATCCAGCAATATTTTGAGATGACGTCACTAGGTTTTTGGAAGGGATAAACATATAAATTTTGATTAGCGATTTGCCATACTTACGATAACATTAATACGTGCAAACTTCATAGAATTCGATTTTTACTTTCTAAATTAAATTGAAAAATGTTGTTACACAATTTCGATTTTGATACCGGAATCAGGATCGATCTTCTTTTGTAAATTTTACAAAAAATAAGCACGCAATACAAAAAATATTAATCTTAAATTAAAAATAGTATTAATTCATTTTGCACTATTTACATTATTAAACAATAACATCTTTAAATCTATAAACCACTTGAATAGATTTCACAAAGCGATAAAAATTATCACTCCTTGTAGAAATCAGATGTGTAAAGTAAAAAATATTCGGCTACACAAAATTATACTTTATAAACCTAGCGATTACACAGTATGTGAACGTGTTTTTAAATAATATAAATAAATTTAACATGCATATTAACACATACGTCTACAAAATAAATGTGCACAAGTGTAACTGTAAAAAAATTATACTCCTTGCTACGGATATTAAAAACTATATGCGAGATAATGCAAATACTAAAAGGCGATTTTAGCGTCTACAAAAGAAACGAACACTTTTTCAAATTTAATAAATATAAATGTAAAATACTAATACACTTTATTAATGCACGGAAGTTCATATAAAGGCCATTTGGACCCAATATGTCATTGTTCTCAACATTCATTGCACGCAATTGGTATACAATGGAATTCAATGGATACAATAGTAGAATCATCAAAGCCTTCATCAGATGATTATCATCAGATATTAAAAAAAAAACAACGCATCAAAATGATGCAGCAATTTTTTTTTTTTCTAAAATGAGAAACAATCGTACCCACGTAAACAATTACTGATATGGTTTATTTACTAGCTGCTATCCACACAGAAATTATGATGTGCAAAGTACATAAAATACCAATCATTGACAGGAAACTGACAACAGAAAGTTGTAACAAAGTTATAGTTCCGCTTTGAACGAAAAATAAACAAAACTCGATGTGTATTTTATAGAAAGTAAACAACTTCTGTTACAAAAAATGAAATTAAACAACCTTGGAGAGTAATGGAAACATGACATGACAAAACATTTTTAGGTCTTGATCTCAATTTTAATTTCAAAATAATTCGTTTGTATTTTACTTCTACCCACCTGCAATTCGTTTAATGAAAACGATCAATTGTTTGATAATCATGGTGTGAATCGTTTCAAGCAATAAAGTCGTTAATTAAATATGAACTGCTATAATTATTTATTTATGTAGTTCAATTACTAACTTACCCCAAAGTCCTGGGTCATCAAAGCAAGAATGATGATTTGAGACTGTTATAAGAGGCACATTTCGCGGTCGTTTGTCTAATATTGAAGTTATAATGTGATTATTGTGAACTTTTGCTTTGTTCAACCATTCTGAAAAAAATAAGTTAAAATTCGACTTATTATCATGTTCAGTAATTACGGATTAGAATCTTGCTAAACAACCCCACAGCAGCCACCGTAATCGTACTGGCGATGCTCCACAACTTGGTAGGGCTCCGAAGGTTGGGGATTATCCAGTCAATGTTATAAACCATTTTTGCACTAACTGACATGCTTAATAGTAAATTAAAATATCGTCATTATTGTTTGATTTTACTGCTTTATTAATTTAAAACCCGAATAACGGAGATATTACATTATCTTTACGTGAGCGCACGAGTTACCACTGGCAGAGGTGCAAACATGCGGACGCACATCATTCAATTGAATCAATTTTTGTTAACTGATATAGTTGATACGGTGTACGCATAAATTATATAATAGCTTATAGTTACGGGCCGCTGTTATAAACGACTTCACTGGAATAACATAACCACGGACACTGAATGGGGTGCTCCGACTTCGTTGACATTGACGTTTGACGTTTACATTTGACATTTGCTTACAAATGTCAACACGATCGATAAAACAGGAAACGAAAGCTTTCAAAATGAAAAACGGTAATTCAAAATTGCAAATTCAGGCAGTGAATCTTTGCAAAAAGTATAATCAATAAAATTCAAACTTGCGTCTGACACTACTAATAGCGAATCAAACAGATTTAAGGAGTTATAGTTGAATATGTCCACCGATTTGTCCACATCTGTCAAATGTCAACAACATGTCAGATGAGTGTCAATAAGCCAAGTTAGGTTATGTGAACTGTATTCCTTTTTATCTTTTTATGCTTTAAACATTTTTCCTTCCACATCTTTGCTTTAAGGAACAAAAAACTAATTAAATGACATGTGTGCGAGTGCTACAATAGAAGCATTTAAGCAAGATTTTAACATAAATACCGACATCTCGGACATAAATTTCCGCAAGTTCAATGTGGAACCCTACGATGCACTACCACAAAATCACCAGTTTGGCGAAAAAAAATGTTTACTCTATCAGCTAGAGTTTAAAGTATTCAATCTAGATGTATCTCTACGAGTTCTTGCATTTAAATATGTAAGTATTTGCCTGTTTTATCAATCGAAAATTATTACCTACAACTTTCTAGGAAAAACACGCAGAAGTCTTAAAACTAGAGATTAAAATTTGCAATGATCTTCTCTCAAAAGAAATAGCCGCTTGTAAAAATTTTCTGCAGCGCAGAAGAAATTTAAATTTAACGTTTGAAGTAATTATTAAATATGCACGACTGTTTGAAACACGAAGATTAATTTGTTTGACTGTGTTTCAAAAACGAAGAAATGTAGCAACGCTTTCAGAAGACGTTGGAGTTATTGTTAAATGTTGTAATGATGATTTCAGTGTCAAATTTCTTGAACTGAACTGGTCCATACAATGGACAGTTGATACTTATGAAGTGAGTGACTTTATTGAATTTTATTTTAATTATCCAGGTGAGTTTTTTCTATTACTGCTAACACTGATATTGTCATATACTTAATTCCAGTTCTTACAAAAGAATGTGCTGCTAACGTCAAAAAAAAATTAGAACTTTTGGTTGAGCCAAGTGTTGATTTTCATCCAAAATTAAAATTATGGAAATCGGTGATGAATGATCTTTATGGATATATTCCTGAAGATCAAAACTCAACGGTACTAACAGAATCGACTGATGTATTAGAAATTTCAGACTCAGATAGTGACGTAAGTGTGGTGGAACTGGAGAGCAATGTTTGTAATCAAGCAAACAGTGATGAAATTATGGTAATAGATTAAATTTGGCTGTGTAAATATTTTGTAAATTGTATATAAATATTCTATCAATTATTTTGTTTTGTTTTTTCAGTAATTAAATTTTTGCCAACAGAAATTAATTTAAACACTAATAAATAGCCAGAATAGAGATGGTTCTCCAACAATATGAGGATAAATTATGAATAATACATAATCTTAGAACTCACTGACAACCAGTAAAAGTTCTGTTGGATCAAATTCAGATTGATCAAACTAATACACTAAAAATTTGTAGATATTTAAAAAAGTTGTCTAAAAATTGCGAAAAAATTCAGGGACGTAGATCTCGATATACTGATTCAAAAAATATAGCGTGTTGATGATCACGGAGCAACAGTCTCGAAAGAATCGGTACGAAATGCAAATCTTTGAAAACTTCTAAAAAGGAGATTTCAAATTATTTTTCTTGATAGATTGTATAAAATCTATAATTTCGAATATCGAAAAATTGAGAAATCGAATAAATGAAAAATCGAAAACTCCAAGAATTCGAAAATTTAAAAAATCGACATTAAAAAGCGAAACACTAAAAATCGAAAAATTGAAAGATCGAAAACTAACTATAAGATCGAAAAGTTGAATCTTGTAAAAATTCAGAAATCGAGAAACTGTATAAATGGAAAAAATAAAAATTCGGAAAATTGAACAATCGACAAATTAAAACTAGAGAAACAAAAAACCGAAAAAATTTAAAATCAAAATACTGCAAGAACGAAAAATTAAAAACTCAAAGAAGTGAGAAATCGAAAAATTGAAAAATCAACAAATTAAAAATCATTTTTGGATTTTTTAACTTTTCGAATCAAAAATTGTAACATTAAAAAATCAAAAGAAAAAAGAAAACGTATAAGATACAAACTTTGAAAAACCGTAAACTAGGGATGAGGAACTTGAAAAAGTGAAAAAACGACAAATTAAAAAATGGAAAGAAAAGAAATGGAAAATATTAAGAAATTTAAAAATCGGAAAAGTGCGAACCGAAAAACTAAAATATTGTAAAATCGAACTACTGAAAATTAAAGAAATATGAAACTCGAATAACTTCAAAATTGTAAAATTTAAGAATTGTAAAATTGAAAATCGAAAAATCAAAAATTGAATAAAGAAAAATTATAAAATCGAAGTAAACATTGAAAAAACAAAAGAAATGAGAAACGAAGAATTGTGATATAAAATCGAGTAAATGAAAGATAAAAATCAAGAACTTACAAAATTGAGGAGACGAAAATTTTAAAAAATCGAAAAATTAAAAATTGAGAAACTGAAAAATTGATGAAATGGAAAACTGTAAAGTCGAAAAATCGAAAAATTGAAGAATTTCAAATCGAAAAATTCAAGAAACGAAAAACTGATAAATCTGGAAATCGAGAAATCGAAAAGTTGAAAAATTAAAGTTGAAAAAACGAAAATTTATGAAATGTGGTAAAATTGGAAAAATTGAAAACATGAAAAAACGAAGAATTGCGATATCAAAAAATTCTAAAATCGAAGAAAAAACGAATATTCTTAGAGGGTATGCGACTTGCCAAAATTAGTCTTATCTTTTCAAGTAGTAGGATTTAAAGGGCAAATTTATGTAGGGAAATACAGATTTTGCAATTAAACTCCGCCCCTCGGTCTGACACCGAATGAAAAATTCATCACGGTTGAGATCGAGATGAATGGGTGGAGCTTCTCTTTTGATTTTCTTTTCTAATTAATACATTTAGTTTTCCTTGTATAACACCATTACTTAAGAACATATTTCAATTCTCGCAGAAAAATAAGGATTTCACAATTAAGCTCCGCCTCCCGGCTTACGACGAATAAAAAAATCATCAGAATTGAGATAGGGTGGTTGGGCGGGGCTTATATTTTGTCTTTTTTTTCTTAATATACACAGACGTCTTTTTACAACAAGAAACTTTAAACTTGGTTAAAATGGTACATTTTTGCAAGGAAATATGGATTTTGCAATTATGGGGCGGAGTCGATGTTTCCTGATACAAATTTTCCATTTTAAACATCTTTTAGGTTATGAAAAGAAGTCTATACATATTTAAAAAAAAAACAAAATGGCAAATAATATAATCTCTAAGATAATAGAGGGTGGGTGAGCGGGGCTAGTACTTGCTAAGACAAGACTGATTTTGACAAATGATATAATCGCTAAGAAAATATAGGGAGGGTGGGTGGGGCTATTGCTTGCTAAGACAAGATTGATATTGGATTATATCAACATAATATAACATTTCAAGATCACAAATCTGTGGTCCTGTGGTTAAAAAATTAAAAAGGGCATCCAGTATTATGATTTGAAGTAATATGGTAATATAGAAGTAGTTTTTTTACTAGCTGTAAACACTCCTAGCGACGCACTGGCTACGACCTTGTGGACCAGCTCAAAGCATCCCCGCTACTCGCCGTAAAACACACCTTACTTCAACTGGGGGATTGCAGCGGTGAGATAAATTCCCGCGTACTGCTTATGAGAGTCTAGAAACTGAACTTTTGTAAAATTTTTGGGGAAGATATTAACATTGATTTAATGGTTATATGTAAAACAACGATTAACATTTATGTATTCACCTCCTCTAGAAAGTTAATAACGCCATCGCAAATATTTATTAAACAAAGGTTTATACAGGATTTTTACAAAAATTAATGAATGAATAATGTAATAACCCAAACCTCCCGCCTTTTATTTGGCATTGAACAAATTTTGAAAAAGCCCGCTAAAGTTTAAAACTTGACCTTGGCTGTGATCGTCTACAAAAGTGGGACCCTACATTGTGTTTTGAAGACTGGCGGGAGGCGTTCGTTCATACGAATTGGCGCACTGCGGAGCGGGAAGAGTGACGGATTTAAAAAACTTATATTTGGAAAAAAAAAACTATGAAAAATAAATCCAATAAGAGCTCAAGAGACCTTGGCCAAGGGCCCCAGAAGAGCTTAAAGAATTTATTCCTCAGAGAAAAAAAAACCTTTATTTTCACTCGAACCTGAGAACATAGAATAAATATTAGCAACCTTACAAGTACAACAAAAAAAGCAAAATAAAAAGTCGCGGAATTCTCAGAAAGTAAATGGATGGCAACGTCCCAGATATTACGGTAGTGTGGCCTCTACAAACAAAATGGGGGCGCGCAGCGAGCACAGGGCGAAGGCCCCACACCCCGTGAAGGTCCACATAGTCCTACCTCACCACTTCACGCGCGTGGTCTTACGCACCCACCTGACATAGGTTGACCTTCCTGTTTCCCGCGTACAAGGTAATTCGGTAAAACTCCGAGTCCGCTAGGGCCGGAAGTCTAGCAAGACCCGCAGACACTCGCACGGAGACGCCGACGCCACCGCGTCCACGCCACACGACCCCCGAGTTAACTAGCGTTATCAAAATGAGTATTTGGATTTCAGACAAGCAATAAGCGTAATTTAATTGGCCACGCTCCATCAACACTTGTTTTAAATAACAAAGAAATTGAAATGAGATTAAATTATGCACGTGTGATCAACAATCTTATGCAATAAAGAAAATGAAGTGAGAAATTATTCATGTTTTTATCAATAACTTTAAAGAACAAGAATTTTTGAAAGAGATTAAATTATTCACATTTTGGCAATGATTTTAATGAAATATTTATCTGACATTAAACAACGAAGTTACGACTGCATTAAAATGATCTGGGCAAAGTTACGTTGTTGACCGAATTAAACAAACAAACCCCCCCTCCCTTCAACACATCCCCAAACAAAAGACACATAAATAAAAACACATACGAAATAAACAGAACAACACATAAAAATGCGACACATAAAATATGCAAAATAAATAAAATATAGGTAATCGTAGGTGCACATTCGATTTGAATTGTACCTTTCTTTCAATAACATTCATTTTCAAATTCATCAACAGTTTTCGGTCAACAACAAATCCCCAATCACTAATACAAAAATTCACAAAGGTTGCCCTTGAAATTCCCCGGTCAACACCCCGTACCTGCACCCTACCACTTTCTCTTTCTATTTTGAACGGCTGAATATTTGAAAAACTACATGAAATTTTCCAGCATTAGAGTTTACAACAACCGGATAATAAATCGAGGAAAAGCCATTCAAATATCTTAGATCTTATAATGTCAGCCAAATTGATGTGCCTAATTAATCCATGTTATTAACACAAAGGAAAAAAAAATCCCCCGTCCCCCAGACTCTAATATTATTAATTTTCTAATGCCTTTCTCAGCGTTAATTTTAGTTAAAGATTCGCTTGTTCAGATCATGTTTGAATTTACTTTACTCACACGTGCTCAAATTATGCAACGCAAAATAATAACTCGAAAATCGCCATCCAACTTTCCGCATAACATTCGCTAAATAAAACTGCCCTAGCTAACGTAATTCCCTGAAAGGCCCTACTAAAACGGATTGAAATTATGTTGAAAAGATTAGTACGAAAATTATCGGCCATGGCGTCATCCGGAAGTGCCGCCATTTTTGGTAGCGTCCGTTCGCGTATGTGACGCCCGCGAAGCTCACAGGTGTGGTTCCCGCGTCTCACCTACTCCGTAACCATCGAGAAGCAACGCCGCTTCTTCCACCAGCACACACGGAATCACGTGGAAAACATACCTCTCGGATCTTCAAACCAAATACGTGCTCACCACCGAAATAACCTCTCTGTGTTCGAACGTAGCAGAGAATTCTTACGTTCGCTGGTTCGTCAGGGGGGTGGAACTCCGTTGAAAGGAATCACCGCTGAAAACGGAAACAAAACGCACAGACACTTGGAAAACGCAGAGAGCACCAACTTGACGTCTTACTCGAAAGAAAGACCAAATCAATATGGCCGCGACTTACCCTTCTCCAACACACCCTTCTGCGCACCTCCCTCTTAGTGGTTTTTGTTTCTTTCCATTTCTATCCCTTTTCTTACCAAAAGTTTGGCGCGCGGAAATTTGGTTCGAAACGGCTTACTACAATAAATTAATTTCATTTTGCTGAATAAACCGAAAAGATGTAAGAGACGCCATTATATAAAATTGTACCTATTATGTATTGCATGTATTATAGGCACATGAACAAATATGAACTCTGTTTTGAATAAAGATTTGTTGAATTTGAATTTGCGCGGCCACTAGTTAGATGTGGGTTCAAATCCCATTTACGTTTCCATAGACTTGTTTAGATAATTTCACTGAAAAAACAAGTCAACTTTCATAAGTATTTTATTTTCAACAATGATAAATCTAAAAACAGAAAAACCGTATAAGGTAGCTCAGTTACTTGAAACCATGTTCCGTCATTTCTAAGTGGGATTTGTTGACTCTCTAGGAGCGTTATTCATAAGACTCCTCTTCTTTTTGTCTTTCTGGCCAATACCGCAACAAGTCGATTTCTTCTTCTTAGATTTGTCTTCATCTTCCTCTTCCTGTCCTCGGTCGAGTATAGAAACCCTTCGAATTTCAAAATTTTCAGGGTTAGTAATCTGAAATCGCCTATTTGCGTTATCATCGTCCTCGATTTTTCTAAATTCTTTCATTTTTTCATTTATAGCAGCTATGTTATCGTCTTTTGATTTATCTTGATCAATGCTTGGCAGGTCATCAAGTTTGTTCATGATTTCTTGATTACCCGGCGACTGCAGGACTAGACCCAGCGGCTGGTCGTGCACGTCTCGACTCATAGAATACCTCACTTTTAATCCCTCGTGAGGTTTTAGCATAACTGATGAACTCATGCTTGGACTCTCTTTCTTCAAAAGGGTTGGAGTAGTGCTATACGATTCCATTGGTTGGACAGTGCGAACTTCATCTTCTATCATCAGAGATGGTCTTCTAAATGATTCGATATCAGACATCCGGTCATTTATAGATTCGCTTGTTCGTCTTGCGGGATATGTTAGTTCGTTTGGGTCTTGTCCTGGTGAAATAGAAGGATATTTAAAATAATCGATGTTTGTAACTGGTGGTGGTTGTGGTGCTTCGGAAGATTCTGTCTTAATTTCACTCACATAGGGTTGGTTGTAGGTTGTTGGCATTTCAACTTCTTCCTCCTCGTGCTGCACTGTTTCCAGTGGTGACTGCAAATGGACTTTGTCTGCTTCGTACTCTTCATTTAACAACAACATATATTCGTTCTGTGCGTTACTATGTCGAGGTGATTCGTCTGGAGATACTTCAGGAGGTGTTTGAGGTGGAGGTGATGTAGGTGAAAGTGACTGTGGTGGTGGTAACTGAGGTGGTGTTAACTGAAGTGGGGATGGCAGAAGTTGAGGCGGTGTATCTCGATGTGATTTAGATGGCATTTTCAATATAGATGACACCTTACAAGAAGAAGTGCTCGTGCTTGCATCCACTAACAGGTAGTGATACTTTTTAGCAAAGTCGGAATAACGTTTTTTTGACGGAGCATCGCCAGGAAGAATGTCAGAGCTTTTTTCTTCACATACCGCACTGCTCCCCACTCCAGAAACTGGGTCCTCTGCATGTGTACTGTGTATACTTCTCTTCTCGTCAGAACCGTCTCCAGTCGACATTGATGATTTTTTAGCTTCAACTTGATCGTCGCCGGTTGAACCCTGAGCACCCGTACCATGCTCAGAAGACGGAACCTTTTTTTTTAATGATGAGGATATCTTTTTTTCAACAAAATTAACATCCGAGACTGTTCGATCTTTATTAGACATTTCGTCAGGTTTTGGTGCGGAAGAAATATCTGTTTGGGTAGGCAGCACTACGCTACAAGGAGCTGAACAAACTGTTGGTAATTGCGCCCCACACTTTTTAGGGCCACAGTCTTGTAGAGGCTTTCTGTGTTGAGATTCTTCTTGGATAGTAGCAGGAGGACGTTCTTCTCTTTCAGAGGGTTCACGGGTTTGAACATTAGGAGAAACTTCATCCTGGCTGTTATTTGAAGGTAAGGAACTTTTTTGGTTTTCATAGTTTTTAATTGCTTTTTTTAGAATAGGTTCTTTGGCACATTCCTTTTCCATCTTGGTGCTGGAGTTTGATCCAACGTTACCTTGTTTCTGAAGCTGACCACTTATACTGTCCATATTTGCTGCGAGAGGTCCATTGCTACGTTGAAACAAGTTTACTTGTGACAGGATCTCCGGCTGAGTCTCCCCTGAGGTTTCAGATGAGCTCAGCACAATTGATGATACATTTTGTATTAAAACTGTAATCGTTTTACTTTCGAGCATACTACGAGGCATGCATACTGGCCCATCAACTAAAACATATTCTTCATTTGTGTCGTCTACTTGAATCTTTAACGCAGTCTTCTGAAGAGTAACAGAACAATAGCAATGTTGGGAATTATCGAGATGATAAAACACTGTTTGTGACCGATCTTTCTGATCTTTGGGTACCATTTTGTACGTACTGTTGACACTCGTTCCGCATGGAGGTGAATAAGATATTTTGGATGGCGGCTTCCGCAGCTTATTTTTCTCGTTGGGGTCTTTTTCAGGGGGTTGCTGACAAAGTTCAGGCTCTGTACATTCTCCTTTGCCATTAAGTTCATTGAGCGGTTCTTGTGTTTCTACAAAGACTCTTGTACTAAAAAATGAAAACTGTTGCATAATAGATACCTGGGACACTATGTATTGAATGAATCCCACCTAAGTGAGAATCTGCCCATGTTTTCTCTTGTTTTGGTGATTCTTTCTGTTTTGCCTCGACAGTCTCGTCCAAAGTGCCTCTTGAAGCCGAAACAGGTGATCCCTTCCCCTGTGATATCGGAGACGTAACCGACTGTTTATTTTGCTCTGGCCCCGATGTTACACTTTCTTCACACACACACGATTTGGTTTCCTCTTCATTCTCATCTTTTCCTTGTGCTGGCTCTTCTTCGATCTCATCTAGTTGTTGTGTGTCCTTCACTGGTTCGCTTACATCTACATCCATTTCCTTCATCTCTGGTTTTTCATCCCTCTCCTCTAAACTTGGAAGATTTTCTTTAACTTGTTTATCGGTTTGTTTATCCTGTTTAGGACAACAAGGATTTGAACATAGGCAATCTGCTTGACAATTTGGATACGTGCAATTCGATGCTTGTACGTCTTTGTTACAATAGCATAAGTCTTTTCGTTGTAATGGGAGGCAGAGTTGTCGTTTTAACTCTTCTATTTGAGCACGCATTCTGTCCTACATAGTGATAGAAACAAAATTAATGATTACACTAATCGGTTGCCTTTACCTCATCTAAACGTCCTTTGTTAGCATCTATGTGACTCTGGAATAGTATTGTTAGCTCCTTATCTTCGTATATATTGTTTCTTAGTATGTCTTCTGTTATTTTCAACAAAAAATAAGCGTATTCACAGTCTTGTGGCTCCATTCTGAAAAAAAAACCAAACAAACACTAACAAAAGAGTAGCTACGATATTTGAAGTTTTATTGTCAAATTTTTACCACCCAAGACAGTTTAATTTAATTTTGAAAAATAGTTAACTTCAATAGATATTATTGTGGAATATTAAACGCTATGATGATAATTTTAAACAAAAATTTTACCACCTTGTAAATTACACACTTCAGCATTTAGAACATAACAATTCTTGCAATGTAATAATTAAGTACGTACATTCCATTCATCGTTGTCTTTTCCTTTCCAGATGCAACTTTCTCTGTTTTCGGGGTATAATTTTCCGCATTTGGCTCATTTTCCTGGTTTTCTTTATTTGTCTTCATTGGCTGTTTGGTATATGATGCACTGTCTGATTTCTTTTCTGTTTTCTTTTCTTTTGTAATAGATTTTGTTGCTCGAATTTTCCCTACTTTATGCTTAGATAAATCATTTCGTTTTTGAAGTAGTATTGGAGTTACTAATGGGCCGAGTGCACTGGCAGGCCGTGAGTTAGATCGACAAGGGACAAAATCTTGCTAATAAAGCAATCATTAAGGAAATATTTTCCAATACTTAACAATATATATAGTACCCTCTTGCAAGTTGGAGGAAGGCTGTGGCGCGTTTGGAACTCACAAAATCTTGTTGGAACGACTGGCCTACTCGAACGAGACTCGGAAGGATAAGGACTAGTACTTCTAAAAAACAATGTAAATGATGCATTATTTTCGAAAAAAACATTATTACCTGGAAGTACAAGTAGGGGGAGGAGGAGGAGTGCATTGTGGTACCTTTACAACTCTGCAGCCGCATTGCTTTTTGTTGTAACCTTTAGGAGATGAACAATCAACAACTGCTTTAGCTTTTTTTATTTTTTTGTAATGATTCGCCATGTGAAAATATAAATCACAACTGGAGAGAGTCATATGTGCAGTTTTTTTTTGACAGAGTGCCGTTTGCCTGGAGGGTTTGTTTGTATTGAATGACGTTACCTGGAATACCCGCATGGTATCGATTCCTCTCAGAAAACAATAATAAACTGAAGCTATAATCAATTGAGATATTCTTGTTTTAAAGAACATTTTTATTTTAAACATGCCGTAAGTATATTATACTTAACTCGGTTTTTTCTTTTCCAGACAAACGAAAAGCATTTTTTCTTGAAAAAAAAAATTGTGACAATATTAGGTTCAAATGTTAAAACAGCTGTTTCCTGCGCTATGTATTTTAATGTATATTACTATATTACTTTTGGTAATAAAAAAACATGTGAATGTATAGATGTTACTTTATAAACAACCATCACTACTGCAGACAAATGGTGACCATATTTAAAAAAATGATAAGGAATGCGAAAGGTAGGTATGTGGACGAATTAACATCGGGTGGATCAAAAACGATTTTTAGTTGAAAATAGATCGTCTCAACCCATGGAACCTCTTCATTGTGACCACAAATGTAGGTTTTCGTCTCTTTTCTTTCCCAAAATCAGTAAGTCAGGAGTGAAGAAAGAACGTTTATGGTTGTGCTACTCGGTAATTCTACTAATTCTAATTTTGTGACGATGTTGTTAATTGTTGTGGAAACTAAAATTTTAAAGAATACTGACAGTGTGAATAAGCTCTTCTAGAAAAAAAAAGCAGCAAAATATCGAATAATGCGTTAAAATCATCATTTGAACATTACATTAAAAATTAAGTCAGAATTCTTGGATAGAGAATGGAAGACTAACACGGAGTTGTGAAAAAAAAATATCTCGACTAAAACGATTTCTTGAAGTTGATGAGATTGAGAATCAGTTTCAAACACGGTTAAATGAAGAATTTATTTAACAACTGATATTTATCACAGCACATTTGAAAAACTGATGTTTTGGACTTAATTCGTTTTACCAAACTTTTCACATTGCGTCTCCAGATGTTTTAAATAACGCTTTGTTTCGAACTCGTTCGACGATATATGTTTTCTTGTATTTAATAAAAGGAATGATACGGATTTCGAACGCGTCCGGTGAATTGATATTTGAATGATACGTTGAAATAGGTAGGATGACTGATAAAAGAACCAGCGGACTGTCGTTACAGATTAGAGATGTTTATTTCCCGAAAGCTACAGGTAGAATTCTCGTTTAAGGCGGGTGGTGGCCAACTTCCAGTTGAGGGTGGGGAGAATCAAAACACGTACCCCCAGTACTGGCTCTCAACACGCTTCTAACAAAGAATTATATCAAATGGTTAAATTACCTAAAATATTCGGAAGATATTTCTGACACCATGTCATTTTAATTATTTTCTCTCCGTCAGTATTTCAAAAATAATTCCTATATTAAAAATGAGTTCATGATAGAATTAACTGAACATACATTAGGAAAATTGTTTCTTCCTGCATCAGCTTCAGTGAAATTTATTATAGCATGTCCTATTTGTCTCACAATACCTATTTCGGTGGAAAGATCTTTCTCAAAATTAATTTTTTTTTCAAAAACACAAAAGGCGAACACAGATTATCTTCACTACCTATGTTTCAAGTAAAAATGAAACTGCTAGGAGTAGAGATATTTCAAATATTGAATTAACTTTTGCGTGTTCACAACCACGAAAAAACAAATTTGAGATAAAAAAAATACTCTCTTTGGTAATAAAATCGCTTTTAGAACATTCGTTAAACCAATTTATTAATAACAGCAAAGGAAAATCGGAAATTCTAAAATCTGTAAGTACTAAATTATGGGAACTGTTCCCTAGTATATGTAGTAGGTAGGCCAAAACGGAAATACAGTTTAATCCAAGGAAAATAATCATTTCATAAAAACTTCAAATTCTTCACATTACAAAGGTCGAAAATCATGTTCTTGAATGTCTTTAAAGTAAACATTATTTTAAATAATCAAGTAGACATTAAATTTAAAATTGAAATATCCCATCTTAATCACCTTAAAAACATAAATATAAAAAAAATCAGTGTTTTCAAACTTCTCATGAGAACTATTTTAGTTTGACATATTTTTCAATTTTTAGAAATTCACAATGCGTCCTTCAATATACATTTTAAACATTTAAATGTTTCAAACTTTGCTGATTTGTTTAGATATTCGGTGGTATTTTGTATATTTTTTAGAAAATATGAATATAAATTTTCACAAGATTTCGATACTTACAATCTTCTGGGAGGCTACAAGTCGGAACATAAACAAATAACAGTAGAAGTCTCAACATTAATAACTGGTTGAACAAATTATAGTTGACACGTCAGCGTGATCTAAAAATTTAACTTTCATTTTCAGTGCAAAATATAAACATTGTGTTAGTTTTCAAAACAATCGGGAGTTTATTTGCAGAATTAGCCACCAAACATAAAAAAAGCTATTTCAGTTGCAAGGAAATCAATCCTTTTTTGAAACTAAAGATGTTACAACATAACGCTTTACTAAACGTTCAAAAACCTGGATGGATGTACACGTGTATCCTGAACTTCCCCACGAACGATCGACGAAATGATACGGATGGTTGTTATAATAAACAAAAAAAAATACATACCCCACATAATTCTCTCATGTCTTCAGAGTTCACTAAAATTTGTACATGATAGTCGAAATGAAAAATGAAACTGTCAAATGTGACAATAATAAAAGTCAAAATAATTAAACATTATCTTTATATACAATTTGGAATGATAAATAACAATACTTTATATACATGGACGTTAAGAGAACAGTAACTTTGTGGTTGAACGTAAGTAGAACATAATTAAGTACGTAACGAAAATACTTTTAAAGTAGAATCAACGTTTTCTTAGACAACTTCATAAATTTAAATAAATAGAATATCACTTATAGCTCACATGTGTACAGCCAACACTTGACCCATTTGAACTAGAATTGGAACCAATACTCACATGCTGATAACCTACAGCATTACTTGCTCCCTTAGTCATTTTTTACTAGTCCGATTTTTGGGAGCAATGAAATCTAAATCGGGAATTGCCGAAATACTCGGGATCACATTTCTTGCCGACATTGGAGAAACCTTTTTGTTTTGCGGTGGCGCATAACTCTGGAACGTCTCAAAATGTGTCGGATTCATGATTATGTTAGTGGTTGCGTTTGTCCAGTTGATCTGCGGCGCTTTTCCTTGACTAAAACTGGTCTTTTGTTGATAACCATTCATTTGAGACGGTGGTGGTGGTTGACTCGACACAAAATCGCTCCAGTCGTCATCGTCATCCTGGGACTGACTTTTCGTAGGTGGCGCCATCGTCGTACTGTTCCCGGAGGCAAAATTTGCAGCAAACTGATTACTAATAATTGAAGGTTGAAACTGAGTCGTCGGTGGCCTAAACATACTCGGTTGAACACTCGTTTGGACCACCGATTTTGGCTGAAGGGTCATATTCGAAGACAGTTTGGTCTGAACTAAACCGCTCGGGGTTATAACCGGAATAGGCTGTTTCGGAGCCTGAACGTTATTTAGGTTTAATACTGATAGCGGCAAATCTGGGGTTGCCGTTCGTTCAGGCAAAACTGACTTAACCGGATTTGTAACCGACACGAAATCTGACCACTCTTCATCATCCAATGAGTTGTCTTTACTGACTTCTTTCGCCTTTTCTTCTTTTACTTCATTCTTCCGGAAATAACTCAACTCGATATTCCTTATATCCTCGTCAGTTACCCCAGGATCGGGCCAATTAATTTGCGTAGGTTGTGAATACTGTACAGTTGGTTTTAGAGGTTCCATGGGAACCGGTTGAAGAGGTTTCAATATATTATTCTGCGGCAGCGAGGAATGAAATTCGGTAAATTCGTCATCATCATTTACGTCTATTTTCTTTTCCTCTACAACGTTATTTAAGGGCACCCCAAAGATATGTTCATGATTTTGCGAGTTTTTGCTAATGTCTACAGGCGTTGCTACTTTGCTGGTCATGTCAAATTCGCTCAAATCTGGCAGCGCAAGAGTACTTTTCAGTTCTGGCGCACTCGGTTTCTCTTTGTTTTCCTCAGGTAAGACCATCTGAAAATCGTCAAACTCATCTTCGTCCAAAGGATCTATAACCGTGTCTTTCCTTGGTAAATCTGGTGTAAGGATTGTAGGTTGTAACCAACCTGGTTTACCGTTTACGTCGTTTAGTTCTGTGGAAATGTGAGTTTCTCGTAGGGGGATTAGTTTCGGGGACTGAAACTGTGAAAATTGGTCGTCTGTAGTTGTTTTTGGCAAATCTGTGTTGTTTTCATTTTGCGATACGCTTGGTTCGGCGGCTATTTTCTCAAGACTTTCTGTGTCGAATAAACTAGGGATTGGTTCTGGTTTGTCTGTCGTCGTCGGCAAGAAATCGTTTTGGATTTGTGGTTGGGAAGATTCTTCAGGTACGTTTCCTGGCAGTTCGGCTGATGTTGCTACAAATGGAAGGATAATTTCAAATGTCAATATTTACAGAAAAAAAAATTGTTGGTGATGTAAATAAAATTTTGAGGTCAATGACTCGACTTAATGACATGCTGTGTTTACACATATTTATTAATTAATTTGAAATTAACAAATTTTAAGAGAGAGTGGAAAACAGTAAAAGTTCTTTTGTTAATGCCTCATGAGTATTATAATTTGCTGGACTGTGAAGTATTTAAGTCTTACTTGACAGTTTCGTGAATTAATTTCATTCTTTTACGTTGTGGTGAAACTATTTGTAAAACATCTACTAAGAATGCAATTACATGAAATTATTTTATACTCTTGTACAGTGAAATTAGTAATCACACACTACACGAAAACGTGGCTGAAAGCTGTCTTTTTCAACTTTTTTGATAAATAAAATTGCAACATTTAATTCGGTAAATAAATTTTAAATTTCAAAAAAAACTTGGCAATAAATTGTTAAAAAATTAATATTCCAGAGAAAATTGTGGTTTTTAATTGCTCCAGCAAGTGAGTAAAATTTTGATTTCAGACATAAGTGATGACTAAATCAGTGTTTTAAAATACGTGCCAAGTATAAATATCTATTAGGTACCTGACCGAAATTTTTCAACATACATAACTCTGTTAAATTTCTATTTAATAATAATAATAATCATAGGTGAAACATTTATTTGTTTTTTCTTTGAACAACATTATAGGCTTCGCCTGCTATTTAATAGTAATAATATTAAAAGATATATTACCCAGTATATATTTTTTGTCATTACAACTTTATTTGGTTTTAAGCATTTTGTTTAGTTTTCATGTATATATGTACTAATTTTTGCTACCTGTTGAACATTTCTACTTGAATTCAGTGCGTTCTGTACTACGCATTAAGACAAGCAGCTACAAAATTCCGTTAATATTATTAAAAAATCTTCGTAGTATTTAGCATTACGCTTTAATTTAAAATTAGTTTTTGCTTGATTTTTAAAAACTGAATACATTTACTTCACTGACTGCATAACAGGATTTTTAGCACCAGTTGAGCTCAAAACCGTGACTGAGATAATTGACCGAAAATTAAAATTTAAAATAGAACCAAATCTAACACGATTTTTTTTCGGTCGTCTGACTGTCAAAGTTTAACATGCATTTATCCACTAGTCAACTTTTTACCCCTTCTGAAATAGACATCAATTCGACAAAAAGTGTGCTTTCAAATGATTGTTAATCTATTGCCGGACGCCACAAGAGATGTAATAAAATCTCACAATTTTCAGTTTCAAAACGATAGCTAAGGGCCAGTATTTTACAGTATTTTAACACCCAGAACACAGCAAAACAAAAATGCGAATTTCCTATTTCCGCTTCTCGGCCAATTAATAATTTATTAAACTGATAATTTCCTGAATTGTCCAAGCGATTACTTTAAAATTATTTAAGGATGTTCACTCCCCCTCTCAATGAGATATAACATTGCTTGTTGCGTAATAACCAACGCGCGGAATTGTGTTTCATACGCTCGATCCAGTGCTGTCGCGGCGATAGTTTGATTACAAATATATTTTTCTTTTGGACTATATCAACATAATATAACATTTCAAGATCACAAATCTGTGGTCCTGTGTTTGAAAAATTAAAAAGGGCATCGAGTATTTTTATTTGAAGTAATATAGTAATATAGAAGTAGTTTTTTAACAAGCTGTAAACACTCCAAGCGACGCACTGGCTACGACCTTGTGGACCAGATCAAAGCGTCCCCGCTACTCGCCGTAAAACACACCTTGCTTCAACTGGGGAATTGCATCCGTAAGATATTTTTCCGCCCAGTGGTAATAACAATAAAATCAATCAAGCAATTTTTGTATCAATTATCTCAAAACAATATATTAATTTTTTCAAAGAATGCAGTAAAGTTGAGATTACTTTTAAATTGTGATTATCAAAACTGAGATCTTTTTTTACACCAAGAAATTAACAATGACATCTTGAAAAAAAAAAATGGTCAATTCGTGAGTCTGGGAAACATAGTAAAAAAATTTATTCTCACATTTTGGTGGAGTTATAATGATTTATAAAATTGGTTCTTTTGCTACGTTTAACGACTAAACAGCACATTCATTGTCACAATAACTAATGATAAAACTTTCAGTTAATATTTCTCTCGCCCATGACCATGTTTAATTACCACTTCAGTTAGAATGTACAAAGATATGGTTGTGTTGTTTTTCTAATAATTTGATAAAATTCCATTTGCCAACAATGATATAAAGCGAAGGTACAAACCAGCAAAAATCGAGTAAACAGTTAAAAGTGTTTGACGTATCAAAAATTATCAAAGTTTTCAAAAATTCTACGTTTAAATTAAAATATTCGCAGTTAATTTATTTTCGGATAAATTTAAAGAAATCTGGTGTTTTGTTGCTGGATGAACTTGAAAAAAATCTGTTGAGCTATTAGTGTTTTATTTTTCATGAATTTGAAAAGGTCTTGGCTGCCAGTTTTTTTTTTTTTTTAATTCAGGAGACTTTGGTACCCACGGTGTATTATTTTGGGAGCCCATGGATTTTTTTTTAATCATTTAAAACAATTGTGGGGGACTTTGGTGTTCTATTTTTGGAAAATTCTGACCCGATCTATTTTTGAGTAACTTTTGGAACCCCGTTTTTTTTTTTAATTTAAAACAATCTTGAGGTTCTAGGTATTCCTGTTTGGAAAGAATGTGAAAGTGCTTTGGAGCCTCTATTGTCTTTTCTTATAATTTAATTAAATTTATTAGAGGATACGTCATTTGCTAAAATCAGTCTTATCTTAACAGGTACTGGCCCCACCCACCCGCCCTCTCTTTTCTTATTCATTTACCAACATCAGTTTTATCTTAGCAAGTACTGATGACTAACTTTTACAAAAAATGATCAAAATTTGGAAACATTACGAGCTTACTTACATGTTCAAGGCAGGAATTTTGAACATCTTTTCTAGTGTTTAGTTTGTTATGCTTTAGTGCAGGGGTCGGCAACCTGCGGCCCGTGAATCGATATAAACACATCCTTTTTTTTTATTTATAGATATTATATATAGATAAAACTTTTTCTAACCCAAATGCGAAACGATAATTTTGTTATTTTCCTATTTTAAATTCTTTATTTCAAAATAAAAGTCCAAACCTTCTTCAACATAAAAATTCATTACTTTATTAGAACAAGAATTTATCAATCGATTCGCAAATTTTCACGAAAAAGATGTAGAATTAAATTTTTTTGGAAATCCGTTTTATACCGATCCCTGCAAAATGTCTGAAGATCTGATCTGCAATTGGAAGTTATAGAACTTCAAGCAAGTGAAGATTTGAAAAACGATGTTCAGGGAGGGCAGTTAAAAGAATTTTATGCAAATTTGTCAAAACTGAAAATATTTGGACAAAAAATGTTGTCTATATTTGGAAGCACATATATGTGAACACAATTTTTCTCAGATGAAAATCGTAAAATCTAAATATCGTTCGCGACTCAGTGATCTACATTTAGAAAATCTTTTGAAAGTGACGACAAGTGGTTTCAAGGCTGATATTCCAAAATTGGCAAACAATCGACAAAGTCCACCTTTAATTAATCGTACCTAATGTATTTTATTTTTGAAATTAAAATTTCTTTTCTAAATTTATTTTTTGTTGTTGTTTTGTTTACTAAGAAATCAAAAAGTAAACCAGAGATATTCACGCATTAGGTGCGTGCAGTGTTGCCAATTTTATTTTTATAAAATTAGGTTTTTTTCGTAATCTACATCATAAAGATTTTTTTTATTATTATTTTGGGACTTCCGAAACCCCCGTACATAACGTACTGAAGAATTAATCCGCCATTTCCCAAACACCTCGTATATATAGATTTTTTTTTTCAAGTAAGTTTTTCATAACAAAATTTTGTAATAACGTCATCAATTTTTTATCAAAGACACGTATATTAACCTGATATTTAGATAGATACAGTGTAATACTATTAATAATAATAACAGTGCTGGGTTGCCAAAATTTCAAGAAAATGAGGTGAGTGGTTCTTGGTTTAATAAATAAAACAAATTGCTTCATTCATTTTTTAACCACCCTGTATAAGCTAATTTAAAAAAGATGAATGCCATAATAATCTATAAGTAAATATTTGGAGAAGACGGTCTTTTTTTGGGGGGGGAATTTGCATTCGGTTTTGCAGTTTCTAACTCAATTTGTATAGAATTTTGATTTTTTTTTCAAAACTCTGAATATCAAGACAGATTCATAAACCACAAGAGTACAAGTATGTTATTTTTTAATATTTAAGTAATGTTTACCACGCAAAAGTTTGAGATGACGTTGTCAAATTGTTGGCGATAATCAAACAAATTTTGGTTAGCGTTTTAGCATCTACACGATATTCCTAACATACATATTGTATTATAAATAAAATAGCATATGCTCAGAAAGTAAAAATTCGTATAATAGATACAAGTTACTTCTTAATTATACTTTTAATATAATAATAAATTTAAAATATATGTTAATTTAATATAGTGAAACTGGCATTTTTATACTTAGCTATACAAGAATTAGTTACACAGCGTGTGTTATCTAATAATAGTAGGTGTAGACCCACTAATTAACTTGAACTCGACACACTCCTGTATTCATTAAACACGATATCATGGCACTGTCAAACATACTATGTAAGAACAGTGCTGTTAAAATATAAAATACCGTGATAATTTTCAAAGTTATCACTCCATTATTAAGTACTTCCGGAACGCAAGTGAATGAAGTATTGTAATATAGTCCATCGGACGACTAGCCACTTTCATGTTTTCTTGACGCTTCATGACCCCAAGAGTGCGAAAAAAATTTTCTTCCGTTTCCAGCTGTCTGCCTGTTGTCTGTGTCGATTTTTGTTAGAGAGATAATCTCTGAAACTACTGGACCGATTGTCGTCAAATTTGTCTAATCATCCCCACCAACGCAGTGGTTTTTAGTAAAGGCCATTAAAATTTAATAAAATAACATACTCCTATACTTGTGGTTTATGAATCTACCTTGGTTTGTGATTTTTGGAAAATATTTGAATACATTATAAAATTTTATTTTTTAAAGATACGTTAATTGAATCAATAATGCATTTTGTACATCTCTCAACAATAAATAATGTTTAAAAAAGAAAAGTTTTGTAGTTTACAAACAAAAAAAAGTTTGGTAACACTACCAAACCTAATCATTTTATTACGACAAAACGTATCAACGATTTAATTATTTGTAAGTTCATATCCCCACAAAAATTATTACTACTTTCAACAATGATTTATTAAAATTTATCTATTTATTTTAAACAAAACGCCACAGAGAAGACAAACTTTGAGTTATATAATACGTCAAACATGCGTATATTCCCCAAAAAAATAGATTTCGTAAAAGATTCTTAAAAAGTGATTCAAGCTATTAAAAAATATATAAAAATATTCAGAAAACAAAGATATGAAACTAAATAAAAAATTGTGGAAGACTGTTGGAAATTTTGTTGTCTTATTAAAACATCGTCCTCGATTTCATTATACAATACGGAAATAGCTGTTGATAAAAATGCAGAATACCTTATCTACTTAGTTAAAGCATTGACTGCGAGTAATTGCAGTAAAATTCTACTTTTAAAAGTGACTTCCGCTATACTATTGCACCACTTGATTACGAAATTAAAAAAAAAAAAAATTATCAAAAATAAATTAATAATGCTTATTTCCTTAATCGAAAATTTTACAAAAATCATTTGCTGTAACAAAACAGATCACAATAAATCCTTATCACCAACGGAAGCAAAAAATTACATCTTCAAAATTAATGCATATTTTGTATAAAGGAATTATATTTTTCAGTAATTAAAATTGTGTTTTTTACGAATGAATGACGATAAAAGTTAAAAAAAAATCTCAAAATTTGTAGTTAACATCGTTCATGATTTTTATATAGATCATACTTATAATTACTTACTGGCACAACAAAAGATTACAATTAAAATTTTTCCTGTCAAGAAGTAGGCACTTTTTTGATCACAAAAATATACACACATGTACTAAATACTTTCTACTTTATGAAAATATCATCTACTTTGATCAAGTTCAATTCAGTACTCTATACTTACACTGTAACCACAGATCCCACTCATCCAATAATTCATTGGAAGGTGAAGGAGACTGGTTGGAATTGGGATGAGTGGTTGAAGGAATATCGAGGGAGGCTACCAACTGCTCTAAATCTAACAGCATGGTTTGTGAGTCTGTAGGTGCATTTTAGTATGTCATCAAATTTTGTTTTGGATTTGTGGAAATGAGCATTAGGGAATCCATTGAGCGAGCGTGAAAAAAATTTTCAAGTATATTAGCGCTCAAAACGCGTATTGACTTTGACACTGATTAATTAATCAGATACTTACAATCAAGAGGATTTATCAGTCCTGAACCACTCCAATCAAACTGTGCTGTGGGAATATCACTGTTGTTCTTCTGACTAGAATTGGACGGACTCGAGACATTCTGAATGGGAGTAGGAGTGAGTATTTCAGTTTTTACGGGTTCAAGAGGTGTTAAACCGAGATTAGCAGCGAATCTTGGCATCGAACAGTTCCACGCAGGTCCATACAACTGGAAAAAACGTTTTAAATATTTAAAAAGTTGCGTTATTTAACACTTACTATATTTCTCGTATCAATATTTAAAGCTTTAAAGAACATCTTCTGGCTGTTTGACTTAGACCACTGATAAATTAAGGCGTTTGTTTCAGTCACATCCTTCAATTCATCAAATACTGTGATTCCCTTTGTTTCATCAGCAAATTCAAACTCCTTCATTTCCGAATCTACCGATGGAAATATATCTTTCAAGATTGTTTCACTCTTATCAACGGCGTTCTTCTCATCTATTTCTAAAAACGTAGGCTTTTCACACGCTTGTGATGAAAAATCTGCAAACTCTGAAGACTCAAAATCGCCGAAGTCATCATCAATCCTTTCCTCGACATCCTGCATCGGTGGACAAGGATCCACAAAATCATCAAATTCGTCTTCAGATGTTTTATGTATATCATCAACCTCAGTAGCAAAGTGATTTTCAAAATCACCAAATTCATCCTCACTCAATTTTGGGTCAGTTTCACAAACTTTTAAACTCACCGAAGATTCACTTAAATTATCATAATTTTCTTCTTTTGAGGAGTCATCAACTTTACTCTCCCCTTCATCTTTACTAGTAATTTCAAAATTAATTTCTTCGATACCATCATTTTCCGATTTAATCTCACTATGTTCATTCATATCTGACAAATCATCAGAGTTGCTAGTCTTTTCCTGTACACAATCACTAAAAGCATCAAACAAACTTTCTTCATTCTCTTTATTGTTTAAGTTGTTTTCATTTTCATTATCTACTTCACTCGATTTCAGTTCTACAGAAGCAACTTCGTTTTGTTGATTTTCATCACAAGCATTTTTGGAAATTGGTACGACACTTTCAAAATCAAAAACGTCTTCCACAGCGGTACTGTCATCTTTTATTTTGCTATCCTGCTCGCTTACATTTAACTCAGTTGGTTTGTCCTCCGTTTGTTCATCGTTTTGTAAGGAATTAACATCTTTATTGTTATCAAAAAATTTTGGTGGTGATTCAGATTGACTATTACTAAAATTGACTTCAAATTCATGTGGGTTTGGGTCATCATCTACTTTAACATCTAAACTTTTTCTTCTATCTTGAAAGTCTTTTTTTACTTCTTCGTTAAGAATTGATCCATTTAAATTCTGAGTTGGCATCTCTGTTGTGCTTGAGATTTTTTGGCTTTTATTACAATTTATATCTAAATTGACTCTGGAAATATCAGTTTTCAGTTCTTTTTCTGGTGATTTCTGAGGAGAGGGTGGCAAAGAAAAATCTGTTGAAAATGGTATTAAAAATGAACAAAATGATACTTCAAGTTTACCATCACAGTCATATGAATCTGCAGCCGCTCGAAAGTCTCCAAATTCATCGTCGTCGTCTTCGTCAAGAGGTCCGACAATAGGAGGTGGCGAACTGCTTAGAAGTGGAGGAATCAAATTCGACATCTGTAACAATAAACACGCACTGGGTACTTCAATGTTTACTAATGAGTTACTACATAGTTTTGCAACCTTGACGTGTACAACAAACGATATGAAATATAATTAACCAATTACCTGAATGTTAACGCAAAATATGTCACCTGTATGGATTAATTATGCACTATAAATTTTCCAATTTTATTTCGTTTTTAAATTAATACAACCGTTTACAACAGCACCTTGTCAGTTTTACTAATGCTATGTGTTTTAAATTCTATCAATTTATCACTAATTCACCTTAATTCACAAATTTAGTTCATTTACCACAATGACAGATGCAGCCATATTGACTATCAACATTCAACCAATCGTTGTTGAATTAGAAAAAGACAAAACGCGTCACGTGTTTGATATATTTATATCCTCGTCCTTTTTTGCATGATTGAGCATTTCAGCGGTAAAATTAAAATACAATTTTTTAAAGAACTGCTACGGTAACAAACTCCTTAAAATGTTAAATATTGTTTTTTTTTTATATACAATATAAAATTTATAATATTAATTGATACATACAACACTCTAACAAAACGACGCAATTAAATGACTTTTACTTCACACCACAGTTATGTAAACTCGCGAACACAAAATAATAGCTGTGACCATGTATTTCAATGTTTTATATTTATTTCCCACATTCATTTATAACACACAAAAAAAGAATGTTGTGTATTACTGGTTGCATCCCACAGGGGCTTTGCTACGTAGCTGTGATTGTAGGTTATGATTTTGTACCTTCGTTATTGGTACCTATTATTTTTAAATATTGTTTTTATTTATAAAGTATGGAACCTAAAGATTTGCGACAGTTAATTTTAAGTGCAACTGAACCATTTCTTATTAAAAACCAACTAAATTGGGCTCCTCTTACGTGGACGTTAGACGATTGGCAGCAAGTTTTAAAAGACGAAAAATTAATTTTTCGTTGTGGGCGAAAGCTATTTACAAAGGCATGTTAAATTTAGACTCCACAAAAACAATCAGCTAGTGTTATTTTAGGAACCACAATGGGAAAGAAAAACAGTCACCAAGAACGCGACTTTTAAAGAATTTTTATCATCAATGACAACAGAGAATCAGAACTGGATGTACTTTGACTACAAATACTTAAAAGAATGGTTTCACGGTATTAAGGATTTGAAAGATGTATTTTTCATTGTAACTTTTTTGTTATGTGCTAACGTTATTTCTTTAGAGTATTAACTGGAGCAAATTTGGTTTTCCTGAGTTAACGTTTGAAGATTCAACCATATGGATAGGCTCAGCTGGAGCCCATACACCATGCCATGTAGACACATATGGGTGTAACTTAATTGCTCAAATTTATGGCAGGTATGGCATTAATTTGGAATGTAAATTTATATAATATAAAGCAAATTTTCAGAAAACAGTGGGTTTTGTGTTCACCAGAGACAGATTTAAAACCTACAAGAGTTCCTTATGAGGAATCCAGCATTTATTCAAACCTCAATTTTTTCAGCCCAAATGTAGAGGATTTCACAGGTAGAAAATTATATCTAAATTAATTTAAAATGTGTTTAGGAGTTAAAAATTGCAGGAAAATTATTCTAGAACCTGGAGATGTATTATTTGTGCCACACAAATGGTGGCATTATGTGGAAAATTTAGACACAGGAATAAGTATCAATGTTTGGTTACCACTGGTAAGATAAATTTACTAGATATTTTGGATATCAACTTTGTTATTTTAGCCAATAGATGATAAAGAACGACTGAAAGAATCCTTGGTTCAGTTGTTTATTGCGCAGATTACAAAAAATCTCAACAAAGAAGAGAAAGACATGATCTTAAATCCAAATTCAGATGAGGTTATTATAATAATTAAAGTGGAAACTTTAAAATTTGTTGAACTATGATTTTTTTAGAGCATTGAAAGCACATCCATACATGCCTCAATAAATTTAATTAAGATGTGTACAAACATTGTCAAGAGTACCAAGGAACCTGAAGATAACATTAACGAGGAAAGTGGAACATACTATAAAAAATTTTCATTTTTACACCCAATACCTATATTATCAGATGAAGATTTTTTAACTTTTTTGAAAGAACAAAAAAATCGATTTAATAATATAGAAAATGAAGCAGGAAGTTGTGATACCAAAGAATTAGCTAATTTGGTGAATGCGTTTACTCATGCTGATGTAATATCATTAATAGAAAGTAAATTATTACAATGAATAAAAATATAATTGATTCACTACATTCTAGCTCAGTAACTGCAACATGTAGTCACATTATATAGTGACTTTGCTGTAGCCAATAGTTGTAAGGGGTGTGGCAAATTAAGTAGATGTCACTTCGTGCTTATGGGAAATTCGCCACACCTTGAAAAGAGAGAATCTAGTGACCTTAATATCCACCCCAAGTGTTGCCATCTAATGTCAAAACGATGAATTCGTCGGTGACCAGTTGACGAATGACAAAATAACAACTGTCACTGTCAGTTTGACGTTTAGATAAACACCAATTATCGCTATTATCTCACAAATCAACAAATGAGTGTGCGTTCTTCTACTAATTTCCAGAAAAAATATGTTTGTACCCCAAAACGTGCCGCTTTTGTGAAAACCGCAAAATATGGTGTATAAAATGTAAGGTGCAATCTAACCTTAAAACTTAAAATCAAAAATCGATGGCCGTGACGTTTTCAGGACACGTATGTGATAAGATATTTGCAAAATTAAATTAAAAGTGATAAGAATGCGCCACAAACTTTTAATTTTTCTCTTCCTGTGTCTCCTGTGTTGTGAATTCTCAGAGGAAGATTTACAAGGACCTCCTGATAAAGCAAAAAGTGAAAATAAAGACGACGAAAAGACAGAAGGGGACTTCGTCTCGTCTGTCGAAGACGACGACGATGCTCCCGCTCTTAAAGTAGTACCTGCCCCAGACCTAACAAAAGAACGTGAACGTAGGAAAGGTAAGGTCACCGTACACGTGGAAATCAGGGATCGAGGTTTCAAATAAAAGCATTGTAGGTGACACAAATGCTAATGATGAAATTTCAGACGCCGTAGACCTTTTTATGCTTGACCAGGCTAAGGTCATTCAGAAAATGGTCCAAGAGATCGGCTTAAAAAATGTTGTGATTGAAGAGACTGATTTAGAGACGTCAGAGGTGGACGAATTACCGCCACCACCGGAGATTAAGCAGAAGAAAATGTCACCCACGGAGATTGAAGGAAGAGGGATTTATGAAGAAGCAGCTGCGCTTTTGAATAAAACAAGACCAGACAAGAAGCGCGCATATCAATTGTTGTTAGAAGCTTCTGAGAAGGGAGATATTGAAGCAAATGCTTTAGTTGCGTGGGCTAGGTTGTTTGGTTATCCTTTGGAGCAGAATTTAGAGGCCGCTAAAGCGATTTTTGTATCCTTATCTGACATTGGCCATGCTGATGGCCACACAGGTTTAGGTAAATTTCCATCAATTTAGTAAATATTGATTTAAACTGATTTTTTGGTAGCGTTTTTATATGCATCTGGATTAACTGTAAATGTTAGTCAAGCGAAAGCTTTAGTTCACTACACATTTGGAGCATTAGGAGGTAACACCTGGGCTCAAATGGTTTTAGGTTATCGTTACTGGTCAGGGATTACTGTTGCTCCTAGTTGTGAAAAAGCCTTAGACTTTTATAGACAAGTTGCAGATAAAGGTAGTACGGTTTGGTTACAGCATTAAAAAAAAAATATATTAAAAAAAATGTTTTTATAGTTAGTCAAGGAGTATCATTTGGTGGTGGTGCAGCCATACAAAGAATTAGACTTTTGGATGAATTAGAAAATGGATATACTTCAGGAATTTTAGATAATGATCTGATTGAATATTATCAGTTGTTGGCTGAGAAAGGTGACATACAGGCACAAGTTGGATTGGGACAGTTACACTACCAAGGAGGCAGGGGTGTAGACTTGGATTATCAAAAGGCCATGCATTACTTTACGCAAGCAGCTAATGCAGGAAACGCTATTGCTATGGCTTACTTGGGAAAAGTAATTTTTTATATTTTTTTCTCAGCGATAACCTAGAGAAGTATTATGATAGAATTGTTTTGATAAAAATGTCATTTAATATTTTATTTTTTGCAATAACGTGCCCGGGCACATCAAAAAATGAAAGTATTATCCATGTTAAAGAAAAACCATAATTCTTTGATTTTTCGGAATTATGGACAACCAAACATCTGTCCTTTTTTTTAAATATTACTAGAGTGCTACCCGTTACTAGTTTTTTTTTTCTGAAATGTGCAATTTTTGTTTAATTATTTTATAAGAAACAGAGTTAAAGTAGCCTTTGTTTTTAAAACTTCAGTTAGTATTTCTGATTGATGAATGATCACTAGGGATGTACCGACTGTAGGTCTGGCCGACTAACCGACTAGCCGATTGTTCGGCCAGTAAAAACCGACTAGTCGGCCGACTATTCGGCTTTGCTAAAACCGGTTTATAAATGGGACAGACAGTGTGTTTTTTTTCTATTTCTCTGACTACCTTAAAAAATTTGTTTTATTTTAATAAAAGTTCCTTTGTTTTCCAAAAAATGTGTTAAATTTGTATGGATAATTTTAACATTTTTTTTTTTTTTTTGTAGTAACTCAGTACAAAAATAAAGAATAACACAATTTAGGGCCAGTTTATACAATATTTTAACTGAGATTAAGTTGATCACGCGTTTAACAAGGCCATTAGCGACTTCTGATCGGCGTAGAATCGGTCACATGGTACTTTAACGCCGTGTTAAAAATTAAATCGCAATTACATATTTGATTGAGGTTCTGTAAACCGGGTTTAATTGTATTATATACTATTTTAATTTTAATAAAAAAAGCCGACCGATCGGCTGTTTAGCCGACCAGTCGCCGACTGCCAGCCGACGATGAAAAACGGCCGAATAGTCGGCTTATCCGACCGGTCGGCCACTAGTCGGTACATCCCTAATGATCACATAATTTTAGAGTAAAAATTAGTAAAAGCTCCCAATAATATGCATGGAAGGTAAAAAAATCTATTTTAGAACATAATTTTCTAAATCTAGCTTACTCCCAGGGAGAAAAAATAACTGAATTTCTGCTTTATTAGCTAGTTTGTTTAAAAATGAGATACCTATCCAAAAATAAGTCTAGTCGAATTTACAAAAAAAATTAGTTTCTTGAAAATTGCCAAAATAATGTTTGAATTTTGTACTCTTCTTACGTTATTGGTTATGATTTCATTAAATCAGAACAAAAAAAAAAAAGGATTTATTTAAAAAGTTTGAGATAACGGCCATATTTTTTTGAAGGTGAATAGAAAAAAATGTTAAAATTTTACCATATCATCGTTCATCAATTGTTTCGTATTCTACGAACTATACGTTAAAACATGTCAGTTAATCATTGTCAGAATGACCGTATTATAATTCTTCCCTCTAGCTATAAGGTAGGAGAAAAGAAAATTATTTTCATAAAATGGCATTTCGTTAAATTAAAACATGAAATACGAATATAGAGTTTGAAGTATGGCTCTAATTAATCGTAGCAAAATGCTAGTTTTTATAAAAAGTCAGCATTTTAGCTTTGCAAATTTAAAAATTATAAATGTCAATTTATGAGCTACATGGATTTGTATTAACAAAAGAGTAGCAGACAGTTCTGTTACCAACTACTGAATCTTTCTTTCGCATTTGGCCTCATGTGGTTTTATATCATCAGTGTGGGATTGTATATTGTATACCGGCAAATAGTCGACTTCCTTTTTCTATTACAATGCATTTTTCACATATAAGGGATTTTGCAATTACGAATGCAATAAGTATTCCTAAAAATATAACAAACTCATAAAAAACCATAAATGTCTCCGTCTGTCTGTCTGTCTGCCATGGGTCCGGATTTTTATTAGACAGATAATCTCCGAAATTGACTGAAAATTTGGCTAATCATACCTACCAACAATTTGTTGACGTCATCCCCAAAATTTACAGTAGTAAATATTATTTAAATTTAATAAAATAAGATACTCCTCCACATGTGGTCTATGAACCCATGTTGATTTTTGATCCTAGACAACCAAATTTTTTGAGAAAAAAATTAATTGCAACATCTTGCAACTTTGAAACTGGAAAACCGAATGCTCTAAAATTTTGCAAACGTTTTAAGGTTATCGTAAGCATGGTAAATCGTTAATCAAATTTTTTCGTTTATGTTTCTAAAACAATAATGACATCATTTTACAATTTTGCCGAATTCTTTAATTTATATTTACCAAATAACTAATCGGAATAACTCAGATTTAAAGATTGGATTATCGGACGTTGTAGATGAAATTTCTAAATTGAAATCAGTAGAAAATAAACACATTTTTTTTTCATCAATTTTACAGTACTGTATCATTTTTTAAAGCATTTTAAGGTTATTTTTAAAAAGTTGTGGATTTCTAAAAATTTTGACCATGATTCCAGCGGATCCATACAGAAACCGCTGACTGAGATTTTTACAAAAAAAAAAAATTCAACATGAAATTGGCTTGTTTTCTTAAAAAAATGATAAAGCACCTTATAATAAATTAAAAAACAAAATGTGGGGTGAAACGTACCACCGTATATTTAATTTTATAGGATCGCATACTTCTGCATGTGTGATTCATGAATCTGTGTCGAGTTTTCGCCTTAGACATCCAGATTTTTGCGAAAAAAATAAAAATTGTTTAACAATATTTTACTACTTAACTTTGAAATTGTAAAACCGAATGCTCTGAAAACTTGCAAGCTTTTTTCGTTTATGACGTACTAAAAAATGATGACATCATTTTATAATTTTGTAGAACAAATGTTCCTTCAATTTTATGGAATTACATACACCATGTATGTGTAATTTAGAATCTGCGTTCAGTTTTTACCCTAGACATCGAGATATTTGGGAAAAAATTCAAAATTGTGAATTACAATTATTTAACTTTCAAATTGCAAAAGCAAATGTACTAAAATATTGCAAACGTTTTAAGGTTATATGAAAGATGATAAATCGTTAATCAAAATTTGTTCGTTTAAGGTCTTCCCAAAAAATTATCACGTCATCTTAGAAATTTACCGAACAAATGTTCTTTAAACTTTATAAAATAACATATTCTTGTATGAGTGATTTATGAATCCGTGTTGAGTTTTTACCTTTAGCATCCAGATTTTTGGAAAAAAATCAACATTGTATAACAATATTTTACAATTAAACTTTGAAATTGCAAAAATATTTTAATATTATGAAATATCGTAAATGGTTTGCCGTTTTGCCCAATGTCTTCAAATTTATGAGTGTTTTTGGGAAAAAACTGATTATGAATTAATCGATCAATCCCTTCCTCTGCGCTGATGATACAAAATCAACCAAATTTAATTTTCTTTTAACCGCTAATGCCTGTAATCTGAACGTGCTAATAGTGGAATTCGAAGTTAAACATATACTGTCTACATTTTTTTCCGCTAGTTATCTGCTTTAAATATATTTCATATTTAAAGGCGCAGGGGCTGCAGGTATGTGAATTACGCCACTTTATAGAGATTAATATTTGTCGAATTATACTTCAAGGGCGGGGGAAGGTCTGTGAAAGTAACCTTCCACATTTTTTTTATTAAGTTTGTTTTTCTTGATAGCGTCATCAAAATTTCAAAAAGAACACCATTTTTTCAAAACGCCAATGTCGCCGCCAAAACTGAAAATAATAGTAATAATAATACGCAAACGACGTCTGTATATAATACCCCACTTTGTAAGTTTCCCGGTGGACCCCCATGTCTTCAATCCGACAATGTATATCATATAAAATTTGTGTACACACTGTTTTCATTCAGTCACGCAACAATTTTACTTTTCCCAGATCTACCTCGATGGAAGCGACGAAGTAAAAGCCGACAATGACACAGCTTTCAAATACTTCAAAAAAGCATCAGACTTGAACAACCCCGTGGGTCTAAGCGGGTTAGGTCTGATGTACTTGTACGGCCGCGGAGTCGAAAAAGACTACACCAAAGCCTACAAATATTTCTTAGCTGCAGCGGACCAAGGCTGGGTGGACGGCCAACTTCAACTGGGTAACATGTATTTCAGCGGTCTTGGAGTTCGAAAAGACTACAAACTAGCCAACAAATATTTCTCTTTGGCTTCCCAATCCGGCCATGTGCTAGCTTATTACAACCTAGGTCAAATGCATGCTCAAGGGACCGGAATGTTACGGTCGTGCCCCACCGCTGTCGAATTGTTTAAAAATGTAGCCGAAAGAGGACGCTGGGGTGAAATTTTGATGCAAGTAAATGAACCGTGTGAGACAAAAACGAGGATTTTTTGAGAACGTGTGCTTTCAGGCTCATTCAGACTATAACGAGAACAGATTCAATGAGGCATTTGTCCAGTACGCACTGTTGGCGGAATTGGGATATGAAGTTGCTCAAAGCAATGCCGCATTCTTGCTGGACAGGAGCGAAGTGCCGATGTTTAGTACTCAGGAGTCGCTTTCAAGAGCTTTGCTGTACTGGGGGCGTGCTGCAGCTCAAGGATATTCGGCAGCACAAGTAATTCACGATTTTGGAAAATTTTATTGGTTTTAGTTGGTCTAAACACGTGGGTTTTGATAACGTTTAAGTAGATTTTATTAAAGTCTGTGCTGTGTATGTAGAATATTTGTGTCAGTTCCACGAACTTATATTATTTTCATAAACTTATGCAAGTAATTAAAATGAATTACTGTTGGCTATCAGACCAGTTTTATAACTGGCACAATTAATTCAGTAGTATATCACATATAGTAACATAAAGTAATTAGTCAAAGGTCGTGGTCACAGGCTATATTAGCATAGTTTTGCCTCAAAGTGACCCCAGTAGTACTATCCAAAGGTCCAATGCAAGGCCAATTACAATTTGTTTATTTGCACAACCAGTAAATAAGTATTACATGCGCCACAGTTTAAATCAATATCGGTTACAAGATCATTACAACCCGTAAATGCCGATATAAAATATCAGAAAAACACGTTTTAATCAACATAAACACATATGTATAACGCATGTATTTCAATTTTAAAATTGTAGGTAAAAATGGGGGATTACCATTACTACGGTTTAGGAACACCTGTAGACTACGAAACTGCCGCAAGCCATTATCGACTAGCTTCCGAACAGCAACATAACGCTCAAGCGATGTTCAACTTGGGTTATATGCATGAGCAGGGACTTGGAATGGCTAAAGATGTTCATTTAGCTAAGAGGTGTTACGATTTGGCGGCTGAGACAAGCGCTGACGCAAAAGTTCCTGTTGCTTTGGCACTATTTAAACTTAACTTGATGTTTAGCTTAAACAGTTTACGGGAGGTATTTCGATTCTGATGAGCGAGTACAGAGTTTTTACTGATTTTGTTTCCAGAGTCATTTGTCCAGTTTGTTTGATTTTAATGAAATGTTTGGATCCAACTGGGACTTGTACTTGATTACAACTCTTACTGCGATATTAGCTGCTATCGTATACTTCAGAAGACCTCAAGCTCCTCCTCAAGCTTAACAGTGTTTTGTATACATTTTTTATGAACTGTCCACGTTATAGTTGAAAAATAAATGTTAACAAAAGTTGTTTTTTTTTTCATTTTTAACAAATATGAAACTGGTGGGTTGATACTCCGTTGATATACGATAATACAATTATTATAACTGTCAGTTATACATATTGAATAAATTCGGCCCATTATTACACTCCTTAGCTCTTGAATACATAAGTTTCGCAAATTTGGTGGAATCAGTAAACAGTTTGTAGGTTGTATCGCCATATTTTAAAAATTACGAAAATACATTATTTCGAAACGAAAAACAAATTATTCACGTCTCAAGCAGATTAGCAAATACCTTTTTTACAAATCAACCACATTAAATTCGTGATAAAAATAATTAAACAAAAGAATTTTATCAACGAATCGTAGCACTGGCAGAAAAAAATCAGTTGTGAAACCGCAAACTTCAGAGAACATTTGACTCAAATAACGAACAAGAAAAAAATTTAATCCAAACTCCTGTATATAGTAGAGTCGTATGTATTTACAACCGTGATTTACATATTATCAGACATTCATCGAAAGTTGTTAGGTAAGAGTTTTATTAATAAAAAAAATTCGGTACAAAAAATGAATAAATATTTAAAAATTTAAATGAATCTGGAAAATCATCATGAATTCATGACTGGAAACTGGAAATGGTGAAACGTCAATTTATGAAAATAAAAAATAAAACGACGTGTAAATACAAGCTCATCGTTGATAAGTGCATCAAAATTTTGTTTAAAAGCCCTATGACACGATGCAAGCACCACAAAATTGAAAGAGAATTTTAATTTTTCAAACTTTCGAATATACTTTGTTGTAAATATATCTCAAGCCTTGCTTTGTGGTATTTAATCAATGCATTGTGTCGGCCGGGCCAACAATGAATTTTAAAACACACCTATTCAAATTAAACTTAAAATTCGTAATATGACCACTCTGTATACCAAAATTATGTTTGATCACTCTGTATCCGCTGCTGATGTCATTTCTATGCGTAAGCGTAGCGTAACCCAGTTCCTCCTCCTAATCCTAACCACAACTTTCTAAGTGGGAGAATGTGGGTCGACGTCGTTTATTTAACACCAGTCGCAGAAGAAAGTAATCGAAGAAAATGAATGCAAACAGGTGACAATCAATACAAAAGTGTAACAATTTTGCTAAAATTCCAGAAATTAAAAAGCATGTTCGCGAGGGTCACATTTTACCCTACCCTGTTCTATAATGTGATTATGGAAAAAATTTCATCGCGAAGATGGTTTGACAGGATCGACGACAATGTAATTTTGGGAGCTCTACCTTTTCCAAGTATCACAGAACAGGTAAAGTACAATTTTCAAGCTTTTTTCAGTAAAAGTCTTGGTTTCTTGAAGCTTTCATTGTGACTGTGAACACTGCACAGCTTAAGGTACCTATTGATATGATAAGCATGCGAAAAAGACCTTGAACCAGAAAATGTTCCTCTTGAACCTTGACCAAGAATTGTTTTTGTGTCATTGAACTTAAGGAAACGTTTGAAAATTTATCAGTTTAGTAAATTGAAGCGAATTATGATTATGGGTGACTGACAATGTCCGCCCAACCAGCGCCCTACTTCCTTCTTTATTCAAGCTTGACCTGTTAAAATGGACGTGATTTTAAAAAAATTTTGAATCAGATTTTTGCATGAAATAAAATACACTCCTCACAAAAGGTTTTTGCATATTCATTGAAGATTTAAAATGTCAGACAAAGTGTGTGATATTTAAAATAATTGTAATCTGTAACTCTTTTTTTAAGATTAAATAACCCAAAGTGCATGAAATTGGTTGTCATTTATTATTATAATGTACGTTTGAATAGTTTATGGATTTTTGAAAAATGAACTTTTTTAATTGTGGTGTATACGATAATATGTTACACATCGTGATTCAGGAGTTTACGTGAAAGAAAACAAATTATGATACAGTTCGTGCGATTTGAAATTCAGTAGTATACGAACGCAAATTATTTTTTCCACGTGAAAAAATGTGTCCATAAACCATTAGAACATATTATTTCAAAAATAGAGTCCAGAACAAAATTTGCCCCAAATTATTGATTGATTACACAGCGAAATATAACTTTTAATTTCCCTTTTAAATAATATTGTTTTTTTTACGTATTTATGTATGCCGAATTAAAATATAACTCTAGTTTTTTTGTAGCACATCGAGATTTATTTTTATGCAGGCCTAAATATTCATAGTTTTTCAAACAATTTTTATGAAAAAATAAAATAAAATTGAATGTTTATTTATTAAATGAACTAAATTAGTTATAAACAAAACTTAAAAAGACAAATAAATCAAGAAGCTTCTTTTTTTCTTTCTTCAAAGCTCTGATTTAAGCGTTTTCTCTTGTATTCACGATAGGATATGTTATTGCTGTTACATTTTTCGCATTATATCATTTTATATTTGAACAGTAAAAGTAACAATCGTCTGTATGATTTTGTGGCTCCATCCAAATCATTGGTGTCAGCAAACTTATCTGAAGAATTAACCCATTTCCGAGAAGACATTAGTAATTTTTGTTTAAATTCAGGGTAGTAAGCGCATAGTCGACACAAATAGCTCTTACTAAGCTGAACACGAAATGAAATATCAACACCATTATCGATACAGATTATTACCACAAAATCTAGAAGTTAATTTTTATAGTACTAAGAACAAAACTGAAAAAAATATTTTTTGCAGAAACTGTACGTGATAGAAATTTTTGCAATTTTTTTTATACATGAGTATCTAAGACCTACCAAAATTACTACTTGATTTTGTTGGGGGAAAACCATCGCAGGCCTGTGTTATTAAGATTAATAAAGAACAAGAATTTAACATTATTATTTAACAGTTATTTTATTGTAGTTGTTGTTGATGCTGAAATTATAACACTTACATAATTTGATATACTGGATTTGTGGTATTTAAAACATTTAGATAGTATTTATGCAATTAATGTCAGTCTGTCATAAGTGCACTACTCTAATACACCTTATGAGTTATTATTTAAACTACAGCCTACTATGCCAGACATCAGCTTTTTACTTACTAAGCATAAGCTAGGAAAGTACTGCAATAGATGAGTCTATTTCAAGAAAGGCTAACCCCATGCTAGAATATGAAATAAATTGATGTTCCTTATTTGTCACTTGTTGAGGGTTTTATTGGACAAATAATCTCCGAAATTGCTAGACTAATTGGTGTAAAATTTTAAATATATTTTAAGAATGTCATATACAGGGTGTCCCAGAATTCGCGCCATTCCCGTGAATGACATGTTCCCTGTCCCGAACTGTGCCGTAATTCGCAAAAAGAATTGTCCAGGCTTTAACCGTGTGAGAACTGGAAGGCGATTAAGTTGACCAATAGAGAGGCTGCTTTTATATCCGAACGTTTCTATGTTCAAAGTTACCTATGCCAAGAACAAAAAATCGGGTAATACTAAAGTTGAATGAATTTTTTTCGAATCCCCCTCCGTCAACAAAAGGAAACAGAAGTGTGGTTATAAATTTAATCATTTTGACAATTGTTTGTCATATACTGTCACGAAGTTCATCACTTACCTGAAGAGACGCTTCTGCGCCAAAGATGACTGGTTAATGTAGACAAAGACGTCAAGGTTTAGTTTAAGGCAAGTAGCATGGGACAGAAGTTATTTCTGCTGCCATTCTAGTTAAATTGTGTTTAACTGGGCTGGACATGCCATAAGAGAAGCTGTTTCATTTCATCGTAGGCAAATAATACATTTATTACTATTCTACATAGTGTAGATACCGAAGAGCAGGTATTAGAAGTCATTTTCTTAGAGCCCCGTGAATAATGTGTTGTTCTTTTAAATGAAAATTAGTACATTTACAGAATTCACTGTGCATCGTGTCCCTGATATTAAATTTATCGTTATTTCTAAAAAAGAGTACCACATGTCCATTCAAAGAACGTTATTAAGAGTACTAAAACATAAATATCGCTTTTGATTAATCGGTGCTTATAATTTTCAATAAACAGTAGGTACCAATTTTTACTGAACAGCTTTGTTGTTGATACCTAATCTAAGCAACGAAAAAGAGACGAGACTCCACTTCTCTGGTGTATTGAGATCATAGGTATCTGCTGTGGTGTCAATCATGTGGGGGAGATATTGAAAACGGACACTTATTCAAGAATAATATTGATGTTGCACATGATGATTTAAAATAGTTTCTTTAAAGTTCTGAGTATTTTCTAGAGATTGAAAAGATACGAATAAAAAATGTGACATAAATCGTGTTTTTTTTTTTTTATTTAATAATAATACAAATTAAACAGGCAACACGAATTAAGCCAACAACGAACTTAATATACGAAAAGTCCTGATATAACACATCAAACTGGACGTAAACGTATTAGAGAATGTGTTCAAAAATTTCAGTTGACCGGCCATAATTTGACATTATTTTGTCAACTTGTCAAGACAATTTTGAAGCACTGTAGGAAAAAAATGTCGATTTCAAATGAAGAATATTTGGAAATGATGTTAATTTATGGAGAGTGCAATCGCAATGCAGCCGCTGCTGTACGCGAATATACAGGTCGTTTCCCCAATCGTCGGCACCCACACCAACATGTGTTTCACCGATTGTTACATCGAGCAAGAGAAGAAGGATCTTTTCAGCCTAGTCGGAAAGGCCGTGCTGGTGCTCCACGGAATGTACGTGTAGGTTCTGAAGAGCAAGTGTTAGAAAACATGGAAGCGGATCCTAGGAGAAGTGTCCGCTGCGTAGCGCAAATGAGTGGATGCTCAAGATCGACCACTCATCGTATCCTTCAAGAGAGAAGACTGCATCCTTACCATTACACGAGAGTGCAGCATCTGCGACCAACCGATTACCCGCGACGAGTACATTTTGCTCAATGGTTACTGCGACAAAATGAACTAAATCCTGATTTTTCACGGCGCATTCTTTTCACCGACGAATGTTCATTTTCCCAAGAAGGAATGTTTAATACACACAATTGGCATTTCTGGGCACACGAAAATCCACATCTCACTAGGGTGAGAGCATATCAGGAGCGATTTACTATTAATCTATGAGCTGGAATCATTGGTACTACTGTGGTAAAAATTTTAATGCATCTGATAAAATTATCACTAAACTCCGTTCCTGGTTTTTTAGGTGGGGCCGTTTGTGTTACCTGGAATCAAATCAAAAATTAGGTATATAGAGAACCTCTAGCTACGTTAGAAGAACTGGAAGAGAGACTGTACGAAGCCTACGCTACAGTTACTCCTGAGATGTTAAATAATACACAACACAACATGATTCGACGAGCTAGAACTTACATTGAAGTTAATGGTGGTCATTTTGAGCACACTCTTTAATAACGTTACAGTACAACGATTCCAGCCCATAGATTAATGGTATTGCTCTTGATATGCTCTCACGTTAGCGAAATGTGGATTTTCGTTTGCCCAGAAGTGCCAATTGTGCACATTAAATATTCCTTTTCGGTAAAATGACCATTCGTCGGCGAAAAGAATGTGCCGTGAAAAATCAGGATTTAGGTCATTTTGTCGCATTAACCATTGAGCAACATGCATTCGTCGCGCAGTCGGCTCGTCGCAGATGCTGCACATTCGTCAATAGTAAGGATGCAGATTTTTGTCTGTAAGGATACGATGCATGATCGATCTTGAGCATCAATTCATTTGTGCCACTTGGTCTTCACCGTCTACGCATATAATCCGTGGAGCCCCAGGAAGGCCTTTCCGAATAGGCTGAAAAGATCCATCTTGTTTTGCTGGATGCAACAAACGACGAAACACATGCTGGTCAAGGAGCCGATGATTGGGGAAAAGACCTGTATATTCGCTCACAGCAGTGGCTGCAGAGCGTTTACATTCTCCATAAATTAACATCATTTCCAAATATTCTTTATACTAGTATGAATAAGACATCAATAACTTAGTGGTATTGGTACTGATTTGTTTATAGTTTGTATTGTTCTTAAAAAAAAATTCAACTAAACGATTTTTGTTATAATTTTTATTCGTATCTTTTCAATCTCTAGAAAATACTCAGAACTTTAAAGAAACTATTTTAAATCATCATGTGCAACATCAATATTATTCTTGAATAAGTCTCCGTTTTCAGTATCTCCCCCACATGATTGACACCACAGCAGATACCTATGATCTCAATACACCAGAGAAGTGGAGTCTCGTCTCTTTTTTCGTTGCTTAGATTAGGTATCAACAACAATAAAGTTGTTCAGTAAAAATTGATACCTACTGTTTATTGAAAATTATAAGCACCGATTAATCAAAAGCGATATTTATGTTTTAGTACTCTTAATAACGTTCTTTGAATGGACATGTGGTACTCTTTTTTAGAAATAACGATAAACTTAATATCAGGGACATGATGCATAGTGAATTCTGAAAATGTACTAATTTTCATTTAAAAGAACAACACATTATTCACGGGGCTCTAAGACAATGACTTCTAATACCTGCTCTTCGGTATCTACACTATGTAGAATAGTAATAAGTGTATTATTTGCCTACGATGAAATGAAACAGCTTCTCTTATGACATGTCCAGCCCAGTTAAACACAATTTAACTAGAATGGCAGCAGAAATAACTTCTGTCCCATGCTACTTGCCTTAAAGTAAACCTTGACGTCTCTGTGTACATTAATCAGTCATCTTTGGCGCAGAAGCGTCTCTTCAGGGCAGTGATGAACTTCGTGACAGTTTATGACAAACAATTGTCAAAATGATTAAATTTATAACCACACTTCTGTTTCCTTTTGTTGACGGAGGGGGATTCGAAAAAAATTCATTCAACTTTAGTATTACCCGATTTTTTGTTCTTGGCATAGGTAACTTTGAACATAGAAACGTTCGGATATAAAAGCAGCCTCTCTATTGGTCAACTTAATCGCCTTCCAGTTCTCACACGGTTAAAGCCTGGACAATTCTTTTTGCGAATTACGGCACAGTTCGGGACAGGGAACATGTCATTCACGGGAATGGCGCGAATTCTGGGACACCCTGTATATAGATAGTAAACCGCTAGCTAACCAGAATTTTACAAATCAATTTAAAAACTACAAAACCACTTGCTGTGAAATTATGTACAACGATTAAGGCTACGATAATGTGGTAAATCGCAAATCAGAATTCATTATTTTCCAAAATTTTGTTAAGTAAATCTCCTTTGAAAATTTATGTGTAGTTTAATAATCATGTGTATACATTTTTAGTGACACGTATACGGATTCTCGTACAAAAGGTAAAATTAGTAAAGCTTTGTCTTAGAATTTACAAAACTACTTTTTTTAATGTTGTTAGGTACTGAGATTTGGTTTAATGATTGATTGTATAATAAAACGATTAAAATTTATTTGTTCATCGCAAAAATGTTTGTTAAAAAATGTGTTTCGAGTTGCAGCGTTATTTGCGCTCTAGTAATATATGTATTTTTGTTTGTTGGGATTGTTATTCATTAGTATTACATATTGCACTTACCATAATTATTAATGTATTTATTTATTCCCACTAAAAAGTTGATAACATCCTAAAATTTCACAGAATTCATGTACTTTAAAAAATCTGTTTGAGAAAAAATCGGCATCGGGTGACATAAAAAAATATGTATAAACCGCACATCATCTGAAGAACATGTTATGTAATTTTCCCGATTATGGGAATGCAGCATTATAATTAATCTCACATGTACCTAGATACTATAAAATTAACATATTACGTTGAACGGGTGAATAAAATCGGCGTGGGTTAAACTCAACAATGTTTTTCTTAATAACTCGAATTACACGACTCACTATTACACAGCGATTTTGTACAAAATAATTCCGGCGCAACTCGACTGTACTCTCGCGGACTCGATTCACTGAATAATCTTCGTTCCCGACGGTGGCCTCTATTTAAACCTATACGTTCATCTCGATGGTTCGAGAACGCCGCTCGTCAGAATGTGTTTCTCTTTCCGTTTCTTAAAAGTAGAATATCCTATTCTACTTAAAAAAAAAATAGAGAAAAAAGCAGTTCTTAAAAAGTTTAAATAAATTTTGTTATTACTAAACCTATTTGTCCATTTGATAATGAGAATTAATACGGTTTGTTATCATTGAGTAATATTGTTTTTTTTTTTTAATTACGTATCTAAATATAACATTATTTTTAAAATATTAACTACCTATTTTGATATAATCAACATTTATTAAAAGCAACTTTTTTTAAATTTCGTTTCTAGTCAAGCTAGTTATATTTGGAATCTTCACTTAAAAACGAGACTTTATACTGACTTCATAAAAACAACACTTAGCAGGTTTCTTTTTAACGTAATAACTAATCAAGTTATTTTACAGCTTTTAAACGAGGAAAATGTCAAAGGAGTCGTTTCAATGAATGAATGCTATGAATTATGTTTGGCAGTCAAGGCAAAGGTTTGTATTTTTTTTAGCTTTTTTTATTAACTGATGCTTTTCATGCAGAAGTGGAAAGCGTATGGCGTTGATTTTTTACAACTGGCCACCACAGACATATTTGTTACTCCATCTCAGCAGAAACTAAGAGAGGGAGTAGACTTTATTTTTAAAACTATTAATAAGGAAGTAGATTCCAGTGAGCTGCAAAAACTAGGGTTGCAAAAACCAGAGCTGAAAAAAGCAGAGCTGGAAAAACCAGAGCTGGAAAAATCAGAGCTGGAAAAACCAGAGCCGAAAAAACCAACAGTTTATGTACACTGTAAAGCTGGTAGAACCCGAAGCGCCACGTTAGTTGGATGTTATTTGATACAGGTATACAGTTGAATAAAATGAATGCATTAATTGATCTGTTTGTAACTACAGAGATATAGTTGGACACCTGAACAAGCATTGATCCACATGCAGATTAAGAGACCACATATCTTACTACATACCAGGCAATTAGAAGCTTTAAAAATATTTTATGAACAAAACATTCCCAAACTTTAAGACAATAATTATAGTTAATTTATTGACAATACTGTTATGTCAAAGTGTTTTCATAAATAATTTTTAAATTTATTGTAACATGGTTTATGAAAATTTCATGAAATAGAGAAGTAAAGTGTTGTTTATTTCTTTTCACTTCCTGAGGAATCAGCCGTCTTTTCCTTTCCAGAACCTTTAATGGCCCAAAACTGCCTAATCGTTTGACCAATACCATCTTCATTAACGTTGTAATAAATAAGACCACCCAAAGTTGTTGCAGAAATGATGTACAGCAAAAAAAGTGCTAGTTTTGCTAAAACATTACCAACAACAATAGGACGTGCATAATCAATAACCACTGCTTCCAGTCCCCTACAAAAAAAAATCAAACTTTGATAATTTCATTTTTCAGTTCATACCAGTGAAAGTGTGCCACTGCTGCAACTGCGAGTAAATTATCCAAAATAAAATGAGGGCTTGCGATTGCTGCAGGTACTAGGACTAACAAACTCACAGAAAGGGCTTTTTCTATTGGCCATAATCTGCTGTGGTCTCCAGACATCATCCTTGCCTGAGGAGCGATTAAAATTTTGCCATGTGGTACAAATAAACCGAGATTCAAATTGCTATTCTTATTAAATGTTGCATAGTTAGGGCATAAAGATGATGAGAAATTTCTGTTGACTGCTACTGACGCAGGTTTAAAAAAAAATCGTGGTAGGGCTCCGGCTGCAAAAATGAGTGGTTATGTAATGGACTTCTTTTTGTTTTGGAAAAAACGTACCTTGCACTCTCGAAGCGTTGCGTAAAATTGAAGCTAAGGCCATCTCCGAAGAACTACCAACTCCTTTATTTTCCAAATGCCACAATTTTCCAAAAATTTTCTTCGTTTGTCAAAATTCTAGAACGTCAAATTTAAGTTCTGTGAAGTGAAATGTCAGAAGGGATTAAAGAGACCGCTGTGTTTATTTCTTTCGGTTATTTTAGTCAATAATTACGTATTAAATGTTTTTCACGCATTTGATCCTGTTTAATTTAAATATTTGTATGTAACTATAATTAATGATTTCAATCTATTAATAATTTTAGGTTATGGTTTTGTATGCTTCAGTTGGTGACACTTTAGTTTACAGCGGTCAGTTTGAACAACACCTTTGAAACATTTATATTTCTGAATAAGTTTATTCATACGAAGTTTCTATTTACAAATAAAAAAATTACAATAAATTCTCGTCCAGCATATATTTTCCTATGTTACCATTTCTAAACGCCCGTAACATTATTTTTGCTGCCTGTTCCAAGTCTGGTCGAAGTACATAATTATTATGTGCATCTCTGAGTTTGATCATATAATTTTTTTTTGTACTAATTTGTCTTAAAACATCTAAAATGTTGTCTGTAGCTTGTTCAAGTTGAAAATAGTCTACATAATCAAAATGTCCATTTTTGTTTAACCAAAACAACAAGTAATCTGCCATAATGGTCTCTCCAACTAGATGATCCTGTATAGTCGCACACAACGCCAATTTTAAACCCGTCTCAGTATTATCAATTTTTGGTGTTAAAATTCCTGGAGTATCCAACAAGTAAAAAAGTGGATTTTCACTCATTTTTATTTTCTGAAGGACACTTCTTGTTATTCCAGGCGTTGCTCCTACAGGTGTAGCGTTACCTTTGTGCATATATCTCACCCTCAACGCGTTAATTAGTGACGATTTACCCACATTTGGCACTCCGATTATCATAACACAATGATCTTCACTCCCTGTCCTATTGAACCTATCCGAGTTTTTAATAATATGTTGTGCTAAAGGGAACAGAGCTTTTACACCTTTACACTGCTGATCTTTACAGTTTGTGAAAATGATGTTATTGTACTCATTTCTTAGATGATCCTTAATTTTCGGTATTAAATTCCTGTTGATTAAATCAACTTTGTTGAGGACTAAAATATGGGGTTTTATCCCACTAACGGTGTATTTAAAATCGGCATTTCTTCCTGAAATTGGGATTCGAGCATCATGTACTTCAATAATGCAATCTACGGAACGGAGTTTCTGCTGCATCTGCTTGAGACCACGATCCATATGACCTGGAAACCAGCGTACAACGTCTTTATCTATGCTTCTGAAGACACTTCTAAACATGTCCGGGGATAGCTTCTGAGCCATTGTTTTGTCTCCACAGCAAATCGTTAATGCTGCCTTATTACACTTTAACCTAACTTTTGTCGTGTTAACTTTGATGGTATAGGTTAGACATTAAATTGTTTTAGTTGTAAATAATAAATGTGGATAATTTTTGTACATTAACAACATGATGCAATTTATGTTTGTCTGATCATTTGTTCAACATAGTTCTTCACGTTCTTCGTTTAAAGAAAAAAAAAATTATATTCTACCGCCATCCGTTTTAGGGTATTGTACAATTTTGTCACTAAAAAATACCAAGCATTTGGCGTTCGCCATAACGCCATCAAGCGTCCATTTTGTTTGATTCTTCGGAGAAGGAACCGCCGGTGTTTGTTTATAATTTGGGAATATAAATCCAGAAATGGTAAATAAATCACTAAACATCACTTTTATTTTAAACTAATTTATCAACCCATAGAATCGTCGTTCGGAAACCACCACGAAGGTATTCGTTGGAAGCCTGCCCAACGGAGTCACCACCGATGATTTACGTCAGTTATTCGCACCTTACGGAGCTATCGCTGAATGCGATATTTCCAACAGATGTGGTTTCCTGCATTTGGAAGACCACGATCTCGCTATGAAGGCCATTTCTGAACTCAATGGTACAAACTTCATGGGCGGGAGAATTTCCGTGGAAAAAGGACGTGTCAAGCCCAGGCGTGGCCCTGGCGGCGGAGGTCCGATGCGTGGAGGAAAAGACAGAGGAGGACCTTACGCACGAAATGATTTCCGAGGCCCTCCCCATAGAAACGGCGGCGGCTTTGGGGCCGGTCGCGATTACCCTCCCTATGGAGGCGGCGGCGACAGATTTGGCGGCTACGACAGACCACAGAGGGGCGGTTATGAGGGAGGATATGGGGATAGAAGACCGCCGTACGACGATCGGCGCGGAGGCGGTTTTGGGGGGGATCGAAGGCCCTTCGGCAATGATTATGGTATGATTGATTAATTTGGCTGTTTCTTGTTTTACTTATTTGGGAGGTAGATCGGCGTCCGTATGGAGATGCTCGTGGTCCTGGTTATCCAGAAGGGCCTAGAGGGGAGTTTGATGATAGAAGACCACCCCCACCTGCAGAATATGATGATAGAAGACCACTAATGAATGATAGAAGACCATTGTTAGATCAGCAAGGTCCACCACCCAGAGGTCCTGGCACTTTTGACAGAGGGGCTCCAGTTGGAGAATTGTACAGCAGAAGAGACACAGGACCAAAGCCAATGTAAGTTACATAGACCATAAATTCAGTTAATGGTGGCTTAAAAACAGTATTGCAGCATATAAGTATGAATGACCATTTAAATTATCCGTTCAATTGGCACATTGGTTGGCAATGTATTACTATAACGAAAATATTGTCACTATTTGCTGAAAGTTCAAATGAGTTGAAAAACACATTTACAACTGAAGGTTAATCAAGCCTATGTTATTAAAAAGAATGATGAAAAGCCACCAAACATCTTAATTGGAGAATTTAAATGGTCTTTTGATATTTTACAACGTCTAAACTTGCGCTTAGCCAAAAACTTGATATAGTTTTTGCCAAAATTAAGAAACCACCTGTTGATTTTAATTGCCAACAAAAAAACTTGAGTGGTGATTTTCATTTCCATTGATTTTTGTACCGTTGAAACGTCTATGAATGTCAAGGTTGTCATCATGAAACACGCAAATGCAAACAAATTATAATGCAATTATTTTAACGTTTGTAGAATTTGAGTTTATTATCTCCCTTTGAAACGTCAAAACACTTCCAAAATCTGCCATTGAGTTTGAGCCATCGTTATAAGTTTCCCCTATGACAAAACTTCAAATACTGCGATGTTGTCAGTTATATTTTCAAAGCAGAATGCAGTGTTGGTGGCTAATTTTGACATAACTACGTTTTGTAATTATCCGTGCTATGGAAACGTACAGTAAATGGGGAGAAATTGTGCCAAGAATCGAATTTTTTGCGATTATTTAGTTGCGCTATTTTAATTTTATTGCGTTTTATGATATCTAACAAATACCTATATTTAAAGTGCGTGAAATGATTTTAAAAAAGCCTTAAAATGATATTTCCTATTGCAGACTAGTGATGAATGTTCATCAAATTATCTAAAGATTAAGTTCTCTACTTTTAAGAAATTCGAAATGTTGAACAATTTGCATGAATCGATATGAATGGATTTGAATTTTGACATATATTTTTGTAGTTGTTAAGATCACTTCAATAGGAATCATGGAGCGACAATGATCTTAAATGACTAAATAAAGTTTGCTTTGAAATTTCGTGAACTTTGGCGCCTCGTTGTGATGATTGGGAAACTGATCCTTGGTTTTCACAAATGTCAAAGACAAAGCTTATTCAGGCCGTTTGCTTCCTGATAGTAGGCAACCAATAATTTAGCTCGAGTAATATGCATGCCACCTAATGTCTACCTACTATATACAGTTTGGACTTTATTGTCACATTGACGTTTAAAGTTTAAAAGAATTGAAATGACAAAACTAAAAATCTGATGTTACAATACTTACGGTATTTCACACTTTGTGACAGTGGAAGGACATTGATATCCAAGATTTTCTGCGAATTTATAATCAGTCTGTAAGGGCAGATATAATATAATATGGAAGGTACAATGGCGATTGTTTCAAAGCTAATGGTGGGTAATTTAATGTTCCGACCATCTAAATATCATAAGTAATTAATTACCCATCGATTGTTGACACTTAAGACTTTTTGAAAGATTGGTTAACCTAATTTCTAAAGCAACATCCCGTGCACGATGACGTTTTGACACATTTTTGACAAAATCTCATCAACTTTGCATTTTTCAAACTACTATTCGTTCTCAAGTTTTTAAATACAGTTGTTAATTGTAACAACTCGTGTTTCTAAAAAAAGTATTTGTCTTGTATTAAATTTATATGACACTTAAAATAAATAGTCTATTTTGAGTCCGGCAATAGCTGAAGTAAATATTTTGAAATGACATCTGGTGTGCCATAAGTTAACTAATTTTCGGCTGATTTATCACTTGAAAATGGCCAAAAATCGGTGTGAACATTGCACCGCCATCTACAATTTACTTTGACAACAAAAAGCGGAAACTGAACCTGCGGCTGTACTGAATTAAATTGGTTGTGAGATTTAGTTTAATCACGCTGAAGGAAAACCAATGGGGAATGCGTTCAGATGCAAGTGGTGAACCCCAAGGTTGGAGAAGTACCGCCAAATAAAACACAAAATATATAGAAGAGACAAAATTATTTAATTCCTCCACTGACAAAAAAAAGCTGGAACCTTCTTATTAGTGTTCAGTTACAAAAAAAAAAAACTTTGGATGAAATCAGAGTAAACGTTCTTAATCAATGCAAATATTTGAATATCGCAAATTTGATAAAAACAAAGCAAAATGTAAAGTAACTGGATGCAAATACACAAGTTATTACGAACGTGTGGCGGCAAATTTAAAATTATGGCAGTCAACAAGAGAACAAAATTTAAACTAGCCATAGGGGGCGTTGCGCAAGCGGAGTTTAGGGCTCCTGGTTGTGGCTGTTCTCCCCCCACAACGGTGATTCTGTTCTATCCTATCGGCAAGTACATGCCACCCAGCACCCCTCTATGACAAAGAAATGTGCCGCGCGCAGACAGGCCGCTACGGTCGCAAACTCGTGGTAGGAAATCCCGGCTATTGGGCCAAGTCGCGAGCGTCACCGTCATCCCGACCACTCCCCTGACTTCTATCCTAGGCCTGCATCCTTTTGTGCAGATGGTGCGACCGCCAGCTCAACAAGCAACCGCGCACTCCACTTCCACCATCTATTTCTGTGTTATTTATCTCAATTCCATTTAAATGTTCACTTTCTACATATAACTCTGATATTAAGTGACAGCTGAACAAGTGTTAAAGTTTAAAAAAAAGCAATAAACAACATTTTAATTCGCCTTACACTCTCGTGAAATTTTAAAACAGCAAAGAATTCTTATCGGAGATTAACATTGGACATTAGACAATTTATATGATGTAAGCATTAATCAACAAAATATTTACATGAAAAAACTAGCAAAAATTTATAATAACAAAAATTTTGGTGTGAAGTAAAAACTTGTGCAAACAAAAAAATTATGTGAGGTTAGAAACTGCAGAGGATGAAAATTTACGTTCAATTTAAATTATGCAACAAAGAAAACTACTGAAGTTAAAAACTGTGAGATAGAGAAAAGTTGTATGAGGTGAAAAATTGCAAAGCTAACAAAACTACATGAGTTTAATATTTTATGTCCATTTGAGTTATTGGTTAATTTTTAAAAGTGAAGTTATTCAGCTGCATTGTGGGCCATTGTCGGCCATTTCGGACGAATGCGCCGTCCAAAAAAATTCGCCAAAAATATGTCTCCCAGAAATGTGATCAATCCTGTGGCGTTCTGCAAATAATGGTCTAAATCAAAGGAATAAAATGTACGTCCTACATGACCCACAATATTGTTAATTTGTTCAACGAGATTTTACAGTTCAAACATGTGCTCGGTTTAAAAATACCCTTTCAACAAAAAATGTACCTGATGTTAAATTATGCCACACTTTATCAACTATTCAAACAAAAAATTTACATTATGTTAAATGATGATGCCTTGATCCAAGTCATTGGTTACTTAAAACAATTAGCTTTGAGAGTTTATATCGTGGACTGTCCTCTGCTTATCCAAAACAAAACACATGATAAATAAACAACACAAAAGGTATCAGGCGTTGCGAGAAAAGCTTCTCTTTTCTACGTTGTGAGAAAATGTCTCGGTGATGTAATGATATGATGATAATAACTGCTTAAGGGGAAAATTTTTTAATCTCCCTGTCCACGATATTATGAAGTCTGCCGCACCTTCACGGTCTTTTTCTCAGAATGGGATAACGTTAGGTTAATGTTAACTGTCGTAAATGAACTATTAGTAATCTTGTGTGAGGAATTAAGAAGTGTTATAATGTAACACTTAAGTATAAGCATCCAGAAACCTAATTCATAATTTGGTAAACAAAGGGTGAATCCTGACCAAGTGAATTTCATGAACACTCCTGCAAGTGCTCTATCTGAACAAATTTAATGCCTGTTAAATTGTGTTAGAATCAGTTAACGATTAAAATCCTAACATGAACAATGAATTTACAAACTAAAACAACTTTACACCACGCGTTAAGTGTCGGTTGAAAATTCGCTTATTTCCGCGTGGAAAAACCTGCAAGAATTAACTACACGTGTTGGGGAAACTAGCGGCGTCGTTACGATTAATTGTCGTTAAACAAAGGCTTTCTTCTTTTTATTAATTACCAAACCAACTAAGCTTAACCTACCTAATTCACTGTGGTTGCACTCACAACAAACAAAACAAAAGTGAAGTCTCTCACCCGACTCACCCCTCCAGCCACCAAATCAACTTTTACCAACCCTCTCAACAGAAATTCCCTAGGAGCTACCAACCACCAGAAAAGAACCAAGGTTGCCTATGTTTAACGATTTTCTTGATTGATTTTTTTTCAAATTCAAATTTGGTCACCACAATGATTAAACGCTAACTAAAATTTGGCTAATCATCCCCACCAGCATTGGGATGACGTCATCTGTAAAATTTATAATAAAAAGTTTTTTAAATTCTATAAAATAAGATACTCCTGCACTTGTGGTGTGTGAATCCGTGTCGAATTTTCACCCTAGACATTCAAAATTTTTGGAAAAAATTTAAAATTGACTCACAGTATTTTGCAATATTATATTATAGCTTTGAAACTCTAAAACCGATTGCTCTGAAATCTTGTAAATATTTTAAGGTTATCGTAATCATGGTAAATAGTTAAGCAAAATTTAGCGTTGCGTTAAAAGTTTTGAAATTTCTTATACAGGGTGACTCATAAAAATTAATGAATGAGTCAGTTTATTTTATTGATTAAATCGGAAACGGGTCATTCCGTTTTCCCGAAAATTTGGGCATACAATACATCATTAGTATTACATTGCACTTATCCAAAGTGGTATACGTATCTTTGCAAAAATGTTGATGACGTCATCACAAAATTTTGTAAAGGGAAAACTCATTTGTAACGTACGCCCAGCACGCTTCTTTACTTTTACTTTAACACACACACATGACTTTATTTAAAGATATAAGGATTCTCATAAAAAATAAATAAAATTTGCATGATTAAATTTTATAATTTTTCGGAAAAGCTGAAGTTAGGAGTGAGGGAAGTTCTGTTGAAATAACCTTCGAGCAATTTTTTTTTCAATGTGCGTCGACTTAAGATGCTTATATAAGATTGTATATCAAGATTAATAAGACTTCCCAGCCGTCTTTATTTCATCGAACAATGTGTCACAATCTATACATAACATAATTAAGGATATTGCGGGACATTCTTTAGTTGTAGATATTTAATCAGGCATTCCTATAATATATAAGAAATGATTAACGTAGTTCCCATCTTACTGCAACCACGTTCTTACTCTTCAGAAAGTTAGATTATAATTGACATTTGTGACAGACAGATGAATAGTCAGTTACTAGAACGAGGCGACAAAAGAATCTATGAAATTTCAAAGTGTACTTGAATTCCTACACTACACTACAAGTTTAAACTACCGAAGCAAATGGTACTTACCTACTGTTAAAATTAATTATTAATTACCGCGAGAAAATAAGGTGTGCAAACTAGTCGCACAACGAATTGTTTCTTGAAGGTTTCCACATAAATAATAATGTTCAGTTTACTGTAGTAACATTGAAATCCAAAGCTACAATCCTTCTATGTCTAAAAAGTAGAAGTGTAGGCTATACGATTGTCTCATGAAAATGTCTGTTCTATTGCGGTCATCTATATCTCAAAAAGTGCTTGAAATAGGATAGATTCCTAGTTTACCGAATCTAAAGTTATCTCAAACAAAGTCGTTTATGTAATAAATAAAATAGAATGAAATCTTTACAGAAAAAGGCTTGTTTTCACATGCGACTAGCACTTTTTTCACCACTTAAAAACAAGACTAGCCGTATGAGTGACACAATTTAGAAAAAATTGTCAAAAATGAAAATGCTTTCACTTTATGTTTATCTTAAAACAATAATATCTTAATAGTATAGATAATTATCAAGCAATTTATTGGCAACACATAGAATCATTTTGATGTTTAAATAAGTTCTCGGAAGATGCAGAAACGACTTGACTTAAAACATCATTGCGACTATCAAAATCTTTATTATATAAGACTCGCCAAACAGATATAGTGATCACGTGATAGTTGCGCAAACAACCTGCGCTAAACCTCTGCGGAGTTGATGTCCAATACACTAGCACGTTTAAACTGAATCAAACACCTGAAAATCGTCCATACCACAAATACACACACCTTCACCTAACCACAACAAATTTACACGAATAAGTCAGAACGCTCGACAAAAGTACCTAGTGTTTAGATTTTAGAGTATGTTGTAAAATCGACTTCGGGACACGTAGTTTCTAATCATTAAATTGTTTACGTGTTGATAGCGCATTGTTATTACTACATCTATTCGGCGATTTTAGTACAATCAGAAAACTCCGTATGGTATTTCAGTAGTTTTAATTTAGGACATTGTACAATACAATAATAATGATCGGATTCGCCCACAAAAGTAGATAATTTGAATGTTCGTAGAATTATTTTAAGATAGGCGCTCTTGATAATAACATAGACGAGTCCCCAATTACTCAAAAAAACTAGATGTCCCAGAATCATCCATAGAAAACAAACACATAATTGTACAGACGGCGCATTTGATAACGACGATTCATACATTTAACTTTTATTAAAATTAAATTAATGAAATTTATTTAAAATAAAAGTTGGAATTTAGTGTTTTTGTACACCTCAAACATAAAGTTTAGAGTATTGTTCGAAAATAGTGTTTTAAGGAATTGGATTTTTGTTAAACATTCAAAATTGTCCTATCACAGGGGTGGTGCAGGCGGCTTTGCAGACCGTAGTGGTTACGGTACGGGTTCGGCAAACGGCTACAGTGCCGCATACGGAAGTCCCGCAACCGGCGCCCCGGCAGGTTACGGAGGTCCAACAGGTGCCCCGGCTAGCGGGTACGGAACCGGTGGCGGTAGTTTCGGCAACCCTCCTCCGCAAAGCGCCGGTTACAGCGACACCCGAGGTTACGGAACGGCACCAGGTTATGGAAATCCTGGCGGCTACGGCGACACGTACGGGACAGGAGCAGGAGGGCGTGGTTCTTACGACGCCGCTTACCCTCCACTACCTCAGCAGAGAGGAGGGTAAGTCATACGTGGAGTGCTCATTTCTAGAAATCACCGTGAAGCGATGCCTCTTTGGGGAGTTCCGCGGGTGCGATCTAAAAATAATAAAGAGGTATTGTTTCAGGAAGTTTTGGTCCAAGATTTGAGACTGAAAACAGTTTTGCCTAGTATGGAGAGTTAACTATTTTCATTTAAAAATTTTGTACATATTATACTAGATGGTGTTTTCATTCTATATAAGGTAATGTAAGTAATTTACCCAAGTTTGTTTTTATTTACAGTTATTTTTAAGCTGGCGTTGCGTTTGGAGTAGCGACATCTGAGTGCGGTACGTCTAACTATATGCGGATTGAGATTTAAACGGACTTTGTAGATGTAGTTGTGGTTATTTATAAATTTGCGAAACAAAAATTATGCGCTGAAAGTAGGAAAATTTGGGTAAATTTGTGTCTTTACGGTAGGGTCTTTGTGCAATGGAAGCGCCAATAAGTAGCCTTATATAGATTGGAAATCTAATAAGTGGTTTAAAACGTCTACCTGATCTACTAGATATAGTTTTTGTTGTAGGTTAGAATAGTTTTCACAGGTCGGGCAGACTTTTTTCCCCCCTCTTTTTTTTTCCTTATTTTTAAATTATATTTTCTAGCACTGTGGAAAGAGAAAAAACGCAATAAAGCGATTACATATTCTCTGAACTGTACTAAGTTTGTTCAATTCTTATTTGTAGCTATGCGAACGATGGCGGCCCTGGTCTCCAGCTCCCGGACGCAGATTTTAAGCAGCCCTTTGTTGACACGACTGTCGTGTAAATATTTTTAAAACGGTCACTAAACGAAACACATCCCTAGTAAATAAGCTGCGTATTTTCTCTATACACCAAATCAACCAAAATGGCGCCCAGATTTTATTACCACCTAATGCAATTCGTATTTTTTAAACGTAGTATAATTTTGCGTTTCAATCTAGTTTTAATGGTAACAAATTAATTTTCCTATTTTGTATTTTATTCGTGATCTTGGACGAAATATTATCCTTTTGTGAGTTGTATAGTTGACATAAATGTCTATAATAAAAACTGTCTTTTATAATTTCGGTTATTTTCTCATTTTCATTCCTTTGATCTTTCCGGCAAGACGTTTCATAATGACGCCGTGCGAAATTATTTGGACGCGACATAAACTGACAAACAATTCAAAGCACGTTGGCGCCAGAAACATCTATAGTTAAGTTTTCAACCTTTTTACGATTACTCTAATATACTCGCATTACTCCGATATAGCGGCGCTGTGGATCGAGTTCGTATGTAGATGTCATTATAGTTTTATTTGAGTAGTATTAAAAAAAAACTTGTTATTTATATACAAAATTATTACAACATGATACATAATAATTGAAAACTAGAACAAAATAAATGTTTGTCTTACAAAATAATCGGGTTTGCTGTTTGTTATCACGTCCTCCTATTAAAATCTCCATTGAGTTTAATCCCTTATACATTTCTTCTGAAATATTTTCATAAACGTTTTATGACAATTTCCCATGCTTTGGATGTTGTATTAATTTGTATTTGTCTTTAATGGTTGACACAAAAAAATCGAATTGTCGAGATCCGACTATCATAAAACGTACACAAAATATCCAAAAATGAATTGTCGCAACCTTTAAAAAATTGTTAAATATGACAATTAACATGTATTGTTTTTAATGTACTACCAATATTGACGAATTCTTTAAAAAACTTGAAATAATTTGAATAAAATGTTAGTAAAAAGCTGTTTCTATTAGCGAGTAACAACTGAGAGGGAGAAAAGAAATAATATCTTCTGAGAAAATGCGGAGTTTTTGGTAACTACATAATAAGGAAATTGGAACACCAAAAGACGATTTCAATTTTTTTTTTCCAATGTTTATACTCGTTTGTCATATTTTATTTAATAGCATAGCGACTATATGCGCACTGGAGCATGCGGATTGTGTAAATAAGCCCACAACTTCTAAGTATGATTGTCGTTCTTAATTAATGTAATGTAACCCAAACTCTTTTCGGCATCGTGTTAATTTTAAGTCAGCGTTAAGGTCGATTGTGAATGTCTTTCACAACTTGGAAGGGACGTTTTTTAGTTCTATCGGGATAAATGTACAGTTTAAATAAAAATTGAGTAACACTTTTGTTCCTATAAAAATCAAAATAGGTATTGGTTTTGCCATCGGGTTACAAAGATTTAAGATAAACATACAATAATATATTATATGTTTTATATAAAAAGAGATGCAAATAATGTATCCGTCGCTTCTGGACCGATACATTTAGCAGCACTTTTCTATCAAAATCCCATTCTATCGTCCTAAAGCGACGGATATAACTTGTTTCCTGTTTTATCCCCTGTTACTGTTTTCGCCATTTAAATTGATAATTCAAATACCGTTCATTTAGATTGTTGGTGGCGCATTCTGTAAAAAAGTACACAGCATCGTTTTATAACTTACGAATATGTCATTAAAAAAGTGGCATGGAAAAAAATGAAAGTAGTACAATCATTAAATCTGATCTAGATCTAATTGCAGTGTTAAATTGCTGGTAAATTCTATTGGCTTAAAAATGGAGGGGAACAATCGAATTTTGTCACTGAGTATTACCTCCACCACACTGCAAATTTCAACATCTACGCTGTCATCTTATCGGACTAAACCAATCGTAGGTTAAGTTTCGTCGCCGGATCGTTTTGAAGACTATAAAGCACTGCGTAAAATTATTCAAAAAGTTACGAAATCTTGCTCCAACAACAATATACACAATGTGTCTTCCACAAAAATCACCTCTAGTTAGTGATTTAAGTTTTCAGTTTTCCAGATACAAATCTAAAATTTTGTTTTTTATATTAAGTGGCGTTAGTCGTAAGGTTCAATGCATTTAGTGTATTCATGGTATTTGGATTTTTACATATGAGAAAGATCTTCCCTTGGAGATCACTAAAACAAATATTGAGAGAAAAATTAAGCATGCTGTTATAATTTTATTAATTGATTTTTAAAATACCAGTTTTGAAACCCCAACGAAAAAAAAATTCGGAGTAAGTTTTTAGTTCATTTTATATGATTCTTTGTGAGTAGCATTAAAAATTGCAGACAAAACGTGAGAAGTTTGATGGTTTGATCTTCTGTGCTACGACCACCATATATTGTTTTAAAACACGTTTGCTTTAAAAAATTCTTTATTTGACTGTTTTCTAAAATGATAATCAGTTTCTCACATATTCCTTGCTAAAGCGTTGGAACTTTAGCTTAGTCTTGTCTTTTGTCTCAATATTTTTAAATTAAGTGCAAAACACGTTTGGTGCTTAGCTGTTAATTTAAGTTATTTTACTTTTTATAGTAGAGGAAATGTTGCCCCGTTTATTCTGTTACTTAAAAATACATACACATTTTCAACAAAATCACAGAAATTTCAAGCTATATTATAATTAGTGACTATTGAATCGTTGAAAATGAAGCGTATAAGTTTTTTCTATCGAAATGTTTTAAGTTTCTTTGTTTTTATGTGTAATGTTTTCTGGATGTTGTGCGTCACGTAGTCTCCAGTCTTGGTAATGCTATGAATAAATTCGTATTAGCGATATTTAATACAGCAATATTTCTTGCGTCTTGGACTGGTGAAATACAATACATGTTTCCTTGAAGGCATTCTTGATTTAAAGATGACCAACAGAACAACTAACTTTGTAGAAAGAAGGTACTTTCAGAAAGTTACTTCCCCTTAACTTGATCTGTTGGTTTTTCAAAACTAAGAATCAGCCTCAATAAATTCACAACACCTAAAATAGCCTTTTTGTTCTCATTTAATTGACTACTTTTATGTGTTCTTTTTGTTATCAGGTACGCTTTGTAAAATCAGATAAATTAATAATTTTAAAATAGTGCTTACTGATGTTTGAACGTGCCACATTCGCAATTTCGTCGCACATATTCCGGCTACGTTTTTAAAAAATAGAAATACGATGTACAAATTACGCGGATCATCCCCGAAATGCGATAATTAGAATGCGAGTGGAATATGAAATATGCGCTGTTTAAACGGGCAGTTTTTGAATAAAATAAATCCCGATGTGAACCACATACTGGTTTATTTGTGAAACCAGCGCTTAAAACGCCTGCTCGAAACGAATTTTGCGCTGCGTTAACTAAACGATTATATTGATCTCTGCGATCAATGCTCATACGAAGTAATCAACCGGCATCGCTTTTGATTTGTTTCTTCCAAATAAAGTAAAGCACGTTCAAAAGTAATAAGCACTAAACACAAACTACGGTTAGCAACGACTGAAATTACAAGACTCGAAATAATGGGCCGAATAGCGAATGCACAATCGATATACTGGCGGAAAAGAGCCCTTGAGAACAATAACTGGTCCGAAAGGACGCGTAACACCTTATCATGCTTATGTTCTACGCCCCTCGAGCGAAAAAACGTAAAACAAAGGAAGAGAGAAATATCGTCTTGCGGAAAATTAACCAGAGCCAAGTCATCGTCGGTTTATGTACGAATGAGCTGAAGAATCGTGCGTCCCCAGCCAAGGTCCATGATGTTTTTGGTCATAATGCGATTTGAAAAGTAATCTTTTGGGCCTGTTCGCCGCATTCGTCAAGAATTAACGAGCGTTTACTGCAGGTGAGGTCTTTGTAAAAATTGTTTTGATATCACGACAGTATGAATAAGATAGCGCACTACTACATCACAAAACTTGTGGCATATACATTCAGCTATGCGCATTTATCCGTACAACATACGCTCAAAATTACAAAAACTGACCAAAAAGCATCATCGTTTTTTTCTGTTTCTGGAGCGAAACTCAAACGGACATATTTTGGATTATTTTTGATAGAGAGTTTATTTAGAAATGGATGTAAAGTACAATTTAATTCCACAGGTAACGTGGTGGAGCAACGTAAAATGGAAGATTTTGAAGATGCTCTTGTGGAAAGTCGTAGTGAATCAATCAAGGGCGATACATGTGAGTATACGTTATACAAATCAATCTTTTGCTTCGTCGAGTATTGTGTTGTGTTCCGAGCTATAAAATCCTTCTTCCTCTTCTAAAGCTCTTAGTTGTTGTTCTTCAATTCTCTTTAGTTCATTTTGTAAAGCGATGTTTTCTGCGCGTATGATCATGTCCATTACGGCGTTTCTGGCTTCCTCTTCGACAAACCGTTTCTAAAAATGAAACAGCGTTTTAAATATTTTGTGATTCCATACCTTGAACCGACACTTATACGAAGTGTACAACAGTACAAAAATTAATTATTAATTTATCCATAAAATCGATTGATTCATGTTTTATTATTTTTTAAACATCGTGTATGAACAACTAAAAAAAATCAAAACATATTAGCTCAAAATGTTGTATCTCGTAGCACATTTCTTAATAAACATTTAATTGATAAATTTTTGCGATGACGTCAGTAATTTTCTGGAGAGGGTGAAAAATAAATTTTCATTATTCTATACTTAACAAAATTTTGTGATGACAAACTACATCAAAGTTTTCAAAATAACAGGAAAATGACGTCCAAGGTTTTCTAAAACTCAATTTATATTGTGCTATTGTAATCACTTTAACAACTCACCAGTGTTGAGTCATATTGGTAATGTAATAGATATTGTCTAATAACTGCCAATTCAACCGTTATCCACTGCAGCAACTCATCAAAAGCAAGGTTACAATTTAATATAAAGTTTGAAATGTGAACATTTTGATTGTAAAAAAAAATACGAAGTTCAGATTTTTTGATGTATGTTGTATGGGATAATATAATTTAGAATTTAGATTTTGTAAATAAAAAAATAATATTTTATTTTTTACATACCCATCGCTCCTCCGCTAGTACTTTCCTCTCCGCAGTGAGTTCATCAATTTCCCTCTTTCGTACTTCCTCAAGCTCTTGGTTATATCTGTATTTAAACAAATAATGGCCCAGATAATGTATAGGATCTCTGGGTTGTTTGGCAGTTATCTCAGCTAAAGCAAGAGTTAAAGGTTTGCCGACGTACTGCTTTAAATATTTAACATCTTCAGTTGACATCTTGCTTTCAGTTGTACTGGCTATTTAACATTATTATCGTAATTGTTTGATATTAATTAATTTTACCTTCACTAGAGATGGAAACATCTGGAGGACCGATTTGGTCAATGGCTTGCTGCTGTTGTTCACGCTCTTTGAAAAACTGTAGGATTTTGTCCAGTGAAATACTGACTTCTTTGAAGTAACCTTTCTCTTGAGCTTCTCCAAACGTCATGACACTGCCTGTACGCGTGAGCAGTTTACCAGAAGGTGTAACTTCAATGCCTTTGTCCTGAAGAATTTCTAAGAATTGTGTTTTACATTAATATGTATTAAAATACAAAACCAGAATAAAATTATATAAAAAAAAATGTATTTTTGTAATAACCTGTTAATTTCATGTCAGTATGCTCAACCTTCCATTCTGTTTGCTTCAATTTCTGGTAATATAGCAGATGTTGCTCCAGCTGTTCAATCATTGGGGTAAATTTTTGATTTATTAGAACAACGTGTGCCCTATACAGGGTCCCCATTTGTACATCAAGTTCTGCTTTTAGGTCTTTAAGTCGGTCTTCCATCAACTCTGCATCTTCATCTAGTTGAAACATTAATGCCTCGGCTTGTTGTTGAAACGCCTGCAAGGAACATTTTTCTCTACTAAATTAAAACAAACCCCTAAATATACAATTTTTTCTTGGCGGAAACTTTTGCATTTATAGTCAAGTTCTTTTTCTAAATCAGAAATTTTCTTATCAAGATCATTGATAATGAGAGATAGTTCTGACTTGTTGTCAATCGAACTCAACAGTCTGCTCCTTTGATTTTGCATTTCGCCAATTTTCGTTTTAAACTCTTGCGTCGCTTCACCTATTTTGTAATTAACAATTTGTATGGTGACGTCCAAGTTTTCCAGGGCTTCGGTCTTTCTTTGAATCGAAAAGTCAATTTCGCTTAAACCTTGCAACATTTTTTCAACTAAAATTCTAAAAGTACGCATGAGTGTATTTCTGTGCCGTCGCCCAAATTACTCGTTCGTTTTTTTCATAGGACTAATATCAAAAACAGAATCCAAAGAGGGCCGATGGGTAAGATCGCCAGCATCAGGTACCACACCGTCAAAAACCATGTCTGGCTGGGGTCCATCTTCTGGCACAATATCATCGTATTGCATCGTGATGATAATGTAAATCGGAATCTAGAACAAAAAGGTCTATAAAAACTTGACTGATGTCACTGATGTGTCAACATCGAAAATATGACTTGATATGACTTCTGTGATGTGACTGCAGTTTGCATATTTCGGGCTGCTATGATGACAATAATTATTGTTGCTCTAATCCCCCCCCCCAATTCGTAACAAGTATTGAACATCAAAGGTGAAAAAGTGACCTAGAATTGAAATGCAAAAATATGGAATTAGAACTTTTTTAAATTTCGTTAAAGTAAATAGAAGTGAAAATAAACATTTAGTACTAAATAGAACACAAATGTCCGAAATGCGGTTCCTCTGGACCTGGAGCAAAAACTACGAAAAATATGAGGGACTGTATTTTCTGAGCTACCAAACCTCTTTTCAAAACAAGATTGCTACTGTATATTACTACTGTACAACTCGTTGTGAAAATAACGCAAGTCTCTAGTTCGTAACATTTTTTCAAAAGTGAGTGGATGGCAGTACCCAAGTTATTACTCGGTGTGGTATGAATACAAAACGAAAAACTATGAGAGTGCAAATTATAGGTCACGTTTAAGGAATCGATACCTCTCATCAAGACGATCGAGTCTCCTAGTTTTCGACGTTACGTTACGCGATTCACAGGATTCCGTACACACCAACTTGAAAATGCGTTAAAAACTTCTAGCTAACAATTTTGCCATTGATCTATCAAAAATTTGGACAACAGTCAGCGTCGACGTCACTTTTTACATCTCACCGCATTCATCTGCAATTTGTACTTCCGAAGTGACCACTAGACCACGAGGTCGCTTATCTTTTTCCGCTTACCAACGTGTTATTGTGTCGCCGTAAGTTCTTTATCTCATCCACACGCATAACTTCGGAATTGGACAGTCTTTTACTTCTTTTACTCTTAAGGTGAGTATCCCCACCGCCCGTGCTCCATTCGTTACGAGTGGGTTATAATCTAGCTTAACGTTCATGTACATATATTACCATTACTTATCTATGATTAATAAATTATGTCTTCATTTTAATTGATAATAATAAGTCCCCTGACGAGATATGTTATCTTGTGATGATGTCTGGGTTAACCTGTATTACATGCCTATCAATAGTGGAGTGAAATTGTCAACGTCTGATTTACCCTTCTTACTATCCCGAAGCGGTCCTTCACAGATCCAGGACCTAAGGGGCAGTTTTTGCGACACCCACTGATTAAGGTCTCAGAATCACATAAAAATCTCAGACATCAAATTCACTTAAAATTCGGGCACTAAGCAAATAATCAAAAATTAGAAAAGAGCGGGAAAGGCTTCGCAGTGTACTTATTTTCTTTTCTAAATTAAAAAACTAATAAGACGCCACCACTACGGGGTAACCATTCCGTGTAACATATCACATGGCGAGGGAAAATAAGTACTTCAAACCACCCTCTTTTGTTTTTTTTTGTTTTTGGATTGTTTAAATTACTTGCAAAATGAAGTAATAGCTTTAACTAAAGCAAAAAAGTTATCTGTGCATTCTCCGACGACTCTGAATGTAAGCGAAGAAAAATGTTGCTTCTCCGGTGGGAATCGAAAAACACTTTCACCGCTTGCCGGGCGGGTGCTCTTACCACTAGACTACGGAGGAGCTTAACTTTCTTAACGTGTTATTGTGCCGCCACAACTCCTAGCGCAGTATGCAATAATATCACTCGTAAATGTTGTCTGTTCTGTGTTAGTTGTTATGTAGACTGAATATTTTATTAGAATGGAACCAAAGACAGAGAAGTTGGAATGAAAGTACACATTACAAAAAAGACCCTAAATTGACACGATGAGTCGATGTTGGCGAACCTTTTTTGCCACGGGGGTTGGCGTCTTTTACGGGGACGGTTGCTCGGGTGCCAGCTTCCTGGCGAAAAACGGATCTCCAGTGGGTATCGTGAGTGGACGCACGAGACAGAAATAATATAACAGTTAAACAAACGGAAATAACTGTAACGAAAAAAACGGTCAGTCATCCGAAGCGCTCTCCCTCTAGTAGGCTGCTCTCCACATGGTCCTGCTTCGGTTCCTGGGGAGACGGTGACGATACGCTGAAAGGGGTCACGCGGCGGCGATGTTAAAACGGACGGGGACTAGCCGCGCTTAACTGCATGAGTACGGCTTATCGCGCGCGAGCACAAAAAAAACAACGGCAGATATGACGGTACGGGCTGGATTCTTCGGCTGGCGATGAGCCAATTGCATACAGTGCCCAACTCGGTACCGATTTTTTTTTTTTGAAGACCTCTTAGCCCTGAAGTTTTTGGTTCAGACAGCGGTGTATTGTCAACGGTCTTGGGGCAAATCTGAGTTGTCGCCGGAAAAGGGTTTCAGGTCCTTGAAGTGGATGCGGCGGCAGGTGTACCCCATTGTACCTACTTAAGTTGTATACAACTGGCGAGACGACCTTGTACTGTACACCGTGTACGGCCTCAAGTATATGGTGAAAGAGTTTGTTGCGGAGGAAAGCGAATGTTCGCTTCTTATCACTTATTGCCCACGTGACATCTCCATTCGCGATGGCAGAGACTGTAGTGAGGACTGCGTAATGAACCCTCTCGACAAGTTCACCCAGATCATCTGGTCCAACTCAGGGAGAATAGCCAGATGCTCCAGAAAATGTGACGTCACGGTTAAGGTCTGTTCGACAGCGGTTTCGAAATCGTTGGCCAAGACATATAGCAGACATTTGGAGGGCCGAGGAACGCGGGGGAGACATTTATCGAGCGGTGTTAATAGCGAAGATCAGCTCGGGAAGGAACTGATAACTAAACTTCGAAAACTGCAAGATACTGTGGGTAACCCAAACTTCCCACCTTAAATTGACCTTGAAAAAGTTTGAAAGGCTAGCGAAAAATTCAAAATTTCAAAATTTGGCCTTGATCGTCTAACAAAAGGAACCTACGTTGTTTGTTTTTTTTTTCTTTTTTTTTTACATGTCGGGAAGACGTTCTTTCATACAAGAGCATACACTGCGTGTGAGTCGAGAGCGCAAGAAATAATACACAAAATTTTTGGGAGGGGGCTAAAATTCGCACCCGCTCTCTAGGAGGAAAAGAGCTGCGAGCATTCACTCCTCAGCCTAAAAACCCCCTATCGTATATTCACCAACATATGACATTTCAAATGAAACACCTTAAAATATGAAAAAGACACTCGCGAATTGACCGACATACACATATGAAAACCGAACTAACACAAAATCCTATACATATGTTTGGAATCAATGCAAATATTTGAATATCAAAATTTAATAAAAACAAAGCAAAATCTGAATTAAAGTAACTGGATGCAAATGCAAATACACAAGTTATTCGTTCTAGCACAAGCGGAGTTTGGGACAACCGGTCGGGGCTGTTCTCCCCCCACGGCGGTGATTCTATCTATCGCAAGCCTACCCAAATAGCACATCACACATCTTCATGATGAACATGCCGTCCGCAGTTGGATCTCGGCTAAGGACAGAACCTAAGAGCGTTACAATATCGGCGACCGCCATTGAATCTATCCAAACCTGTACCCTTTGTGCAGGTGACGCGATAGATCTCGCCAGCTCGACTAGGAACCGCACTTCGCTTCTGCCACGTTTTCTGTGTTATTTAACCTCAATTTCATTTTAAATGTTCAATTTCTTATGACTGATATTAACAACAACTGAACGAGTATTAAAGTTTCAAAAGAACAGTAAACAATATTTAAATTCGCCATACAATCTTGTGAAGTTTTAAACAACAAATAATTCTTATGCGAGATTGAAATTAGACATCAAATAATGTATACGATGGAAACATTCATCAACAAAATATTTACAAAACAAAACTTAGCAAAGATTTATAAAACAAAAGATCTGGTGTGAAGTAAACTTGTGCAAATAAAAATATTATGTGAGGTTAAAACTGCAGAACATGAAATTTACGTTCAATTAAAATTATATAACAAAGAAAATTACTGAAGTTATAATTGTGAAATAGAGAAATATTGTATGAGGTGAAAATTTGCAAAGTTAACAAAATTTACATGAGATTAATATTTGCCACACTTTATCAACTCAATTTACTTTGAGAGTTTAAAATACCATGAAACTGATTACCCCAACAAGACACATAATAAATAAACACAACAAAATTTTCATTGCGAGGAAATGCTTCGATGATGTAAATTTTAGCGTTGCGAGGAAATACCTCGATGATGTAAATTTTAGCCTTGCGAGGAATAACAGGTGATGTAATCAGTCATCAATCTTTAACGTCACGAGGGCATGCCCCGGTGATGTAATCAATCTTTAGCGTGGCGAGGACATGCCTCGGTGATGTGATCACGATACGATGATAACCGCCTAAGGGAAGAAATTATTTTAACCCCCCGACAATTCACGGTATACGGTATGAATTAGTTCATTTAACTGCCGTAAATGAACTATTAGCAATCTTGTGTGGAGAATTAAGAAGTGTTATAACGTAACACTTAAGTGTGTGTACCCAGAAACTCATTCGTAATTAAACAATAAAAGTGTTATCCTGACTAAGTGAATTTCATGAAATCTTCTAGCAAGTGGTTTATTTAAATAATCCTGATTGTTAAATTGTGTTAGCACTAGCTGACGATTAAGAAAAACTAACTTGATTGGTGAATTTACAGCACGTGGTCCGGGTTGAAAGATCGCATGTTCTTTCGATTAAAAGCTACAAGAATTAGCTGCGCGGATTGGGGGAACTGGGCGCCGTCGGTTACGATTGATTGTCGTTAAACAAAGGCTTCCTCCCTTTTATTAACTACCAAACCAGCTAATTTAAACCTAGCTACTTACAGCGTCCTTTCATCATGCATCCACTATACCGAACCGAAAGATAATGACTCACGCTTTCAACATGCCGCTCTCTCCAACCAAGCCGCCCTCTAACTAAACGTGCAAAACTAACCCCAAGCGTTACGTGCATATTTGGTTGCCTATGTTTAACAATTTTTTTATTGAATTTTTTTTCAACTTCCAATGATTGAAATGTGATTTCGCGCTGCTGTTAATTTCAGCGCGAAAATTTGATTCAAATTCGGTCACCACACTACGAATTCGAATAATCCACTTATAATCATTTAATAAATTACAACTGGTATTTACATGCTAGCTAAGGACTATCAAAACCCCTGCAAAAAAAATTAAACTAAGATATCAGTGGAAATCGAGGAAACCTTCCTGAGAATAAAAACTAAAATTAACCGGATTAAAACATGCACTTAAATCTACGCTAATTATTAAAATAAATCATTCAAAAAGAGAGATAAGTAATTTCTACTTTACTTTTTAATTTAATTAATTAATTCGTCAAATACTCCGGGCGCGAACACTGGTTCATGAGAAAATCAGCGGTTACTGGGTGGTCAGGTAAAAGCAAAAGTGGATGGCCAGAGCCTTTCAACGAAGCTACGAGTAAATGCTGGGAAAATAGTACCATAAATGTTCTAAAGTACGGTGGAAACATTAAATTCGCATGAAGTGCGAGGTTTCCCAAAACTACTGCAAAATAACCAGAGAACAGGATCATATTGAATGGTAATAAACTCAAAGTAAATTATCAACTGCAAAGGAATCAGATTAAAGTGGTTCCATTTTGGAAACCTCCCAAAAACCGAGGAAATGTTGGATTAATTTTAATAAAAGACGATCGGTAAATTTTCGAAAAATCCTCCCCGACGACTAAAAGCCGACACAAGGCTAAGAGTACCGCCCGCAAACGAGAACATCTGTTAACACTAAAAATTCCTTCCGCTCCCCGGCGCTCTCTGTTCACACCAAACGCATCGAAAACCACCGACAAAAAACGCATAAATAAATGCTTAATAGGTACAGCCGAAATCGAAAACACATTGGGGTGGCGAGAGCGAGATAAGTTAAGTGAGACTGAGGGTAGACTTACACAGCATGGAGCATAGAAATCAGGATTTATTCGAAATTCAGACGAAGATAGTGGAAAATTCGCGAAGCAGACCAACATCGTGGCCCACGGCACCTCGAAATTTGAAAATCGCTTTCTATGCTACTGCTTTTATAGGGATTTTTACCCATTTATTTTGCCTTTCGCGACGTTAGCGAGTAATAAAAAGCTTAAATCATGGTTTGCTTGGGACGCGTCTTTAGGTCTTATTTCGCTGTTTTATAAGGTTAGTTTGGTTTGAGTAGGATTTCGTCTCGTCTCGTAAATTTTTCGCTTTTTTCAACTTGCATCATGGTTCCCATGTCGTCATCGCTGCATCTCCGTTAATAAAGGCGGTGTTCTTTGATCTGTTTTTTATGCGTCTGGGTTTCGCCTGCTGCTGTTTTAGTTTAGGTACGAATTCTAATGAAAGTAATTGCGATTGGCGGTTTTTATGGGTGTATAGTTCTGCGCATGTTGTGCGCAATGTCTGACAAGCGCAATGATATTTGATATTTGCGAATATGCGAATTTTATTCTTACGTTTAGGGATTGGTGGTCGATTCTGATTGTCTGTTTGAATGGTACTATATGTAGATTTTGACATGTGTTTTAAGTAATCAAGATTTGCAAATTTGCAAATTTTGTTTTTATGTTCTGGGGATTTGTTTTTCGTCTTTTTGTTGAGATTTTCTCGTGAACTGATTTAGAGACGGCTCGTCACAAAGAGAAGGAACCTTTCTTTAACGCAGCACTGCGATGGCGTCGCTATCAATAAATATTCCAGCGGCTCCGGTGTCAAGCAGGGCGTTGAATAGCATAATGATCTGTGGCACTTGTCTAATTATGAACAACGAACAAACTGAAGGACAGTTGAAACGACGCTGTAACAAATTTAACATTAATATACTTTGCAGAAATAGCAAAACTGTTCACGTGAAGTTATTTTTGAATAGACTTGACACCCATGTTACGAAGTCTGCCATAGGGGATCATTTTAACATGCCATTGTTGGATTACGTTAAAATGAAATGTTAAATTTCGCGTTTTCAGAGGGAATAATTCATGTTGAAAAATGGAGGAAGAATTTGTGTGTTTACTTTTGTCATTTCAGACTGCGTGACTGTTGTAGAACTAAGTTTACGACAACCAGCGTTAAATTTAACAAACAAGTCTCCCAAAGGCTTACAATTTTTCCAAATTTTTACTAGTTGTTCAGGTACTTATAAAGGGTAAATTAGGTTAAAAAAAAAACATATACTGTTAAGATTCTTTTATATTTACTATACATTTATAAATAAATCCTTTTCTTGTACAGTATGATTTTTACATTTATGGCTAAAATCGTACTAAATCATCGATGTTAGTACTTACAGCGGAGGTCATCACTGCTAGCAACAAAAAGCAATGTTTGTCGCATATTTTAAAACTTGGACCAACCGATGTGTTTGGTTAAAATCTACCCAATAAAGAATCTCAAGGTGAAAAACATCAATAAAGATTTAACAAAACTGCTTAAAAAAGCCAACGCGTTTAGTCTGTCCGTGGGAATAGCGGCAAGTCACGTATCTTCGAGAACTGCACAGCTGTATTTATTTGGTTTAATGATAATATTTACAAAATTCAAATAGTTAGTTAAATATTTTACAACCAGTTTATCAAAATTACTGTTCACTTATTGACGATGTACTCTCGATTTATATCATACATGTGCTCAATAAAGTGAAGAATATATGTTGGATTTTAATTTAATCTTAATTTTATTTAGTCTTTACGCAAATAAACGCAAGAACACAGTGCAACCTCTTCAACTTCCGTCTATGCTAAAATCATTGGAACACGTGTATGTAGGTGGATAAGTGAACGTACAATAGTTGCATTGCGTAGATCGAATATGTAAAATATTTAATTAAACTAAGAACTGACAGTTTATTTAATAAGTCATTCCCCGCCAGTCAGGGACAGACTGCACTCTGCATTTAAAATCAATAACAACTTTTCACAATTCCTGATCCCACACGTCAGCCCTTAACAACTACACAGGTCTGTGTTAAAATGAGGCGAGAAAGTTCGTATTAAGCAAAATATTGATTCCGTTGTAAAAATATGTAATAATAGAAATATATAACTATCTAGTTTGTGCTTTGTGTTGGAGGACAATTCATTTTGGCTTGAATGGAACAACTTTATGATCAGTGTCGGCCCAGTTTTTATGCACTTCGATGTTACATTCGCCGCAGTATAAATCCCCTCCACAGTCGAAACATCGGAATTTGGCATCGTTATTACATAGGACGCACCATGGAAGTTCTGGTGAAGACCGATCTACCTCTTCTTCATTAGAAGAACTTGGCGTCAGTTTTTTAAAGGTTTGTTTGGGTAAACGTTCTTCGATTGCTACTTCGTCCATTATCTGCAATCAAAAAACATGCATGGTTTGACTTGATACGAGGTGACACAATGTGGAGATTATCTCTATGAGCCCTATTTAACCAACAGCATATAGCAATGTCAATTGATCATGGTTATCAGTCCCGTACTTAAGTACCTTAAGCATTATTTCACGATCGTATTAAAAAAGTTTTGTAATTTTACGACACTTCCGGTGGTTTAGGAGTGACTAAATATAGAAACACATCAACGAGTACCTAGGTAAATTATAATATTAAAACCAGATTCCTGTTAGATAAGTGAGTGTAATATCCGACACACGTAAGTTGTATTTTTTTATATACCTAAAGTCAGAAGAAATCCTTTTACGCAAGCACAATAATAGTCAAAAATCATTTTATATTGTGTAATTTATCTACAAGATAAGTATTTCAAGTGTATCTATGTATTTAAGTAAAAACGTATTGCAATAATTTTATTTATCTAATATCTAATCAACAATACCGCAGGCACTTTGTATTTTTTATCAAAAACAAAACTGGCAACTCATTTTCAATATTAATTTGTTAAAAAATGCTCATTAGAAATAGATTAATGCACACTTCTAAGAAATCTAATACTATGAACTATCAACTATCCAGTCTTTGAATGCAATTGTTTATTTTCACTAGCTTTTGTAAAGTAACTTTTGTATTTTTTAAATTCTGTTACTGGATTTTCCACAAGAACAGCACTGCAAGTCGATCAAGGATGCCGAACACTGAATGAAAATTTAAACTGTGTCTCCAAATAATTACCATGTTTTGATTTAAGGAAACGCCACCTTACGAAAAAGAAATCTAGTGTAAGTTACGTTTCGGTGCACGTTATTACATTTTTCTGTTTGAATTGTAGCTAGTATTTTTGTCTTTGACTTATGAATGTTATTGATATTATGTATTTTTTATTGTAGGAGAAAACTAAAGCTGTTATTCAAAATTTTCTTTTCAAGCTACAAAAACAAATTTCAACAATTGCTTTGGAGGACTTATTTGATTTTAAAAATCTTTAGTACATAAATACATATGTATTATACGACAAACTAAAACCCACAATCAATTATTTGCTACCTTATAAATTCAATTAATAAAAATACACACAGCTAAAGAAAGCATTACAATAAGAATCCCCCTGGCGAATATGTAGTTTCATATGTTATTGGGGTTTCATAATTCGTCAATTACGAAAACGCAGATTTTCCGTCCATTATAAAGTGAACTATTTACTTAATTAATTTTATGCTTTAAAGATAAACATTCTGTGCAAATGTTATTACATTTTTATATTCTCCAATTTTATAATAAATTCTCTGAATTATTAATACACATAAGTTTATCTTTTCTAAATTTCTAATTAAAACAAAAACAGATATTTAAAAAATAAAATTTTCAACTGTACAACTAGGGCTAAACAATAATTGACTTATAATGAGGGGTCTGACATACACATGTATCCGAGGTTTTCAATACTGTCACGTGTTCAAAATTCTAAGCAAGTAAAAAGCTTCAAACAATCCATATCTTTCAAGGTCTGAGCTTACATAGCTTTTATGACGCTCAACCAAGTATGGTAGTAGCATTAAGTACCGTCTATACAGCTATAGGTTTGACAAAAAATACGAAAAATCGTAAACTATAGAAGAAGTCAGTGTACAAAATTTGGTCTACTCACTAAACATTCACCAAAGTTGGGGCATGAAGAATCAAACCCTTGAACTTAATCACACTATGTTTTGAGAAAAACGCAAAGAACTGTTGTTCATTTGCAAGTCCATTTAACGTAAAGTTCTTATTTTTGATTAGATGATTTATATTATTTTAAGTCGAAACAACAACAAACACCAAATGCTTCGTTGTTGAGATGGTAAAATTATGAACGTGAAAATGTAGCTGTCATGCTTTGATGCCAACCTGTGGATTTATCGCAGTGTGACAGTCAAGGGTAGGGATTTGTGGTAATTTGAAACTGATAAAACAAAATTGTAAATGATTAATAATAGATATTTATTTTATTTTTGTTGCTGGATGAACTTGAAAAAAATTTGTTGAGCTTTCAGTGTTTTACTTTATAAGAATCTGAAAAAATCGTGAGTGCTACAGTAATACATGGTGTATTATTTTGGAAGCCCATGGAATTTTTTTTGTAAATTATTTAAAATAATTTTGGGGAACTTTGGTGTTCTATTTTTGGAAAATTCTGACCTGATCTGTTTTTGAATTAATTTTGGGACCCAGTGAAAAAAAAAACATTCTTGAGGTTCTAGGTATTCCTGTTTGGAAAGAATTTGAAAGTGCTTTGGAGCCTCTAGTCTCTTTTATTATAATAATTTAGTTAAATTTCTTACGAAGATACGTCATTTGCTAAAATCACTCTTATATTAGCAGGTACTACTTATATTTTCCTTTTTTTCTTAATGTTTTTAATTATTTTTAAACAAATAAGTATTTTGCAATTAAGCTTCGCCCCCTTGATTCACGGCGCATAAAAAAAAATCATCACATTTGAGATAGGGCGGGTGGGCGGGCTCACATTTTGCCTTTTTGTTTTAATACGTGTAGATTTATTTTCACAAGATGAAACTTAAAACATGTTTAAAATGGATAATTTGTATAAGGAAATATCGATTTTGCAATTAGGCTCCACCTCATAATTGAAAATCCATATTTCCTTGCAAAAATTTACTATTTCAACCATGTTTTAAGCTTCTTCTTGTGAAAAGATGGCCATGTATATTAAAAAAAGGCAAAATGTAAGCCCCACCCACCCGCCCTGTCTCAATTCTGATGATTTTTTTATTCGTCATAAACCGAGAGGCGGGGCTTAACTGCAAAATCCGTATTTCTCTACAAGAAATAAAAAACATCTTTTTGAGTATGCTGTTGTTCAAAGAATGCTATGTATATTAAGAAAAAATTAAAGCCAAAGGGTAAGCCCCACCCATACCTACCCTGATCTACTCGTAAATATGTACTAATGAAGTTTTCATTCGTTGCCAGACCTAGAGGCGGAGTCTAATTGCAAAATCCATATTTTCCTACAAAAATTTATCATTTTAAACGTGGTTAAGTGTCTAAGAATAAAAAAATTCATTACAATTGAGACAGGGTGGGTGGACGGGGTTTATATTTCGTCTTTTTTCTTAATATGCATAGTATTCTTTCAACAGCACGATTCTCAAAAACATGTTTTAATTTTTTGTAAAAAAAATAAGAATATAATAATAATTTTGCAGTTAAGCTCCGCCCTCTTGGTTCACGGCGAATAAAAAAAATCATCACATAAGAGACATACATTTTGTCTTTTGGACAAAAATAAAATCGATTTAATTATATTTACATTTATATTACTAAATTTCGAACTAAAAGAAATGAACTAACTATCAAAGAACAAAGTATCTCTTATACCTAAACTTCGACTTTCTCTACATGCACCCCGTTCTTCTAAAATTTTCGTTCTTATTTTGCGTTGTTCTTTTTCAAGATGTATTCGAACCCGAAACAAAGAAAATAGTTTTAAAATTTTTAATTTAATATTATGACAAACTGGCAATTTAAAACTTGCAATTTGGTGATCAAGTTTCATTTCGTGTAAATATAGAGTTTTTAAATCAACATTTTGTTCAGAAATTGCCGTCTTTAGATTTTCAAAAAATTTTTACATAGTTAAAAACAAATTAAACACAAGTCCTATTGGATATGTTAATGAATTAACTTTAAATTCTCTTACACAAACCAATTTCGTATAAGGCCTAGAAAATGTTTTGGTAATATGTAACTGCTTATAGACAATTGTCTCACAAAATGCTTGGTTGTGACTGTTCCAGCCCCTAGGAAGAGAAACTGTCGAAACTGCAGAAGAAACCGCATTACTTGAAGCTGGTAAATCTCTTACTCCTAATAAATTTTGATCATTTGATACTGTATAACTTCCCCTACTGTAGGTACTTTTGAAGCATTGAATTACACATAAATTTTTAAGAAGTGACCTAAACTGAAGTGCATTTGGTCTTATTTGCCTAAAAATATTTTCTAAGGCATCTTGTGAAAATCTTGACGTACACAAAAATTTATAAATTACAGGCCAAAGAAACTTTAATTTTGTCAAAATGATTCAGATTGTACAAATCACTACTTAATTTTGGTGCTAATTTTAATTAGAAATTTTCTTGAACTTCCGCAAAGTCCTCAGTGTATTTAATGTTAACCTCATTGCTTGGTAATGCATATTTATTACCAAACTCGCCTGGAATTATCATAATTTTGTTATTTACCAATGCAAACCTTATATTTTTGTAAATGTGAGAAGAATCTGCCATGAAATATATATTTTTTGATTCATGAGCTGGATTAAAAATGAAATTTTGAAGAACAATTTTTCTAGATTTAATGACAAAATATTTCCACATCGCCTGATTTCTTGCATCCATATCTGTCGTAATATTTACAATATTTAAATTCGTTTTTGTGGCTAAAATTATTAATTTTTTAATGTGACCTCCTAATAACTGTCCATTTGTGGAATTTCCTGTAAAGTGATACAAAATTACTTGTTTTCACCACCGCAATACTACACCTATCATGATAACTAAAGAATGAGTGGCTATCACTGAAAAAATTTCCAGGGTTTCATATTCTAGTATGGTAGAGGAAGCTGTGCAGTATTGCTTTCCAGGCGTTAAAGCCGTCTCATTTAAATATAAACAATAGTCTTTTTCACAGTCTTTAAAATCTTTAACTTTTAAATTTAAATAATAAAAAAATTCGTGTAATATACCTGGGTAGAATATGCTATATTTTCCGACGTAACGTACGCAAAGATGGCAATAAATAGTTTAATTTTAATAAAGATTCATAGCCTGAAGAACCACAAGAAAATTTAATGGATAGTGCTTTTGCTACAGTGTCGAGGCGCCACCTCCTCAATTTTTTTTATTTAAGTGCATTTGTAATTACTTGTTTGTTCACTCCAAATTTACCTGCAATCAATAGTTTGTCATTAATTTATAATTTTTTAAAATTCAAACTGTTAATTTTTTCTTTTAAATAACAAATTTTATCTTCTTTCTGCTGCAACAAATTTTGGTAGTACTTTCCTAAACATTCGATTTGCGCTAATAATAATTCTTTTTCAGTGGTTATTAAATTTTGAATTTTGATATTTTGTTCATTAATTGTTTGTTCCGGATTAACAATTTTAATTGGTGCTTTATCTTTAAAATCTTGACTTTTTACTTCAAAAAATGACAAATTATAAAAAATCACAGTCAAGTGGACTGCTGCAATTTTTTTAGGACACTGGAAAACCCTTTGAGACGAACGTTCATGACAAATTTGACAACAATTTTGGCATACACGTGTTTCTGACAACCAGTCATATAACCTAAAATATTTTAAAGTTGAAACTGTCATTTCGTGATACCACCGTGGTCCACACTCTTAAAAACGATATATTATGTCAAAGTACTCTAGCTACCAGAAAGCTAGTGGACGAAGAAATTATAACATGTTAAAAAATGCAGTTCATTTGAACTATTCTTTTCTGTAGCTGTCTAAGAATAATGACAACAGGGCTGTAGAATGACAATAATTCTAACGTAACATATAGTTGAATTTAGATAGTAGGCGGCTTAGATCCATTTTGAATTACTTTAGATGAAAAAGCTTCTTACATATAATTTTAAATAATCTACAATTCTAACAAGTTTGCAACAGTACCCACTTTTTCCGTTAAAACATACATATTTATTTATTTTTTTGTTTCAAAACGAATACAATTATAACTTCATGAAAACCACACTGGTACAAGGTCAACCACGTAGTACTAATTCATTTCTATATATGTTGCCTCTTACTCTTTTCCTGGATCAAGGTAACCTATTTTTCTTAAACATATTCAAACCATTTGCTCCACAAATGCATAAAGATTATTCGTCATCACTAAAATAACTTACCTTTTTAGTAATTTTATCAACTTCCTCTTCTGAACTACTGGAATCATGTAAGTTACTAATATATGGTCCCTCATTTGGTCTCACACCCTGTTCTCGTAAAGTAGCCAACCTTGCTTCAATTTCATCTTGAGGATTATGAGCCAATTCAATGTCTCTCTCACTAACAAACTGTTCCAACAATGAATCAGCTTTTTGTTGATCTGTCCTTGTATCAACAGTAAACAACTAAAAGTATAAAACTATTAGACTTCCATGACAACATTTTAAACACATACAGGTTTGCTTGGTCCTTCCACGTAATCGTTTTCACCCTTCAAACTAGCAAGTCTCCGCCTCAATTCGCCTTCCGTTGGAGGGGGACCTTTTTCTTCTTTAAGTCTTTCTAATCGGTCAAGAATTTTCTGATCGGCAGGTGACAATCCACTCCTCAAAGCTTGAATTTTCGGGTCCGTTTTATACATCGTAATTGGTGGCGCTAGAGGATTTTCCAAATTTTCTAACCTTCTGCAAAAATTGTTAAAACAATGTTACTATCACGTTATATGTACCTTAGTGAATTGGTGGTTATAAAGGGAGGTAATGGGAACTTAGGAACGGCACTAGAATAAGTTTCATTAATTGTAGTATAAATGGTGCACATCTTACTTTATGAACGCATCCGGCGGTGGAATATTCATTGGCTGTGTTGTACTTGTACCAGATGCTAACTTCGAATAACACAGTTTACATACATTATGTTCACTAAGCCCCTTATTGGGTATTTTACATTTCTGCTTTAAACATTTATTGCAAAAGGAAAGCCCGCAATTTGAACAACCCATCTGAAGCAAATTAAAACTAAGTTTAAAATATTGCTTTGACGAAAATACTTACTTCTTTATGGAAAAAATTAAACTTGGTATTGCAGTGGTTGCAAGACATAATAGAAATGCGGAAAAATATATAACAATTTGATATATAGTTATAACTTATAACCAATTAACTACAGTTGACACTGACAGTAGAATTGATTATTTTTTCTTTTAAGTTGCAATATTGTTTTTGGGCCGCCGGAACGAAAAATATCCCCTAAATTTCCGACGTTTTTATTGGAAGTTTACTGAGATTTTTTCACTCTCACGTTGGTATCTCTGTCAAGTGATAGAAACGTCATAAATGTCATTTTGACATTTCGCGACAACTGTGTTGTGTTGGTGGAATTCATTGCCGAATTTAAACTAAATGTGTAAGTAATTAAAAAACCCTCAAAGACAAGAAACGCAGCTAACATAGATTACCAATGAGTACTTAATTCTGGTGTCGTACTGTTATACATGGATCAATGTCTTGTCATGTCAGTTTGAAGTAAACGTGCAACAAAAAGATCAAAACAACTCCAACGTAATAAAATCTGTTTACATGTTATCAGTTTGCAGGATACTGTGAATAATCCTTACCTCAATGATGCGGTTAAAAAGGGCTGTAGCTGTTATCGGCTCAGCCCTTGTAGTACTTATCATCATCATGATCTACTCAGCAAAAGATTTGTCAGAATTTGCAGGAAAGCGGCAACCAGTGGCCGATTATGAAAGCGTATGTTTTCATTATTTAATTCTCAAAAAACTAACCTAAATTTTCAGCTGAAATTTGTGAATTTAGAGAATCGAATCAAACAGCTGGAACATGACCTAAACCAACATGGCAATGAAGTACAAGATATCAAAAATGTGATGAAAAATATTATTCCACAAAACGCCAGTTCACATTCCATCAAAAATTCACAAATGAATCCAAAGGACAGACTAAAGCCTGTCATTACAGAAGTACTATATGAATCAAACTGTCCTTTTCAGTTGAATTTTGTCCCTAAAACTGATATTCAAATGTTAGAGATTTACAAGAGATTAAAATTTGATAATCCTGACGGCGGTGCCTGGAAGCAGGGTTGGAAAATTGAAGTAGACGAAAAAGACTGGAACAGACAAAATAAGTTAAAAGTGTTTGTGGTACCACACTCGCACAATGATCCTGGTTGGATTAAAACTGTAGAAGAGTACTATTTAACTCAAACTAAGCACATTTTAAATAACATGCTTTTGAAATTACCTGAGGACCCACGCAGGAAATTCATATGGGCTGAGATTTCTTATTTTTCAATGTGGTGGGAAGATCTGGGGGAAGATGAACGAGAAGTTGTTAAGAGATTAATACGCAATAACCAATTAGAGATTGTTACAGGGGGGTGGGTTATGAATGACGAAGCTAATTCTCATTGGATATCTATAATGCAGCAGCTAACTGAAGGCCATCAGTGGTTACAACAGAATTTAAATTATACTCCACAAAGTAGCTGGGCTATTGACCCATTTGGAATGTCTTTGACACAACCAGTACTTTTGAAAGAAATGGGTTTTCGAAATACGCTGATGCAGAGAGTGCATTATTCAGTGAAGAAAGAGTTGGCGAGCAAGCAACAGCTGGAATTCCGCTGGAGACAACTATGGGGTAAGTTAGTTTTATTGCTTTCGTGGATTGTTGAGTGTACGCTTAAATTTTGTATAAATGTGGTGGCGGAAATAAGGATTTCTTCACCATGAGGCATTACTTATTTAGGTTTTGTATGTTGATTTTGCAAGCTTTAGCTCAAATTAAAAAAAATATAATAGAAGGGCCTGTTTGAGGGCAAAATTTAAAATACAGAACTGCAGAAGAGCAAAATATTTACGTAAGTCAGTCACATTACAGTTTTCATTATCTGTAAGACCTTATTGAGATTGTTAAAAAATTAATAAAATCCTTTGTGTTCTTTTTTCTCCTAAATATTTCACAGTAACGCTAAACTACCTTGCGGTTACCTTAAAATAAAATTCAAAATTATTGGGAAGAAAAAGGACCAAAAAAAAGTGTGTTATTACTTTTTTTAACACTAAAGAAAAACTATTTTCAAAAGGATTTTTGTATGTTTTTTAATGATGTATTATTAGAACAACAAAACAAATTGCTTGGTTATACATACATCGGAAGAATGTCACGTAGAAATTTGTTGTGATAACAGTTAAATCAAATAAACGTAAGAATTCTTTGAAATGACGTCATCAAATTGTTGGCGGGGATGATTAGCAAAATTTTGGTTAGTGTTGAACTATCTACATGATATTACTAATATACATACAAAATTTGAGAACAATCGATCTAGTAGTGTCTGAGATTACGTGTCTAATAAAAATGGATACGGACACCAGATAGACAGACAGACAACAATTTGGGAAAGCCAAAATTGCTATAAACTACTAACAATTTCGTACACGTAACAAAAATACAAAAAAGTCTTCTGGTGGGCCATGAACTTTATTTTTAAAATAATCGCTTTTATTTTACCGTAATTGTCAAACTAAACAAGGAGTGCGTCGGTGTTACCAACTTCATTATTTTAAAAACAAATTTCATGTCCTACTAGAGCGTTTTTACTTCCCAAGGGTAAGCTAAGGAAGTAAAGTAACCGAATTCATCGGCCCTTTTTATGTTTTCTCAATGTTTCATGACCTCAAGAGTACGAAAAAGTAGTCGCCCGTTTCCGTCTGTCTGTCTGTCTGGTGTCTGTATCCATTTTAATTAGACACCTAATCTCTGAAACTACTGGACCGTTTGTTGTCAAATGTTGTATGTATATTAGTAATATCATGTGTAGATAGTTAAACGCTAACCAAAATTTGTCTAATCCTCCCCAACAAAAACGTGATGCCATCCCCTCAAAATTTTTAACAATAAATATTTTTAAAATTTTATAAAATCATATACTCCTACATTTGTAATTTACGCATCCGCATTTAGTTTTAATCACAATTATTTTACAAAAATTAATAAAAAATGTTTATGAAATCAAGAAAAGTTCACCCCGTTTACTCGAAAATTACAGTACCTAATGTCACACCGCAAATAATTTTTATTATAATAACAGCTCCTCACCCAAAATAATTGTCGGATCGTTTTGCTGTAGTAATCAGTCCACTCCTGGAGACAAAATTAATCAAACTTCATTTTCTTTTATGCAACCGCTGATGCTTGTACGTGATTATAGTCGAATTCGTCCGTAGTATAAACATAAATACTCGAAGCTAACCGTGTAATTCCTAAGAGTTCATTTTCTCGTTAAATATATTTGCTATTTTTGCATTTGTGCGCTGTTATTTATGCCATTGGTTTTTACTTTATAGAGGTTACACAAAACAAAAGTCGCAAAATCAAATTTTATAATTGGTCAAAGAAGCGGGATTTGCTTCAGGAGTGGGGGAAGTTCTATCGAAATAAATTGTTTTTTTTTTCGATGATATGATATTTCGACCTTGGCAAATTTATCAAACCTTAATTCATTGTACGTATTGTTTTTTTCACGACCTATAGATGCATACAAATCTTTAAAAAGGAGTGATATCTAATTATAATTTGATAACCTTATTGTTAATAAAATTAGAGAATTATCGTGAAGTCAACATTTATTTCATTATATAAGTATTTAACTGGAAAGAACGACTTGTCATAGTTTATTTTATACTGTGGTAACTCAAACATCCCGCCTTAAATTGACATGTGAAAAAAACTGAAAGCCCGCGAAAAATTCAAAAATTTGACCTACATTGTGTTTTTGAAAAATGGCGGGATGCGTTCAGATGCAAATGGTGGACCCCAAGGTTGGAAAAGTACCGCTAAATAAAACACCAAATATATGGAGGACACAAAATTATTTATTCCTTCACTGACAAAAAAAAAGAAAAGAAAAAACCAGCGACTAAGTGCTCGTTGAAGACCCCTCTTAATGCTCAGCTACAAAAAAAAAACTTTGAATAAAATCAAATTAAACGTTCTGAATCAATGCAAATATTTGAATATCACAAATTTAATAAAAACAAAGAGAAATCTGAATTCCAGTAACTGGATGCCAAGGAAGTTGAAATATAGAAGAAGAAAATTGAAACAAGACATAGAAGTGGAGGTTTTGCGATTATTTTTCTTGCTGACTATGCAAGAATTTGATGTTATAGTGGAATTTCAAAAGTAAATTTTAGTTGTCTAATACAAAGAGGACAATTAATTATGATATATAGAGATATATCGGGTGTTCAATTTGAAAAATACTAAGTTGTGTGTTACGCCTTAAAAACAGAACACTCTGTAATTTGAGTGTATGGTCCTCAAAGAACTCTGGGCTTTTTTTCTTTTTCTAATGATTAATAAAATATTGAGCAGCGCGCTTAGTGACTCACCCTGTATATTGGGAGGAACCAATTTTTTGGCTCAAAAAAAGTACAATTTACTTTGATTTAATTAAAGATTTGAGGTTTTAGCAAAATAAAAAAAATCGTAACATTTTAAAGAAAGTAGAAAAATTAAAAACTGAGTTGATAGTCAGGTGAAAAAACCAAAGAAAAATCCTTCCAAAATACCCAAAATATTTTTAACTTAATTTTTTAAATGTGTTCGTTAATTATATATTAGGAGTATTTATTATGCGTATTTTGAAAAAATCACATCAAAGAATTCGTGTTTAAAAAAAAGGAATTTTGCTCAAAAAGAAAGTTATCTTCACTTATATTCTTGTTTTGAAAAAACTTTTTTCTCCAAAAATTGTTGTATGTATTTGAAGTCTTCCTTTATCTGTGATTTAATAATATGGCACTAACTTTCTGCCTTCTTAACAACGTACCATCGATCTTATGCGTCATTTTTGGAACACCATGTATATTATATTAAAAAAAATAAATACATAATTTGGTGAGATACCATCACAATTTATATGAGAAAATTATAGAACGGACTTTATGATCAGTGTTATACTGTATAATCAAAATCCAACTATCCATCAAAAAGTTGGGCAAATATTGATTGAATTATAAGCTGATACGATTTCGTTTATTGTTGTGCTTCAGAGGCGAAGGAAATTCCGTGCAGGACGATATTATTTATTTTAAAGTTTTGAAAAAATAATATTGTAAAAAAGGCCAGCGACGTCAAAACTTTGACAGTGTCACCTGCGATTGTCGTTTAAAAAAATAGATGACGTCAAAATAGATTTTGTAATATTTCATTCGTTTTATTTTCAATTTTAGTTATATTCAAGTATCAGTAGAAATTGGAACAGTAGAAGGTATTCAAAAAAACTTCAAAATATATTTCTAAATATATAGACATATACAGGATGAGTTAAATGGACGCTTCTTGATATCTCAATAGTTCTTAGAGATAAAAAAACCTCAAAGACAAAATTATTTTCAACACACATGTTCTGTTTTTGACACGCAAGATACTACTAACGTGTTTTTTATTTAATAGCACAGCCCATAATTTGTACTTTTTGTATAAGTATATTTCACTTTAGAAATTTCAAAAGTATCCAATTGTTTTGAATTTTTTTAATAATGGGAAGCATCGAAACCAAATCACGATATGGTTTTTCATTACGGCACCGTGTTGGGCGTATTTTTGCAAGAAATGCATATGTCTTATAAATTAAATAAAAAATATTACAACAGGTCGTTACGGTCGCAAACTCGTGGTTGGAAATCACGGCTATAAATAAGCTGACAGCGTCACATCATCCCGACCGTCCCTGACTTCTATTCAAGATCTGCATCTTTTGTGTAGATGGCGCGACCGCCAGCTCGACAAGGAACCGCACACTCCGCTTCCGCTACGTGTTTCTGTGCTATTTTACCTCAGTTCCATTTAAATCTTCAATTTCTATAACTCTGACATTAAACTACAACTGAACAAGTGTTAAAGTTTCAAAAAGAGCAGTAAATAACATTTAAATTTGCCATACACTCTCGTGAAGTTTTAAACAGCAAAGAATTCTTATCTGAGATTGAGATTGGAAATCAGACAATTTATATGATGGAAGCATTAATCAACAAAATATTTACATAACAAAAACTAGCAAAGATTTATAAAAATAAAAAAGATCTGGTGTGAAATAAAACTTGTGCAGATAAAAAAAGTTACGTGAGGAACTGCAAAGTTTGAAAATTTACGTTCAATTTAAATTATACAACAAAGAAAATTACTGAAGTTAAAATTGTGAGATACAGAAAAATTGTATGAGGTGAAAAATTGCAAAACTAACAAAATTACATAAGTTTAATATTTTGTGTCCATTCGAGTTATTAGTTCATTTTTAAAAGTGAAGTTATTCAGCTGGATTGTGGGCCATACATTCCCCCAAACAAACATATAAACAAAAACATAGCAGACAATCTGGAGGTTCAAAATGGCGAGAAATGCGATCAATCCTGCGGCGTTGTGCAAATAATGGTCTAAATCAAAGGAGTATAATGCTCATCCCACAATGTTGTTAATTTCTTCGAGATTTTACAGTTCAAACATGTGCTCGGTTTGAAAATACTCTTTCAACATGGCCCCTGCCAGAACAAAGAATTTACCTGATGTTAAATTATGCCACACTTTATCAACGATTCAAGCAAAGAATTTACATTATGTTAAATGATGTCTTGATCCAAATGAGTGGTTACTTAAAACCATTAGCTTGGAGAGTTTATATCGTGGAATGTCCCCAGCTTTTCCCCAAACAAAACACATGATAAATAAACAACACAGAATGTACCAGGCGTTACGAGTGATGTAATTATCCACGTTGCAAGAAAATATATCTCGGTGATATCATGATGATAACTGTCTAAAGGGAAAAATTTTAAATCCCCCGCACCTCAGTCCACGATATTATGAATGCTACCTTACTTTCACTGTCCTTTTCCCAGAGTGGGATAACGTTAGATTGATTTAGCTGCCGTAAATGAACTATTAGTAATCTTGTATGAGGAATTAAGAAGTGTTATAATGTAACACTTTAGTATAAGCATCCAGAAACCTCATTCATAATTAGACAAACAAAATCAAACGAGTCCTGACTAAGTGAATTTCATGAAAACCCCTGCAAGTGCTCTATCTGAACAAATCTAAAGTCTGTTAAATTGTGTTAGAACCAGTTAACGATTAAAATCTTAACATTATCTGTAAATTCGCATTTTTCTGCTTCGAGAGTCGCAAGAATTAACTACGCGAGAGAGCAATAAAAATATGGTCAAAGACAGCTATGGATTTTTAAAGTTTGTCTATGATCGTTGCGTTTTTAACTCCAACTTTCACGTTGACGGTAATCAACGAGATGAATATTCTACAAAGACAAACCTTCAGAAATCTATGGCTGTCTTTGATCGTGTTTTTTGTTGTTCTCTTGGTATTAAAAAAAAAGTTAACAGTGTTACTTAATACGAGTAGATGTCCTTAGATTCCAGTGCATTTGTAATAAATAATTTTTCTAAATATGTGACTTTTTCGATGAGAGAATGTTTTTACCGTTGTTCGATAATTGTTTTGGAAACATGTAGATAAAATTTAAAATATATGCATTTTTAGATGGTACTGGTAAGACTGATATGTTTACTCACATGATGCCTTTTTATGGCTATGATATACCTCACACTTGTGGTCCTGATCCGAAAGTTTGTTGCCAGTTTGATTTTAAAAGACTTCCGGGACATGGTCTCCACTGTCCCTGGAAAGTTCCGCCGCAAGAAATCACTGATAAAAACGTGGCTCAAAGGTATATTTTTTTAGAGAACTGTGTAACTTGACGTGGCCCTTTTGCTTATTGTAGAGCTGTGATGTTATTGGATCAGTACAGAAAAAAATCAAAACTTTATAAAACAAATGTAGTTCTAGCACCGTTAGGTGACGATTTTAGGTATGATCATTCGACGGAATGGGACGTGCAATATAATAACTATCAGAGATTATTTGATCATATGAACTCTAATCTTAACTTAAACGTACAAGCGCAATTTGGGACGCTGACAGATTATTTTGAGGCTCTTCATAACGATAGGAAGGATGCTGATTTTCCCTCTTTGTCAGGAGACTTTTTTACTTATTCCGATCGTGACGATCATTACTGGAGCGGATATTATACGTCGAGACCTTTTTATAAGAGGATGGATAGAATACTTCTTTCCTACATAAGGTATTAAAATCTATGTTTTTACCCAGTGATATCCGTATATGATGATGATAAATCCGACAAAGGTTACAATAACTTGACGGTTTTAGAGCTGCTGAGACGATTCTTACTTTGGCTTATTTAAGTGGTAAACCAGGCTCAGCATGGATAACCGACCGAGAAGTAGGCTTAGAAAGACAATTATCAGATGCTAGAAAATCGCTTTCTTTGTTTCAACACCATGACGGTATTACAGGCACTGCTAAAGATCACGTGGTGATAGACTACGGCAAAAAGTATATATATCAACAATTATCTCCATAGATCGGTTGATATATCTATATTTTTTAGAATGTTGGCAGCCCTTAATGGTTGCCAGCACGTTATACAACACGCTGCTCATATTTTATTATCAGGCAAAGATGCAGAAACCCCTGATCGCAACGCCCTTTTTTACAATATTGACGACGTAAGACACTCTCATGACTCTATAGCCGAACGGTATCCGATTACCATTGGACCTGAACTAAGAGCGAAAAGAATTGCAATTTTTAACTCCCTGAGTTTCGATAGAGAAGAAGTAGTAACACTTCACGTTTCCACGCCTTATGTGGAAGTCTTAGACACAAAAAAGAAAAGAATTAAATGTCAGGTGTCGCCTATTTTTGAGTATGGATCTTCCATGTCACAAACGAAGTATCAGCTGTCTTTTGTTGTACATATACCAGCTTTGGGGCTTGTTAGTTATACCATAAACGCACTATGGGAATATGAATCTCCAGTGTAAGTTAACATGATGGATTACAGACAACTTGTCATAATGTATGTTACAGTGAAAGCGTACGCAGTGGTATTAGAATTTACAACCAATATGGAGACGTTCAAGCACCTGTTGGTTTTTCCGACATTTTAGTTTCACCGAGTTCACGCGAATTTACCTTACAAAATAACAGATTGACAGCGTCTTTCAGCAATTTGGGTTTGTTAAAAGCGCTGAAAGTGGGAGCTAACACAGTTCCGGTTCATTTGGATTTTGCAAAGTATGTTTTCAGTTTTTCATTGAATGAAAAAAAAAAGAATTCTTTTGTTTAGGTATGGAGTCAGACAAACTGCTGAACGAAGTGGTGCCTACTTATTCTTGCCAGATGGAGATGCTGTTCCATTGCATATTGAAAATACTATTGTGAATGTGATTGAGGGACCGATTATGTCTTCAGTTACTGTTCAGTTGCCTTACGTTCGTCATAGTGTAACTTTGTACAGTTCTCTCGGTGGGTATAAATTACAGTAGAATTTTTTGATCGCAATTAACAAATTTTTTTAGGTGCGGATAGCCTAGGAATTGAAATTGAAAATATCGTTGACATTGCTAAAACTTCCAATTTTGAGTTGGTAATGCGATTATCAACAAATATCAAAAATTCAGACGAATTCTTCACTGACTTGAATGGTTTCGAGGTGCGTATTTCTGTCACTTTTCGTCATTTCTAAAGATAATACCTTCTATAATTTTTCTGACTTGTTTCGGTTTTTGAAATTTTAAATTTAACTGCAGTTACTTACAATATGTATATTTTGGATGTGTTGTAACTGCTACCCTTTGCTTCTTTGCAGATCTTGAGGAGAAAACGTTTTCAAAAACTCCCTATACAAGCAAACTACTATCCAATACCCGTATCTGCTTACATTGAAGATGACAAAACACGCTTGACTGTGTTAACTGGTAGTCCTCTTGGTACGAGTTCCTTGCTTGAAGGACAAATTGAAATAATGTTGGATCGCAGACTAAATCAAGACGACAATCTGGGTCTGGGACAAGCTGTTTTAGATAATCGCCCAACTAAACACATCTTTAGAATAATTCTAGAACAAAAAACACATTCATGTCGAGTAAGTTAAAAGATAATCGCGGAATATTATACACTCGTTGTTTTCAAGGCAACTGCGGAAGGACATCCTTCAGGTTTTCCAACGTTAGCGGCCCATGTTGCGGCACAGACTTTACTAAATCCTTTAGTACGTTTATTGAGGACAGAAGACGAAGATAAAATTTCCCAGCCTGATTACCTAAGCGTAGAAGCTGAATTTGGTGTTGATTTCGTAATACCGACTTTACGAACGGGTGTGACTTTGAAAGGAAGGGATCATGTTGCTTTTGTTGTACACAGACAGTTTGTGGATACGTGCTTTGCTGATCAAACTTTGTTAAAACAGTTTCCGTTAAGTCAAGGATCAGTAAGTCCATATAATCGACGTGAAACAGTTGTCTTTAACTAATTTAATTAATAAATTTTAGGTTAACATCAGCGCACTACTCCCTACAGAATTAGGAAGTAAACTTTTTAAAACGTCTTTATCATTTTTACTCTTGAAAAACGAAGTTCACATTAAAGGTGACTTATTGATGTGCCCTATGGAGGTCCAAGCGTTCATTTTACAGAGGTGAAATTATAGCACAATTGAGATTCCATGATATTAAAAAATAGTACTCTACATGTTTGAGGCCTTTTTAATTTAATTTGTCTGTGTTATTTAGTGTTAGTGATACTGTAAGTTGAGATTGTTGAAATTTTTATAGTCATGATTACTTCCACTGTAAGCTCCAAGTACAAGAACATGAATGGTGTTGGCTTCAAAATGAACTGTGGGGTGATTTAAAATTTTTTAGTGCAATAAATTACAGAATCGTGTGTAAGTATGTACTGGTGCATAGTTTAGTTAAGCATATATTAAATTTTAAAGCCAGCATCCCTAGTTGGGCGCTTTCATTTTTTTATATCACTGTGTGAACACCTACTTATAATTTGAGCAATAAAACACAAAATCTTTTAATGCAGTCTTTGTTTTCCCCAATGTAAAATCCGCTGATTGAACTTCAAAGCAATATTGCAACATACAAAACTTTTAATAGCAAAATGGCAATTAATTTTATTAAAAATCAGCATTCTAATTAATTTTAAATTCTTCATTTTTTATTGGGGTTGATATTGTTCTTGTTACTACAAGTGATACAAAAGTATTTTTTCCGGCAGTTAACATATCAAGGAAGTTTTCTACCTATGGGTATAATTTTAGCAGTGACGAATTTTAATATTTTGAAAACCCAGAAACTATCGCAGGTTCCGCCACTGGTACGAACATTCTACATGTAAAAGCAACCAGCAATACACGCAGATGTGGTGTATTGCTGGTTGCATTTCGTATCAGCACGAATTTCAAATGTTTGAATTTAATCCAGCTATAATTAATCCACTGTCCTCGACAAGTCTGAACAAGTTGGGCTATATATATTACGTCACATTTCAAATATCTTTACGGGCGCATGATTTAAATAACTACACACAAACATTGGCTACATGGCCAACATTGCGCTGAAAGTGTGATCAGATAATTTTCGCTCTAGTCTCTAATTTATTTAAATCATTTTGACAAGAAAGAATAAACTTTACATTTGAGGTTATGTTGACATTTTGTAATTTTTGTTAGTTGTTTATGTAGGTGATATCTGTCAGCTTATTTTTAAATACTTTTATATTTTAAAATGTTGGTTAAACTTTTTAAACTCGGTGAGGATGAAGTTATCACAACTTTTACACAAGGGTCACATGTTTTAGGACGGGGTACATCTTTGCAGGTAATATCTACTACTGAACGTCTAAAGAAATCATAAACATAGTTATTGCAGTGCAATGATAAAAGGATATCCAGAAATCACGCAACAATAGAAGTCACACCAGATAATATAACACTAACATCGGTAAGATTACAGCTTTGCCATGAAACCCAATGAAATAATTCATATTATTGTAGATACATGTCAATCCTTGCTTCCTTCGAGCAGCAGAAAGCAAAACAATTACAATATTAAAGAAAGACGCAACTACGCAACTTCATGATGGAGATAACTTTGCTCTTCTCCCAGATGACTTTTGGTTTAAAATTAAAATATGTGAAGAATCTTCATCAGAAATTGAGCCCAAAAATTTTACATCAAAAAGATGCTCACCTGATCTTGATGATGCACCTCCTGATAAGAAAATAAAAACTCAAAATGACAATTGCGATACAAATAACTCAGATGTAACTAATGTAGAAGTATTAAAACCAAAAGAAAATCCTAATGATAGTGAAAATGGTACTACACTGGAAGAAAATGGGAACTCAAAAGTAGCATGGGATAACCAAGATGTATTACCTAAAGGAGATACAGCTGAAAATAAAGATGCAGTACCTGAAAATATTGGTGAGGTACAACAAGTAGATGAAGGTACATCTCAAACTGACCAAGCTACTTCAAAACAAGATCAAAATGATCAACCTACTGCAAATCAAGATGATGTACCCCAAATTGATCCAGTTACTGCAAAACAAGATCACAATGGTCAATCCACTGCAGACAAAGATGATGGGAACCCTAGCACTTCTAATTCTAAACCAAAACGTGAAAGGTGCTGGTATGGAGCGCAGTGTTACAGGTAATACAAATTAGAAGAACCAATTCAAACTAACGTTTCAAACATTTTAGAAAAAATCCAGTGCACAGACAGGATTACACACATCCTGGAGATTCTGATTATGAAAGTGATCCAGATGATAACAGACCAACTTGTAGTTATGGAGCGACATGTTATCGAAAAAATAAGGATCACAGGAGGGAATATAAACACCCCAGTCGAGACCCTCCAAGTAAAAGTAAGGGTGTAAATGTTCTCATTTATACTAAAAATAGGTGCTGTCGCTTTTGTCCTTATTGTAATAAAAATTTAAATAGGAAAGATGGTTATGAGAGTGGTAATTAATATTTTGTGTGCTATATTTTTAATAAATGTCTGTTTATGAAATTCATTTATTTTTTTTTGCGCAGAAAAAAGAAATAGAAAGAAGGTGGAGCGTTTAAATGTGGCAACCAGTCAAGAAATGAGGGAATTTGATGATTCAGAAGACCCTTTTATTAATGATGATGATAGTGATGAGTACAATGGAAGTTCATATGAGGAAGATTCTGATTGGGATGAGTCGCAAGAAGCCGACGAAGATGCAGAAAACGTGAAACGATTAGTAAAAGAGGCCAATCGATTTGTTAAAAAGTAGTGTCATATATGGCTTCATTGCAACTGGAAAACTTTTACACTTATATACAATTAAAAACTAATAAAATACTTCAAGTAAACATATTTTAATAAACTTATAACAGTGCTAATTCATTTAATATAACAAATCAAAGATATTGAAAAATTTGTATCAAACCCATCGAACTTAAATTTTCCCGCCACGAATCAATTTTGACAGCTGACACCTGTCATTAGGATCTGTCGGAGTGCTGTCAGATTTGTTTATGAAAAGTCGAGATATTTGAAAACCAGATAAAACACTTTGCATAAAATGGAAATTTGTCGTTGATTACATGGCTTCCCCTTCCGACGTCGAAATGACACAATTTGGCGAAATCGATAAATCAAAGGATCGATACCCGTGCTGCATAGTATGGACCCCCATTCCCATCCTGACGTGGCTCTTCCCTTTTATCGGACACATGGGAGTATGCCTAAGTTCTGGCATTATTCGCGACTTTGCCGGACCTTATTACGTCTCCCAAGATAACATGGCTTTTGGGCGCCCCACAAAATACTGGCAGCTCAAGCCTGCACTAGCCTATGGCGGCATCACAGGGTGGGACAGAGCAGTGACTGAAGCTTCCGAAATATACAGCGGTCGGATGCACAACTTATTTTGTGATAATTGTCATTCACATGTTGCCACAGCACTTAACTTAATGCAATATGACAATTCCAAAAGCTGGAATATGGTAAAACTTGCATTCTTAATGTTAATTTATTCCAAGTATGTAAGTTTCTGTGGTTTTGTAAAAACGTGGCTACCTTTTTTGTTTTTAGTTACTTTAATTGTTCTTGTAAGTGTTTTAGCTTAAATACAAAGTTTTAGATGCTTAATTGTGTTAAAAATACTTGTAACGAGAGCACTCCTGGTTGTTCCATGAATAACTTTACCATTTTACCATGAACAATGCTGCAGACTGTTCGACAGTGGTTTAGCTGCATACCTGACAGAAACATTAGAAACTTCTTAATGTCAACAACTGAATTCACTCGTTGTTCTTCGTCATTTTCATAGTCCTGGGATAATTGTAGCTGACCAACTGAAATTTGAAATAATTTTCAATCTGTATACGTTTGGATGAATTTCTCACTAGCAAAACTTTCAACGCTCAGGCCTGGGAAATGAGATGATAAAGTCACTATATTTGTTTTTATCTGGAAAGTTAATCGTCCATCTTTTGTCGCCGACACAATTAAACTATGGCTCATGTTTCTCATTCTTTCGACTATTGTTTTTATCGTTTTTAAGTTAGGCATTTCAATAGAAACCTAATAAATTGTGCTATTAGTATCTGTATGAAAAAATATTAAATTTATACATGAAAGTCATTAAATCGCGGTTCCTCATAATCTTTCCAGTGTTTTAGTGATATCACCTCAACAGGAATGTCATGTACACACTGTCGACTTTGTATACTTTCAGATGCCTATAAAGAGTTTGTTGGTCTATTTTCTCCACTAATATTAATTAACACATACCAATTCCATTTCTAACGTTAAGCATGGAGAGTCCTTGTTGGTTAATTTAATTTTTAGAGATTTCACATTTTGTTTTAGCAGAGATAATGATCTCGCCAAGAGGGCTACAATTAAATTTGTTACATAAAACTTAAGCCTGGATTAGTTTATACCTGTTGACAGTTCTAAGTAAATTTCATTATACTCTTCATTAAGTCCTACCAAGTTATATTGTTTAAAATAAAAATTAACGGGTAATTCACACCAAGCTAAAGGGCGTCTGGGCCCACTTTCTTCCTCTGATATAATAAAATAAACTTTTCTTGTTGTTATTCTCATAACACAGTTCTTTGAAAACTTAGACAGACCTGTAGCTACATCTGCAATGACATCAAAGAGAAACATAGATTTGTGAATCAATAACAAACATACTCATAAAATCTTTCATGACTGCTGCATCAGTCATTAATCCTCTAAACTTCATGTTGTTTTTCGATTTAAATATTAAACAAATTTTATTCTTAACAAGACAACTATTTTAAACATAAAACATACTTCCACCATGGAAGTTACGGTACAGATGGAAGTAATACGACTAACATATTTCACATGCTGTGATCACATGAATCAAACATGAATATTCTACTTCCATGGGTTCCACCACAACTTCCACCCAAAGATGTCTCACTGCTTCCACCTTCCACCAGCTTCCACCACAGGCTTCCACAACCAAGGATCCACAACCACAACACCACAACACGTGTTTTGTGACAGATTTGTGACAAGCATCAAGTTCGAATGTACTACCAACTGTGATTTGAGTGACGAAAATCCCTTACGCTGGTCACAACAAAATAAACATTTCTAAAAATATCGTGACCAAAACATTATTATTTATTATTAATTAATGCATTAATTTGAAATATAATTATGGGTGTTTATTCCATTTTCTGCATTTAAAATTTTATATTTTGTTATAATTATATTTAGTGATTTTTTTGGCACCAAATCACTTTTCATATTGCAGAATTTGTTCTACATTTCCCGCTCGGGTTATTTCTAACCAAAATATAAAATAATTAATTGTAGCCTTTAAATTTATTCTAGTTAGATTTTTGAACTGTTTTTAACATAATGGATGACATTGCAGAGGCCGATACATTTAAAATCCTCCTGGCTACGGACATACATTTAGGTTATGGTGAACATATTCCAAACAGAGGTAGGTATTTCGTCGTAACTGCTTTTTCACATCTGATCTGTTTCTTTTTTAGAAAATGACACCTTTGTTACATTTGAGGAAGTCTTAAATATTGCTAACAAGGAGCAAGTTGACTTTATTTTGTTAGGAGGTGATTTATTCCACGAGACAAGACCAACCCCTTATTGTATTAATAAATGTACTGAACTGATTAGAAAGTGAGTAATTCAGACAATTTCAGTAGGTGCTGGTGATAGACTCAGAATTGGTGAAGTAAACTTTAAGAAGGACCTATTTTTTGAGGTTTCAGTAATTTAATTAATTCTTAAAAGCCACTGCGAACCAGTACAATAATTGGTGTTGTAATTTCTTAGAAAAGCACGGATTTACCTTTCAATTAGCATTTCTTTCTTCATTTATTTAACAACGAATATTACTGAAAACCTTGTATGACTAAAACTATTACTAAAGTAGTCACCATTAATATCTTAATTAATAGGTATGTTGCTTAAGAAGAATCATGAAATTGTTCTTGTTGATAACTATTAATTACCTTGCTTCTATATGATTTATTAAGGACAAGAAACTACATAATTGCTGTTTGACTCTCAATATTATGAATTTAATAATTTTAGTGAAATTTTACAAAACGCACTTTTCGATTTCGCACAAACTGTTTGCGTAAAACTCTTCTACATCACCCCCGATTACGTTCCTCATCTTCAAAAATTGTACAAATGCCTCCTTGTGCCAGCAAAAAAATATTTATTTGTTTTTCGTTTTATGGTTTGCACCGTATTAGTTGCGCCAAATGTAGGCAACCAACTATACAATATTTAACTCGCATGAATTCCAGTTACTAAATCCACGGAACAAGAAGTTCCACGATTGGGAGTATGTTTGTAATGGTGTGCAGTGCGCGAAGCTCCCTGCCTCCACTAAAAACCCGACATCACACTCATACGTGTTGGTGACTATAAAAAGTGGGGTTATGTTAGTACCAGGTGCCAGTGCACGAATGGGAATTTTAACATTTTTTTGTGGCAAAAGGAAGTATTTGCACAACATTTGAAGAAGATGAACGTAATCAGAGGGTGTTGTAGAAGAGTTCTGTGCAAACAGTTTGTGCAAAAAAATATATACAGGCTTGTTCACGAGAAACACCGCATGAAAAAAGGTCAAGTCAAGTCAAGTCAAGACTCAACCAAAACCATCTGATATTTCATGCATGTACCCTTAACCTCCTTTTTACCGCCTTATTAGCAGTGTGTAAATACAGTATAACCTCGATAATCCGAATTAATTGGGGAAAGGTGTGTTCGGATTAGCGATTTCTTCGGATCAGCGAATTTCCCAAAAAGTTGAAAGGGAATTGAATAACAATTTCATACACTGCTGAAAACAAATTTCACGAAATAAACCCTAATTTTATTAAACAGAAATAAAGTATTCTTAACCAACAATGGAATCAACACGTCTGAATTTATTCAGAATTTTTAGACAACTCTAAAAAAATAAAAGGCGGGTGGGCCAGGCTAGTACTTGCTAAAATAAGACTTATTTGACAAATGACGTACTCTTCTAAGAAAAGGTACTAGCCCCGCCCGCCCACCCTTTATTTTTTTAGAAGAGTAGGTCATCTGCCAAAATCAGTCTTATCTTGGCAAATATGAGACTGATTTTTGCAAACGACATATCCTTTAAGAAAATAAGGGTGGGTAGGCGGGGCTAGTCCTTGTCAAGATAAGACTGATTTTGGCAGATGATCCACTCTTCTAAGAAAGAAAGAAAGAAAGAAAGAAAGAAAGAAAGAAAGAAAGGATGGGTGGGCGGGGCTAGTACTTGCCAAGATAAGATTGATTTTGGCAGATGACTTATTCGTCTAAGAAAATAAACGCTGGGTGGGTGGGGCTAGTACTTGGTAAAAATAAAAAAACTTAAAAATCAAAAAACGACGAATTGAAAAATTGGGTAAATGAGAAATCGGAAAATTGTACAACTGTTTAATCGGAAAATCAAAAACTGAAATATCGAAAAATTGAAAAAAAAACATATCTTACAAAATCGAATTTGAAATTTCAGTTTTCATTTTTTTTTAGTTTTTAGATTTTTCGACTTTGGAATATTTCATTTGATATACAATTTGTTTGACAATTTTGCAGTTTTTAATTCCAATCTTTTGATTTTTCGAGTGTTAACTTTACAATTTTGGAATTTTTTGATTTTTAATTTTTCAAGTTCTCAAGTTAAAATTTTTCCTTTTCACGATTTGTCATTTTTCGATTTTTTAACTAAAAGAACAAATTTATTCGAACCCGAAATTTTGAAAAATCGAAATATCCAAAAATTGAAAATTAGAAACAAAGTTTTCAGGTGTTTTAAAGTTACGGTAAACATGGCAATCGCTGATCAAAATTACTTTTAAAAATCGAAAATTTAAAGAAATCTATTTTCTGGATATTTTTAAAAATCAAATAATTGAGAAATCGGAAAACTGTCAAAATGGTAAAATTAAAAATCGAAAGTTTTTTGCAGTTGGATAGAGAAATGAAAACTCGAAAGACAGATTAAAAAATTGAAAATTTAAAAAGCGAGAAATTGAAAAATTCGAAAGTTGAAAATCGAAAAACTGAAAAATTGAGTAGTATTCGCTACGATAAGACTGATTTTGGCAGATGATCTACCTCTAAGAAAACAAAGGGCGGGTGGGCCGGGCTAGTATTTGCCAAAATAAGACTAATTTTGTCCAGTGTCCTACTCCTCAAAGGAAATAAAGAATAAAAAAAATGAGATCCTCTAAGAAAAAAAGGGTGGGTGGGCGGGGCTAGTACTTGTTAAATAAGACTGATTTTGGCAGATGATCCACTTTTGTAAGAAAATAAGGGGTGGGTGGGCGGGGCTAGTACCTTTTCTTAGAAGAATAGGTCATTTGCCAAAATGAGTCTTATTTTGGTAAATATATACTAGCCTGGCCCAGCCTCCCTTTATTTTCTTAGAGGGAAGGTTATTTGACAAGTACTACTACTATTTTAACTAAATATTTTTTCTTGAAGATTTCGGGGCGCAAAAGTCACTTCCCGCCTCATTTTTTCGATAACTTCAACTTTTTTTTCCAGAATTAGTTAATTAATTCAGGGAATTGAAATATCACAATTTTTGAAAATTTTAAAAAATTTAATACAACACGTACAGAAAGAAGATCTTGCGTCATTTTTGCAAGTAGGTGCATGTTTTCAAGTTGGTTCGGATTGCAGAATTTTTGTTCGGATTAAAGAGAGATCGACTTCAACTAGCCTCTCTTCGGATTACTGGATGTTCGGATAATCGTGGGTTCGGATTATAGAGGTTATACTGTATGTAGAAGAATATAATTCCAAAAAATTTAGTGAGTCATTTATATTAGAAAAAAAATGTAGTCAAAAACGCACGTTCGATTAAAATATGGAAAAATTAATAGTGGCTTTACAAATTTCTTGATTCAAGAAAAAATGATTTGTCTAATTTTTTTGAACAGTATTGTGTTTTATTTCAATACATATGGTCCTTAATACCTTTAAGAAATAAAATTTGCAGAATACTTTTATAACTTATCTAAGAAACTGGAAGTGTGTATGTCACAGATGTGGATGAATTCTGTCTGATAGACCAATTTTTATTAAATTTAACTTAATCACTAGTAAAGTTAATAGACAATTAGTATTATTCTAGTACCGCTGTAACTCAAAATAATTGTAGATATTGCCTGGGTGACAGATCGGTAGAAATAGAAGTTTTATCGGATCCCTCTGTAAACTTCCACCGAAATGCCAGCGTAAATTACGAAGACCCCAACATGAACATCTCAATTCCTATTTTTTCGATTCATGGCAACCACGATGACCCTTCTGGTAAAAGACAGATTTCAGCCTTAGATCTAATGGCTTCAATGGGTCTAGTAAATTATTTTGGTCGTTGGGATGATGTCACCCACGTCGAAGTTAATCCCGTTTTGCTAAAGAAAGGCGAAACGCATTTAGCCTTATATGGAATATCTCATATCAGAGATGAACGTTTAGGAAGATTATTTTTGAATAACAAAGTTAAAATGAAAGTGCCAGAAAATTTAGACGATTGGTTCAACATACTAGTTTTACACCAGAACAGAGCTAAGAACCGAGGTGCTAAAAATTTTATACCCGAAACTTGCATTCCTTCGTTTTTTAATTTAGTTTTCTGGGGTCACGAACACGACTGTCAAATTAACCCGACTTGCTTGCTGAATGGCAAAACTTACGTTACGCAACCTGGTAGTACAGTCGCTACATCTTTAGCAGAGGGTGAAGCATTGCCTAAGAAAGTCGGGTTGCTTAGAGTTCATGGACAAAATTTTAATATTACGCCAATAGAATTAAACACTGTGAGACCATTTATCCATGGAATTCTAGTACTGGACCCAGTTCCTCGAGTAGTTGGGAGAGTTCCACTGTCGGAGCAAGCGAAGCAACAGATTAAAGCAAAAATAGAAGAGATGATTAATGAAGCAAAAAACTATGGAAGACGCGGGAACATGCTACCGTTAATTAGACTTATGGTTAATTATCACGATGAACGGCAACTCTTCAACGCAATTAGATTCGGACAAGAATTTGGCGAAAGAGTTGCTAATCCCGAAGATGTTATAAAATTTGTGTCAATCAATAAAAAAACTCGAAGTAGAAGCAGTGGAATTGGTTTAGAAATTGATGATGACGTGAGTTGAAATGAAACAGTCGGAACACTATCTTCACATTTGTTACAGGAAGAAATTGACGACGAAATTCATCGAGTTGAAGATCTAATACCAAAGTATTTTGATGAGAATAATCAGTTAGCGGTATTGAATTTAGCGGGTTTAAATGAAGCAGTGAAGAGATGCATAGATGCTAATGACGCAGAAGCGCCTTCATATATAACAGAGTATATTTCCTTTATCATGTTTCATTGTAACACTAAATTTTTATTGTTTATTTATTTTAGCAATCAAGAGGAATATATGATTAAGAAGTTAATTGAATTACAACCAGAAGAACATGAAATTCAAGAATCTTTAGCACGTCTTCAAGCAGCTAGAAATGTGGATGAATTTAAGCAACTCTTAAATGATCCTAATCGTCCTAAAAGCAAAAAAGTTGATGATGTGACTATAGATGATGCTGATGGTGATTCTAGCTCGGCTACATCTCCTAGGCCTGCTAAAGGTCCAGGTTCAAGGGGTGGTCGTGGATCTAGAGGTGGTAAAGGATCGCGAGGAGGGCGTGTTAAAACTAAGTGAACTTATAAGTGCGGTAATGTTCCTAGGAAGGCTGATGTATTTTTTTTTATTTTGGCGCTTAAATAAAACTCAAAAATGAAGGTTTTTTTTTTCTTTATTAGTTTTTACTGAGACAAAGTTGTATACACATGTTACGATATCAGCGTAAGTCCACAATGGACAATCATTCTGCAGACCCATATCCTCCCACGTGCAAGATGCGCTTCCAAAAACAAAAATAAAAATTCAACGCTTTTGCAAAATATAATTATGAATATGAGAATGGTTATTAAAAATATATGCATTAAAATAAAGTTATAAAAGGTAACAAAACAACATTTTTCATAATTAACACTGCATATTAAGATCGTTGGGTGATGACGCAGTTGTTGTAGGAATTAGCTCGGTTTGCGCGAAGCTGGAGATAACACGACGACCGTCGCAACCAATCTTAACCAATCAAAAACTCGAGTAAATTTGTTGCTGCTGCTTTTATATGCTTTCTTATGAAATTATTTTTGTTTTATGCCCAGTATCCCGCAAACGCTTTTGAGCACGCCACTGGAACAACCAGTTTCTCTGAGGACCTGGAAGAACCATTTATCACCCTAGTAGATCTACCTCTACGGTGCGCACCTACTTTAGAAATATTATATATATAATATGTTTCTTTACATGTGTCTAAAATTTTTCTGCTACTTGTACTTTAAATGAATGTAAACTATGAATCATTTTTATAAGTTGCGTGGAGGTGACTAAAACTTAACATGATAATTTTTTGTTTAAAGAACTCAGCAAGTGGTAACTTTCGACTCAATTGGAGTATTTTTAAGCTCCAGTATGGAAGATTGCTTTGGGGTACTTGTTAAGAGCAGCTTAAAAAATTGGTCTAAAGAGTTCAGACAGTACTTCCCTCGTTGTCGGAAACATGATGACTGTATGCCTACTATGTTTTTTTTTCTCATTACGTCATCAACATTTTTGCAAGGACACGTATATCAGTTTGGATAGATGTAGTGTAATACCAAAAATAAAAGTACTGTATTCCCAAATTTTTGGGAAAATGAATTGGGTCGTCTTGAATACTGATTTATATGTAATCAATAAAATAACGAAACAGTTTACTCACGCATGCCGCGTGTACATATTAGCATAGGCGACTCAAAATCATTTATGTTCAAGCAATCTATAACGATTGCAGTGTTTCAGAACATTCCGCTTCGCAATTTCAAAGTTACATTGTAAGATGTTACAAAATTTTGATTTTTTTACAAAAATCTGGTTGGGAAGGGTAAAAACTCAATAGGGCTCATAAACTACAAGTGGAGGAGTATGTTATTTTATAAAATTTAAACAACATTTACTATTGCAAATTTTGGAGATGACATCATCACATTGGTGGTAGAGATGAGACAAATTTTGGTGAGAGTTTTATCATCTACACGACATTTCTAATATACATCAAAAATTTGACAACAATTGGTCTGGTATTTAGAACGGCAGACGGCAGACAGACAAACTGACGCAAACGAGAGATCTATGTTTTCGTATTCTAGGGTTCATGACTTAGCTTGCGCTCGGGAAGTAATATATGGAAGAAGTGACGGGATTTACTACATAAACAAGATCAGCAAATTTTTAGCAGTTGAGATGTGGTTTGGCCTGACCGACATATCAAAGTAACTGTTTTAAAAGTGGTCAACTGAAAGCTTCTGTTATTTATCTCAAATATGAAGCGTTTTTCTTGAAAAAAAAATATTTCGAATGTTGAAGGGTGCTCTTAGTTCTTGAATTGTTTTTTACAGAATTTTCTTTTTACATAATATGATTTGACAAAGTTTCGTTCTTTCATGCTAAATGTTAACATTTAGGATCGTGAATAGTTATGGTGGGAGTCCTTATATGTATTGTTACGAACTAAGCCCATAAGTCGCCCCGGTACGACGCTTATGGGTTTTCTAGTATGTGCGGCAATGATGGGTGACACACGTCGGTGACGGCGGCCGGATGACATTCGCTAAAGAACAAGCATAGAAGCGGTGACTAAGACTTTTCGAGAAGGACCGCGTTGTTGTTTAAAATGGGAACCACGTCGGGAAAAGTCAGTGAAGTCCAGACAAAGAGAGGTAGAGTCTAGTCAAATCCATTCCAATCGGGTCGGAGTTATTCTGTACATAATCGCTGTGTAATTAGTCGTGTAAATTTGAGTTACTAAGAAATAAATTGTTGAGTGTTACCTACGCCGATTTTTAAATCACCGAACAACGTAACAGTATTATACAGTTTATTTCCTTCCTAATTCTTAATTCCCCCATTGAATTAATGATTATTATTCATCATTGCATGTCTCCAAAATTTGTAGTAAAATTTCAAATTTTGTGATTTGAGTAGCTGGTGATTTTAATTTGCCCAGTACAAAGTGGGTTCAAAGCGAAAAATATTTCCGTGTCTATTCTAATAAAATATCGTCCATGTGTGTGACTATGTATAAAATTTTAATTTTAGGAATCTTCCATTAAAAACTCGCTCCTTACACATTACACGCAAAAATAAAACAAGACCTAATTAAAATAATGTTTATGTCAGCACGTATGTAGTCTATTTGTATAATGTAATAATTTTTTATAGAAACATCTAAACAGTAAAATAATAAAAGCGTTTTTTCGACAAATGTTAAAAAATGCAAACAAATTACAAAATATAAAAACCTTCAACACTAAAAGGAATAGATTAAAATGTTTACCTAATGCAAGGATAAAGCAAATTTGAGCGTCTGGAGTTGTCTTGTGTTTGCTTTACTTCTATGCTAGGATTACCAAAAAAATTCCATATACATAAATTCTCATCCGCACTTATAGAAGCTGAAACATAAATACCATTTTTTTTTACAAGATTTGCTAAAAAATCTGTGCATGACAATTATATAATACTAAAAATTGTAAAAACTGGTTCTGCAAACTGGAAACATTTTTTGATGTTGTGTTTCCAGAAATTTCAAACAGTGGACATAAAAATCGATGGTTCTTATATGTATTGAATTTTTTGTAACTGATACCTGATACCTAATCTAATGATATTGTTATTACCTAACTGTCTTCCTCCATTACCCCAGAGAAGATACAATATGGGAGCATCATGAATATGGAGTTCCTCTACAACTTTATCAATATTAGAAAGAACAGTGATAATTCCAGTTCCTGCATGGTTGCCACGTACAAAATAACTGACCTGAAAGACGAATTTGATTTTTGTTTAATAAAGAAAATTAACTTACCACAAGTTCTCCACTAATTGGATTAAAAATTAAAGCACCTATAGACGAATTTTTGTAACAGGTTTTTTCACGAGCAACTTGGTTTTGAGTATTTATATTCCATATAGTTACACGTGCTGAAGCTTCATCAGTACAGCCACAAGCAAGCAATGAGTTCTTCCAAGGGTGCCATGCTAAAGCCTTCAAAAAGGGCGCAATGTACCTAAACAAAAGCTTCTATCTTGAAAGTTAACTTACTCTAATTATTGATTTGCTTTTAATGGTGAACACTCGTTCCATGTCTGAAATCTTCCACACAATCACCGTCTTGTCCATGCTGCTTGTAGCAAGAAAACTTTTATTACAGGAAACAGTAATGTTAATGATACTGCATTGTGGAAAACAGCAGACTCTTTTTAAAAGATTTAATTCGGATGTATAAATACTTAAAATGCCTCTACTGCATCCTGCTACTAACATCTTGTTATCTAGCCATTCTAGGCAAAATATTTCGCAGAAATTCAAGCAGCAATGGTTTTCATGTATTTGCTGCAAACAATCGAAATTTTAGTAAAATAAAAAAGGAACTGAAAAATTAGAATTACAAATGCATTCTTACTTTATTCTTGACGATACACCAAATACCGATCCTATTTGGAAACAAACCAACAGCAAATTTGCTGCCATCGGGTGCCCATTTAACGCAGTGTTGAACTCCTTGTCCTGTATTAGTTGTCGCTCTGCGACAGCCTGTATCTGGATACCACATGTGCACTTCGTTTTCAAAAATTGTAGCTAGACAATTTTGGCTACTCCAGTCGGCAACATGATGACCTACAATGACTGTCATTTCTTTCAAAACCACAAAAATTTATTACTTAACATAGATGTGAGTCAAATTGTGGCATATCTAGGATCATTTCAGGTGGACCGATGACTGGTTTTCTGCGTAGTTTCACTGGCCACGTTTCATTCGACTGAGTGGAAACACCATTCAATGAAATTTTTTTGGGGGGGAAAAAGTTTAAAACTTTGGCTTCTAACGGAAGTAAGGTGTTCCTTAAGAGCTTTTGAAAATTGCCGTGATGGTATCGCACTTTGGCGTAATTAATAAATTCACCTTCATTTTGAACATGTGGACTATTTAGCAACCCATCGCCGTCACTGCTTCTCATTAAATCTATCTCAGTATTTACTCTACGGGGTATAAATCTGTCGAAGTATTTCTTGGAATTAATCTTAAAGAAAAAAATAGTAGCCTTTGATTGAAGACACGATTTATACTTACGGAACCGAACATTTTTACTTTGCACATGCACTTAATCACTAATAAGTATATCACCGAGGGATTAATAAGTGGAAGAGATAATTTTTTGTGCATCTTTTTATCTACGCTTTAGCTTTTTATTTTTAAGACGGTGTTAAAATAAATATATTAATAAAACTTTAATGTAATTAGTGTCTTTTTTTAACAGTATTAGTAGGGTTGCAATAAATACAGCCTTGTCAACTAATCTGTTAAAACTAGTGCTTTGCTTTTTTAAATGAACATTCGACCTTTTTTTCCTCAAAATAAGTTACAATGTCTTTCGAAATTGCAGTTAGTTATTGTCTTATTTACACACACTCATATATAATTCTCAGACAGGTTTTATCGTATTGTAGGTCTTAATTATTCCCTCAACGGCCTCTCTAAATAAATATTAACCACTTAGTCGCCATTTCGTCTCTTTGGGGGACTTTGAAACTTGAAAGATATTTTGAAATCCTCCAAATTTGTTCCACGTTCTAGACCAAATCTGTCGATGTAAAAAAATTTTTGTGTTTACTCTTCCGAAGCCTCTCACCTATTTATTTAAATGTCAGATGCTTCAACCAAATTGAGCAGCCGCAGTCCATTCAGATCTAATACATAATAATAATAATTAATCAGATTACTTTTTATTGCCTCTCCATCTCCACCTACGACGTAAATAAAATGTTTTATATTTCACTCATCTATTATTTCCTTATAATCGCTATGATACCAGACACATTAACAACTCTATAATAACCAGGCTATTATGAGAGGCTTTTATGAACCATAACGCCCTCCAATTTTTTCAACAATTTTATTCAACATTAATAACTACAACAGAATGTACAAAAGTCAAAAAAGTTTCTAATGTGTAACGAAATAAAAATTACAATTTTGAAATGTCCCTGACATCAAAGAAGAAGCAGCAATTCCAGATGGTAGATGAAAGTTTCCGGTTAAAACAGAATTTTCTAAGTGGATAGCTTTCTCTTAAAGTAAGTTTGATGAAGATCCTTTTGCTGAGGAAACAGAACTTGCAATCAATTGTGCTGCTTTATTTTTGGTTGCCATGCTATCCGTTATATAGCCCTCCGCCACGGTCGTGCCTTTTCAAAGTTTCAAAACTGTCTTCTGCTTCGACTAAAGAAGTCGACGATGTGCGTCGAAGACAGTCTCCCGTATATTGTTTCGGATTTTCCAATTTTAAGTAGCGAGCAATAAATAGATGGAACACTTCCTATCGAATTTTTCCCAACGGGTAGTGCTTTTTCTCTGCTAAATGCGTACTTCCGAACCAACTGCAACGCACCCAATTCTTACTCTTCTATTATAGTAAACGACTTGGATTCATCGGTTTTAGTTTTTGGAATTTCCACTAATATAACACTTCCTTTATCAATAACATTTTCACCATCTCAATTTTTCTTAACGCACCAGATACGCCCATTACTAGAATCAACTGAAATTTTGAGAAAACATTCTCAAATAAATCTTTTGCATACCTTGTTCAAAAGATGCGTTTCGTTAGGCGCATTTCTTATGAACGTTAAAACTTGTTCCCCTGTCAAGACTTGTGATTTTTTGGGAGAATATCCCTTCGACTTTTGCTTCAGGAATGCAATCAATTGTTTGAAAATCGAAATGTCAATATTTTCATTTATCAGGAAAGTCGCTTTCAAGTACTACGAATACTGTGCCCACAAGGAATTAGGGTTGTATTTTCCAGACTTTATAAAAAAGGACTATTATTAGTAAACATATATTTAAACGATACTAACTCACCAGGTTTTGCAAGTAAGCCATCATCACAGCTTCGTCATCACATTATTGGTGGGGATGATTAGGAAAATTTTGGTTAGCGTTTTACCATCTACATGATATTCTTAACATAAATACAAAATTTCACAACAATCGGTCCAGTAGTTTCGGAGATGATCTGTCTAATAAAAATTGGGGACCGCAAACAGACGGACAGACGCACAGACGGACAGACAGACAGACAGACGGAAACGGGAGACCTATTTCTTCGTCCTCTAGGCCATGATAGGTCGAGAAAATGCAAAAGTAGAGAGTCGGCCGACGAACTCAACTACAGTACTTCCTTTGCTTACGCTTGGGAAGTTAAACAGCGTTCAGCAGAGAAAATGGACATTACGAATTTCTACGTATGCCCTTTGGATTAAAGAATGCCTCAGCTACATTCCAAAAATATATCTCACGACTAAAAGAAAAAGAAGTCTTCGAAAGATTAAGAAAAGCAAATTTCAAAATACAACTGGACAAAAGCGAATTTTTATGAAAAGAAGTAGCATACTTAGGACACGTTAGCACACCCGAAGGAGTAAAATCAAACCCAGATAAAATAAAAGCAGTCATGAACCACCCATTACCGAAAACCCAGAAAGAAATTAAAGGATTTTGAGGACTACTCGGTTATTACAAAAAATTCATACCAAAATTTGCACAGCTCACAAAAACTTTGACAAAATACTTGAAGAAAAATGCCAAGATATCACATGAGCAACAATTCATAACCACCTTCGAAACCTGCGAGAAAATTTTGATCAATCATCCAATTTTACAATACCCCGATTTTTCAAGACCATTCATCTTAATAATAATAAACTAATAAATAAATAAACTTTTGTTGTTATAAAGGACGTACAAAAATCGCCATGTTTTACAAATGCCAGAACTTTATTATAAAAAATATCATTGGTAACAGTCTAGAAGTAGAATCTGGTTTCAAGTTACATATACTAGAAGGTAATGAAGGCAGTGAAGATATTACGTTAGTAACATTACCATCTGGTATACATCTTCGCCTATACACTTTAAACCCGTATTTGCAGGCGCATATGCCCTTTGCACATTCGATTTTATCGTTGCAGTCTTGCCCACAGTAACACTGGTGGTCGTTGTCGCACTGTTCATCCAAACCTAAAAAAATATAATTGCAGAATTAGTTTTAAATTAGGTTAATATGGAAAAGAAAAGTAAACATTTTTGAATTTTTACAAAGTAATGTGACTTTAGACAGTCATAAATCTGGGAGTGTATTTTTCAATAAAGATTTAGTTAAAAAAAATTAATATTAGAATTTTGTGGATGAGACAGTTATGTTAGTGCAACTAAAAATGTTTAAAATAAATTAGTTCTTATATAAGAGGTCGTACATCAGTTTGGTTTCGAAAAATCTCACTAAATTTTTAATAATCACCACGTGTTGATTTTGCTTAAAATTTAGCAATTGGTGACAGTAGCAATATATTTTTTGAGGATTTCTCTATAAACAGTTTTGAAAAATAAAAGCATAGTGTTATAAATAAATAAATCAATTTAAAGGGTGTTTTTTGGTAAATAAAGTGAAAAATACTAGTATTATTAAAATCATAGGTGAAAAAAGTATGTGGTGTGCCGCTTTTGTGGTTCTGTATACAAATTTAGGTTACTCCATTATCTTAATAATAATAATCATCGTAAGGGTTCAAAAAATATCGTTTCAGAATATTTCTAACAGCTAGTCAGGAGAGGGAAACTCGTGTTTTTGTATTCTCCAAGTAGATTTGATGATCTTAGCATAATATCTAATTCTCGTTACTTACTTACGTTACGCGTAGAGAAGGTAAAGTACCTAAGTGAAGTTGTGTATATAAAATAGATACTGAAACACAATGGAGGTAGAATGAGTCATTCTACCTTCATGTGAAATGCAACATGCGAACATGTTAGATAAAACGTTCCTATATGTTCCAAATAAATTATAGTTTTCACAAATATTTGAAGGGGGCTGTGCTTAGCTTACGTAGAACGTAATAAATAAAGAGCTTATGTTTATTAGAAAGAAATAGAATAAGTTTCCTTGTATTAATCACAGTTTTCCTTTATCTAAAATTTTGTCGGTCATGCGGTACCTACGTGGGTTGTAAAAGCTATAAATTTCAGATTTGCTATTGTCTTAGAGATTACATAACGAATTTATTTCTTAGAGCACAATTTGACTGATTTACGGATTGTGTATATATATACTTAGAAGCAAAATTTTATATATCTTCATTAGAAAGTTGATGGCATTTGAAAAAATTATTAAAGAAATACTGGGATGCAGTATTGTTAGTGAAAAAAACCTTGTAAGAAGGCCAGTGTGATTCATTCTGAGTTCTAATTTTGTTGGAATTGCAAAATTCGTAGAATGCGAAAATATTATTTTTCCTAGTTCCCTTGTTTGTAGTCTTTCTGATTTTTGTTCTGATATAGTTGATATTATGTAATTAATAAATCAGTGTTAAAATCTGCTTTGATAGTTTCGAGAGGATTTCGTCACGTCCTGTCATCTTCAAGAAAGTCGTAAGACACGCATAAAATTTTAGAGTAGTTGATCTATGTCTCTCTGATTCTGTTTATTGTCTGCAGTGTCTTGACTCTAAATAAAAAAAGACATGTATCAGTTTGAACTTTCGTGAAGTTTGCCGCCTCGTTGTGATGATAAATGACTATTCGTCGTCTGTCTTAAATGTCAGTCATTTAGTTAACTTTCTTTAGTATCAGAATGTGCTTGCCGCAAAATTAAGGCTATTTTGAACATTTCTTATAGGAATGTTGATTGAATACAACTAAAGCATGCAATACATAACATTATTTATATTCTTTTAAGGAAGCGGCAAATTTTTATTAAAAATGCAGTGACCGACTTTCTGAAATCAACTTCACGATTATTTTTATTTTTTTGATCATTTTGAATTCGAAAGATTTTGTGATTCTTAATGAAAATGAAATGACGAAGATTTTGTCTGAATTATTCGGTAATGAGAAATAAAAAGGTCACGTCAGAAAAAAAAATTAAGTGGAACTACTGTGGGAGCAGCATACTGAACCATTATAATCTGTTATAGTGCTCCAACGAAAATAATGGTTGCATGATTTTGACTTCCAAGTACCTCGTCTGCGAACAACGAGCACCTTCAACTAATACCGCTAAAGATAAGCCGGTCCTGTTTAGAAGCGTGCCAGCGTGTCATAAATTTACACTTAAAAGCTACATCCTTGGTTGACAATGAGTTAAAATCGCAAAACCACTTTCTTGTTGGTGCACTATACTTAGGATTTGACCAATTAGATTAGGTACAATTAATAATTATTATGCTCGCACAGTTTCCTCCCCGCAAATTAGTAAGTAAACCCGTCCGAGCGCTTTTATGTCTCCTCAGACATTTTTAGTGTTCTTAAAAGAATAATTGTCACTTTACCGGTGCTTTCGTGAAGTGAGCTATATACACTGCGTTTCATATAAAATGCACCACCTAGAAGGAGTAGGCGTAGAATGTAGAAATTTGGTGGAGAAGACTGTTGCATATAGACAAACAATTGATTAAAATTTGAAAGAAAAACTACTACTTGTTTAGATAATATACCGAGTGTTATTCGATTTTTATTAATTTTTTGATTATGTTTTAAAGATACTTGAGTAAGATTCTTTTGCAATTTTACTTGACATTTGTCATTATTGTGCTTGCAAAAATGCTACGAGTTCACACACGAGGTAATTTTCAACAGATAACACCTATTGAAAGAGGGCGAATGATTGGGATGCATGAGGCTAGTTTACCATTTCGGGAAATCACCAGAAGACTCGGCCCAACGGATTCTACGATATTAAGAACAAGTCGAGAATGGAACAACGAAGAGCTACAAATGCGTCGCAGGGGTACCGACCGTTTCAGAGTCACCCAAGAACGCGAAGATCATTTGCTAAGAAGAAGTGTTATTCAGTACCCTTGGTAACCATAACGACCAGTCGGGATGGACTGGATGACAGCAATTGGGCACAGAATCCGAGGAGTACCATCTACCGCCAAATTCGTTCCTTTGGCTTGAGATCTTATCGTCCAAACTGCAAACTTCCCTTACCACAAGAACACAAAACTACCAGGCTTCACTGGTACCAAGACAGGCAGCAATGGCTGTAATAGTGGAATGTCATAATGTTTAGGAACAAGTCTAGGTCTTGTTTGTGGCACTCTGATGGACGCATACGTGTTCGAAGGCCTTGAGGCCAAAGGTAAAATCTGGAATTTGTACAGAGATGTCATATCGCTCTAACACCTGGAGTAATGATATGGGATGGTATACACATCTGTTGAAGTACTCCCTTAGTGTTCATTCCAGGCACGCTAAATGCCCGGCATTACATCGTTAACGTGTTAAATCAATTTCTTTTTCCTTATCTCTCGAACCGTCGAAGAACATCTTATGAACAAGATAATGCGTGGCCTCATGTGGCCATATTAACTTAAAGAGTGTTTGACGAAAATAACGTCAACTTCTTACCCTGGCCTGCCCTATCACCAGATTTATCAACAATCGAAAATGTTTAGGATTTAATGCATAGAAGGCTGCGCAATTTACCACATCCTCCAAAGACTTTGGAAGAATGTCTACAACAAATTCAAAATGCCTGGAATGAGATACCCCAGCAGGCAATAGATCATCTCATTTTAAGCATGCCTAGAAGAATACAGTCTTGTATTCGTGCACGTGGAATTTTAACACATTATTAACATTTCTTGTGTTAGACATTTTATTTTTTCTTTGAAATTTTAATCAAATGTTTGTCTACGTGCAATAGTCTTCTCCACCAAATTTCAACATTCTACGCCTACTCCTTCTAGGTGGTGCATTTTATTTGAAACGCAGTGTACATATGAAATAGCACGTGTTTGTCACAGACACTTTCGTCTGCTTCTCACAGTCAAATTGATATTAAAAATTATACTTAAAAAAGATAATCAACGACACACAGTATTTAATTCAAAGGATCAGAGGTGACTTTGATCAGAAACGTTTTGGACTCCAACCTAATTTAACATTTCGTCGATGAATTGAACAAATAAAGTTTGGGATAAAATGGTTACGCCAAAGGATTTTTCGTAGGCTATTAGTTAGCAATATTTTATGAAGAGGTTTTAGACTTCCGGCCCAGGTATATTTACGTTGCAGTACAGTGGCCCAGTTAACGAGAATTTTTTTTGACGAATTGTTTTCAAAGTCGGTGCTATTAGTTATAATTAAAACTTAAGTATCGGGAAAATTTGTCCAATATCAAAAAAGACGCAAAAATATGCAAAAATGTGTAAAAATATGTAAAATAATCTTAAATGTGCAAGAATGAATTAGCGCGAACCGCTTTTATTTGATCACCTCAACTTGTGCAGATCTTAATGGATCTGGTTGTTACATTAACAATAATCGATATGTAAATTGCAAATATTCCAGACTCCAGTTATAAATGTAAATGTAGTTTTAATCGAAAGGACTTTAATTTAGTTATTGGAAAAAATGTTGTATAATATAAGCGAATGAATAAATTTTATCCACTTTGCCTAAATTTTATTTATGTTATATTCCCTTGTTCATGTGTAAATTTGAAACATGAAAAAAATCAAAAAACAAGAGGTCATAAATTCATAATGAGTTAATTGTTAAAGCTTCACAAAGGACGGGATTTTTGTCTTCATGCATGTTAAGCGAGCTAGAGGGTGTTGTTATTTTGTTTTTACATTACGTATTAAGTTTAAGAATACTCCCTGCCTTACCTTTGCTCTTGATGCACTGATTGTTATAAAAATGATGGAATGATTTACAGACACATTTGTGACTCTTGCAGAAACCTTTTTGTCCCAGAATCGCGATGCAGTTTGATTTATGCATGCACTGGATGTGGGGAGTGGCAACTAAAAAGAGGCGCGATAAAAATTAAAAGTTATTAGGGGCTGCTGACAGTCCGTGAACTAACGGATGATTTACAGCCGAGAAATGGTACACATTAAGTTTTAATTGCTTGTAAGTGTTGCTTCCTAATTAAAATATACAAAGTCATCGTAAAGCGCTACCATAAAACATTTGGAAAAAATGCGAAAATTGGAAGGAATGTAACAAGTGGCTTCGCTCGATGCGCTGTAAATGGTATTTTATTTTCTCTGTGCGGCGTGTTTGATTTGCTGGAATAAATTTCGCAAACAATGATTTTTATTGTTGCTGACACACTCAACGCTTCTTAAGCATACTAATGGTATAATTTTTTCTTGGGTTGTATCTGCAGTGGCATCAGTGAGACGGCATTCTGAGGGAATGATTCCGAAGAAAATGCGTTTATTGACAAGTACCGAGAAATCAGAGCCGTGTCTATTTCTGGAGTGCACTTTAAACAGCGCTTAAACAATTAAAATTACAAATGATCTTATAAGCCATAATAAATTAATTTGTAGTTCATTCAGATGATCTATCCATATCGGGAAAAGTGTAAAAAATCTCCCCATCATTTATTACGTACACCACAGTCATACATCTTGTCTAACAGTATGTCACAACAAACAACACTCTTAATTACCACAATAATCCAATAGACGCTATAAACCGCCTTATTTTTTTTCGCCCAAACATGTTGGTCTGGTCTATTAATCTTTCCACGCTTTCGAATTTGTTACAAAGAGTCAACACTTGTTCAAGCATTTTTTTATTGATGTTCCCGCATAGCAATATCTTGTAGTAGTCGATCTTATCAAGGACTCTCAGCGGCGCCTGATTTGCTTTTAGAAAATAATTAGTTATTCATTCCACTTACGTTGGACACAGTGGTCATAAAATACGACGAAATCATCTTTACACACGCAAATACCATTCTTGCAGTAAGTATCAAGGGTGCCGCACTGCTCGTTCCCCTCACAAGGTCCATGCAGACCAGAACCTAGAATTGTATGTTAGAACTGGTTTAAATTAATTTATATACTTACCTGAAGCTGTACTGAATGTAAAAGTCAAGATTATGAGGTATTCGATCAGCATGGTAGTGATTTTGCTGGATACAACAAGGAACTGTTTGTCTTATCTGCAAGAAAAATGTATTATTTATCTCTATGAGCACTAACATTTCTATACAAAAAATCGTACGCAAAATTATAAACAATTGCGTATATGTCATTAAGATAAAAGTACAAACCCGCAAAAGGACAAAAACAAAAGCATTTAATCGCAGCTAATTTTGAATACATTTTTGAGTTTTTGTTTGCATTGTTTATTCATGGACATTTTAATTAAAATGTTTGACAATTTTGGGAAAATTTATTAATAATATACACGTCAGAACGGTGTTTCACGAAATATATAGATATATATTTCGTCCTCGTGTTTATCTTTTTGTGTCTACTTTGATGTGAACAATAATTTAATTAAGTTAAACAGTTGTCTTAGTGCACGCAAGATTTAGAACATTAATTCAATAATTACAGTCAAGGAGGTCGAAAATGTTAATCTGCATATCAAAAAGGTCAAAATATTGATTAAAAGCGGTCGCTTCTTTTCAGAGCTTGAATACGCACTTTTGTATAGACAACGTCTCGCTCGCTACGCGCTCTAATATTCTATATGACGCATCATTTTTGGTATTCATAAGTAACATCGTCTCATAATCGCTTACAGAAAACTTGGTCGAACGATATTATGTACAAAGTAAATACGCAGCCGTTGCTGTCTATTCACTTTTGACTCTTCATCATACAATAACCAGCTTCATACTCGTCAGTACGTCAGTATGTCGTCAAAATAGATTGTACAAAAAGGCGTTCAAATTTATTACCATGTAAAAAATATTAATCACTTTGTTGTCAAAACACAGATGCATGGGCTGTGTCATGTAGATGTTAATACATTAATCAGTAAACTCTTACTTACTGTACTTCTAAAACCCCAAAAAGTTTAAAAGTTGGATTTACAGCATGTTTTTATAAATTTGCATAACGTCCAGTCGCTCTATAAAATGTTTGGATTTTGGCCATTTTAACATTTAATAGTTTTTAAAATTTATTTCACTTCAATATTTCTATTTTTAACAGTCGCTCACATTTATGTTTAACATACTGCACTGCTGAAATATAAAATCAACATGAAAGTTTCACGTTGTAATTAACACTACTAAAGAATGCTAACAAGCAGTCACACAGCTTTTATTAAAAAAATATGTAGACAAACGGCGTATTATATGTAAATGTCAAAATGTGTGAAACGTGGAAAACTCATAATTAACTATTAGTATTACCCCACACACTCAACTCTACTGGTATCCTTGGTTTCTTTTGTAGTTTTTGGCACTTTTAACACGGATGAAAGACACCATTTTGTAAATTTTTTTATGTCTTCTCTCATAGTAATAATTTCCACATCTTCTCCTTTTTTAAGATTCTACACCAGGAGACTTTTAATGGTATGAGCTTTTTTTGTGTATTTGCTACCTCATTTTATTTTATGATACCGTTTTGCTAATCTTGTCAAATTCTGCCTTGAAATTTATGAAGGTTGTGTAGATCTTGCCCCAGTTGGCAAAAAACTATGATTATTATTAATATATTTTGCAAATCTCAATTTTACTTCAATTAGCAAACACATTATGTTTGGCGTTAATTTTTTTGTAGCATCCGTTTTCTCGTGGTTATGCCATTTTGCCATAATTTAGAACACTTTTCAACATTTGTCATGTACAGTAAACTAAAATATGGAGCTTGATGAACAACATTACTTATGTTCCTTTAAACTTCTTGTTTTTTGGTTTTGTTTGCAAATGTTTTTTACTGTGTAAACTATCCAGAAATGGTCGCATGTGCTCAGTGGTGGCGTAGCGTGGTTTGGCACCCAGGGCGGTTTTCTATTGAGCACCCCCCATATAATTAAACAACAAATACTAAACGTGCTTCCGGGCTTAAAAAGTCTAGCTACCCAGTGTGGTTTAATAAACAGATAATTGAAACTTTAAAAATGAAGAATTATTACAGAAAGAAGTGGAAGAAGACGTACAGTCACATTGAATTCAAAAGGCTTAGGGCAATGGTAAAACAATTAATCAGGTCAGGTCATGATAATTATCTTAGAGAAATTGAACAGTCTATTCATTCTACACCCAAAAATTTATTGAAATACGTAGAAAGGTACAACTTGTATTCCTGGCAAAATCACCTATAATGGAAATGTCTCAGATGATCCCCAGAAAATTGTGGATATGTTTGCCGAAAAATTTTCAAATGTGTATCTTTCTGGTGCAAACACTGGCATTCCCGACATCATTACAAATAAATTATCTTTTAGTATGCAGCCTGTTACGGAGGAACAGTTAGTAGAAGTACTTTAACAAACAAGCTTACTTTTGGTGAGGATCTTATCCCCAGTTTTCTTGTTCGGGATGCTAGATTTGTGTTAGCTAAACCGTTATCAATCATAATCAATCTAGCTATAAAAAGTTCTGTTTTTCCGGACTCTTGGAAATGTGCTAGAAACACACCAATTTTCAAAAAGGGAGATAAGTCAGATGTTAATAATTACAGACCCATTTCAATTCTTTCTAACTTTGCCAAAGTATTCGAGTTAGTCATTTATAGAAACATCTTGTGCAATGTTCGTAAGTCATTTGTCAACACACCAACATGGATTTATTCCTGCTCCCTCAACTGTTACCAATCTGGCTACCTTGACCCAATATCTCAGTGAGATTCTTGACAATCGTGGGCAGGTTGACGTCATTTACACCGATTTCTTCAGTGCTTTTGATAGCATCAATCACAGTATTTTATTGCAAAAGCTTAGTGCATTCGGATTTGCGTCTACCTTTTTAAAACTCATAGCGTCTTACCTCATTAATAGAATCAATTTTGTTTTTTACAATGGTTTCACGTCGTTTAGTTATGTTGGATCCTCTGGGGTACCTCAAGGTTCTAATTTGGGTCCGCTACTATTTAGATTGTTTATCAATGATTTGCTTGCGTCTATGAAGTGTAAAATAGTAGCTTATGCGGACGACATAAAACTATATGCCTCTATCAACAATGAATCTGATTATATTAATTTTCAAGCTCAATTAAATCTGTTTATTGATGGCTGTCAGTTTTTGCAATTAAGACTAAATCCTGATAAGTGTTTCTATCTGACTTATACAAAAAAAGTAAATCCAATTCCTAGTTCTTATTTAATTTGTAACCAATCATTACAAAAGAGAGAAATTGTTAAAGATCTTGGTGTTACCTTTGATCCGCAGTTATCTTTTATTGAGCACATCAGTGACATATGTTTAACTTCTTCCAAAATGTTGGGATTTATATACCAATTGGCTTTATGAACCCTTGTTTAATTAAAACTCTATATTTTACATTTATAGACAGTAAACTGGAGTGTGCTTCTATTGTATGGTACCCAATTTATGTTACACACCAGTTCGCAATTGAGAAAATTCAGCGTCGCTTCTTGAAATTTTTGACTTTTAGGTGTGAAGGTATTTATCCAGAGCGAAATGCTGATTACAATATGTTGATGCAAAGACATCGGGTCATAAGTCTTGCCAGATGGAGAGAAATACATAGTCCCAGCTTTGCATGGAAATTGGTGAACGGGAAACTTGATTGTCCTGATCTCTTGTCGTCGTTAAATTTCTCTGTCCCACGGATTGCAACTCGTCATATGTCTACATTTGATTTTCCAACTCCTAAAACCAATATTCTTTGGAAAGCTCCCTTTACTCACATGTCTAGAAATGCTAACAAAGAATATGATGATATTTTTGCTATTACGATGTAGTTTGCAATTTCAGCTAGTTTATTTCTTTATTTTGTTATAAATTATTATTAGTAACAGTTACGTTTAGATTTAGATTTTTTGTTTGTTGTATTTATTTGTATCTATTTTACTTTGTATTACTTTTTATTTTGTCCTATAATTGGTGTCTGTTGGGCAAATAAATTCTATTATTATTATTATTACTAGCTGACCCCGTGAACTTCGTTTCACCTACAACTTAATTTTGAATCTGCAAACCGAATGCTTTGAAATCTTGCAGATGTTTTAAACATCTGATAAGCATAATAAATTTTTATTCAAAACAATACTTACTTCCTCCAAAAAATTGATGACGTCAGCCCAAAATTTTGCCAAATAAATCTTTTTTAAAATATCCAAAATAGGATGAGACTATACTTGTGATTTATCATTCCATTCATATTTTTTAGTTTTGCTTATAGGGGGTGTCTCAAAAAAAATTAATCACTGAGTGAGTTTATTTTATTGATTGAATCAAGAATTGCAAAACTAAATTTTTAGATTTATTGCAGACGTTTTGAAGTTACTGTTTGACATGGTACGTTTTTAATTAAAATATATCTGTTTATCAAGCCCAAAAACTTGATGACGTCATCTCAAGATTTTGCCAAATAAATCCTATCTAAAATGTGCAAAATATCATCAGTATATTTTCGTAAATTTATCATTGCATTCATATTTTTTAGATTTGCTTTTACAGTGACAAAAAAATGTACGGATCAGTCAATTTATTTTAGAAAATAACTCAAGAGTTGCAGAAATGACATAATTAATATAATTCATAATGTTTAAATATGATAACTATTAATATGTGATAATTAAACCGAAAACCATTTTCCTAAGAACACGAGGTTAGCAAAAACAAATTAGTTCGTTTAAACATTGTTAAATTAACCCCGAACATGTACAATTTCTGAGCGAAAATATGAAAAATAATTTTTGCAATCTCATCGTGACGTACGATGACGCCACTGTCACGTGAGCCACCTGATAAAAGGTCACATTTTTCGGTCCTCTGCGTTTAGTTTTGATTTCGGTTTGGTGGCAGCAACATCAGAGTCCGTTTTGGCTTAAAAGTAGGGCTCTTTTCACGAATTTCTAATTTATATATTTAAATATTAGTAAAAATGTGTTGTATTAGTACTGTGAACACGAACGAAAATGGATATTTTTTCGAAAAGGACCGAAAACAGGGTAAGTTCGAGTTCAGTTTTAATTTATCGGATTCCGTGATTCGTTCACTCGACAATATTTAAA